AGAACGACACTTGCGTTCTGGCTCCTGACACCGTCTGGGGACCCTATGGGTTAGTCAACTACGACGGGTTCGATTTTGAGGTTGATGTGGGGACTGACTTTGCGACAGCGTCGATGGAGAAATCCATCGTCACGATCTGCGTGAGACGCAGGGAGGTATCGACTTCTATCTCGACATGGGCGTGATCGACATTGAGACATGCGAACCCCTCGTCGGTACAGCACTCACGATCTGGAACTGCAACGCCACCGGCTCGTACTCCTCCTTCACCGGAATCGACCCCAACACCGCAGAGCTCCTGGACAACTGGTCTAAAAGGACGGACGGCACCACGGACGACGAGACGTTCCTGCGCGGGATCCAGACGACCGACCAGAACGGTGTCGTGGAGTTCCTTACAAAGTTCCCCGGATATTACATCACCAGAACGACTCATATTCATGTCACTGCTCAGACCAACATTGCGAATGGCACGTCCTACTCCGCCAGCAAGGTGCAGCACATCGGTCAGCTCTTCTTCGAGGAGGACCTCCTGAGCCAGGTGTATGCTGTCAGCCCGTACAGTGAGCACCTTACGACGCTGAACCGTACTACCAACGAGGAAGACTCGCTGTACTCTGATGCCAGCGCCGACGGGTACAGTGCTGTCATCAGCGTCAGCCAGTTGACTGACAACATTGAGGATGGCCTCGTTGGATACGTGAGTGGATGACTTGCCAAATGAATTTGGAGTCCAAAATGTGCTAATGAGAAGTTCTAGATTACGATTGGTGTCAACTCGACTGCCGATGGACTGGCCATCACCGGAGGTGGTGTCAACCCTCAGGGATACCTTCCCACTGTTAGTGTAGATGACGCGAAGTTGGCACAGGCAACCGCAGTCGATAGGGCTGATGGCTACACGTCTTAGACATGGTCTAGATTGATCACGTCGTTCAATGTAACACCTGCTGGAAGCACTTGTAGATGCACAGAAGCTGCTTTAAGTTTAGAAACATAGATACCCAAGCACATATAAAGATATTCAGGTTGGCACTTTTACGCATTGTCCACCTGATTGTGAACGATCACGCAGAATTGGAGATCTACAATATTGAATGAACTCCATGAGTTAATTCTCCGCACGACATATTCCTGCCGCAAGACAATGATCCTTCGAGGTGTGGCCTCTCGCTACCATTATTGGAATATTCGAAGAGACTTAGTTGTGAATTACACAGACCTCTATCGACCTTGAGCAATGATGTATGGACGCTATACATCTTGGAGCGATACTTGACCACAGGTTTTTGGCTACAACATCGATTCTCCTCAACTGTAGCTGGACTTTTAGGCTTTGATAGAAAAGTACGACCTCATTCATATAGAAGCAGAAGATCATGGGCCAAGCCGTCGACAGACATTTGCAGGCAAGAGTGGGATTAAGCTATCTATGGCTATCTTCTTCGCCATTGTTCGCAACGTCTCAGTAGATCACGTTACATTGAAGATGCATTAGAAGTGCGCTATCGGATCTCGTCCGATGGTCTCACTTGACAAGCTATCTTCACGTTGCCAAGGTCGTTCCAACGGCAGGTGATGAAGGAATGATATCTAACCGCAGAGCTACAGCAAGACTATCCCATGCGCCAAGGGCGGGAGACCGGGCGTACTGCCTCGAAAGTCAGAACTGCCCGCGCTACCATGTCTTCAAGGTTATGTTTTCAGTGGTCTGCTTATGTCTGCGATGCGTTCTTATCAAACCTGGGGAGGAGGTGTCGGGTCTCCTCCGCTTCCACTGGTCGATCTCGACATACTCCACCTGCATTGCGCCTTGATAACGCGATCAGATAATGCAGGCCTCGCATGCAGCATCAACGTCTTTCATCCATTCCTCTTATTTCCGATGCCGGTCGGTAGAATCACCAGGGTGTATTAGCCGACGCTAGACCAACTGCAACCAACATCACATCCAACGTCTGCTGGGATTAAATTGTACCCTTGGGGCCAGTAGCATGCCCAAGGGAATCATTGGTCTAGGAGGCTGTTTCGGGTTTTGGAGGATAGTTCTCTGTGTAGTCTATCCCGAATACAGATGAACCTCCAATAAGATTTGGGAAACTTCCAATCAAAGGCGTCGATAAGCTATTCCCGACTAGAAGAGGTTTTGCATTACCGAGGTGGCGACGCAACGACGCTGTTCCCAAGCACATCACGTAGATCCGCAATTGCATGCTGCTCCCTCCCTGTGAACAATCGGCGGGGGTTTGGTCGCTTTACTTATACTTGTCGCAAGCGTCGCATTATGAACCCTACTTACATTTTGAGTTCGGTGATGCCAGCATCTAACCATGTCTCAATTACGTGAAGAAAAGGATAAGTCAAACCCCCCACTTCCCGGCACCCCCCTGTTTCTGGCACCCACAAAAACGCGAAAATCCACCACAACGCAATGCCCACCCCCAACCTCCTTTTATCACAACATTTTCAATTCGAGTCCAAATGGGCTCATTTTTTGCACATACCTTCTTCTATATCTAATGCCTCAATATACCGAAGATCAGCTTCGTCAGGCTCTCGAGGACATCTCAAACGGCAAGAGTCAAGATACCACGATCAACCCTCCAACTACGTCTCCAAGGTGGTCAGACTAGGAAAGTGGCTTTTGCTGACTGGCAGAGGCTGTCTCCTGACCAGGAGAGTAAGCTGGCACAATGGGTTCGCATTCAGGCTTCGCTGGGCCTCGCACCAACGCACCAACAGGTGAAGGAATTCGCAGAGCGAGTTCTGGCTGCTGCTGGGGATACCAAACCATTAGGAAAAGGCTGGATCTATGCCTTCGTGAGAAGGAACCTATCATTAAGGTTCAGAGAAGTCGTTCCATCGATTCTAGACGCGTTAATGGGGCATCTACTGAGGTCATTAGGAACTGGTTTAAGTTCCTTGCTATCCCTGAGATCAAGGACATCAAACCAGCCAACAGATATAATATGGATGAGACTGGCATCCTCGAGGGTCAGGAGCTAATGGGTTAGTGCTGGGCATGGCTGAGACGACGTCTGTTCGCAAGAAACAACCTGGGTCGAGGGCATGGGTCTCTATCATTGAGTGTATCTCAGCCTTGGGTAGGGCACTTCGTCCTCTTATCATTTTCAAGGGAAGACGGTCCAACAACAGTGGTTTCCATTACATCTGGTTCCATACGATGGGTGGGAGTTTACAGCAACAGATAATGGCTGGACTACAGACTTAACTGCCATTGAATGGTTAGAAGGTGTTTATCCCACAGACTATGCCCGAGGCTGAGGGCGAGGCTCGACTGTTGATTGTGGATGGGCATGGGAGTCATACGACGACAGACTTCATGTGGAATTGCTATATTAACAATATCCATTTACTGTTCTTACCACCACACTCCTCTCATGTCCTCCAGCCACTTGACCAGTCTGTCTTCAGCCCTGTTAAGTCAGCCTATCGGAAGGAGCTCGGTTACTTGTCTCAATGGAACGACTCTACCATTATAGGTAAAGGAACTTCCTGGACTGTTACCAGAAGGCTCGACTTGCTGGTCTATCAGTCTCGAACATCAGAAGTGGTTGGAAGTGGACTGGTCTACACCCTGTAGCGATGGTTAAGCCCCTGATGAACCCTATGGTATTACCTGAGCCTTCTGCTAAGCCCACCACACCCAAACCAACCAGTCGGGGCAAAAAGCGATGCCATAATGGTCAACAAACTACCCCTGTTGAGCCATGGGATTCTGCTTCCTCTGCAGTGGTCTGGTCGACACCCAGGAAGCTGGCAGAGCTCAGCGGTCAACTGCACTTATACACCCAACTCGACAATGATACCAGCACTCAACGGCTGCTGTTCAGGAAGGTGAAAAAAGGCTTCACAGAGCAGGCCTGGCAACTGGCAGCTGCCCAGCAGCTGGCTCACCCTGAGGGCTCAAGTTACCAACGCTGCAGTTAGGAAGAGGAAGACTGTTCAGATCGATCCCAACACGAAGTTTGCGAACATCAGGGATATCCATCGGGCTCAAATCGAAGCGGGTGAAAAGGAGGTTATTACGGCTGAATCCAGCGACTCTGAATGCCCTAGTGAGGCTGGCAGTTGTATTGTAGTGGGTGTGGTTGAGGATCAATAGTTAATAGTAATGAGGAGGTTGGGTTGTGATCCCATCGTTTTTGTGGGTGCCAGAAACAGGGGGGTGCCAGGAAGTGGGGGGTTTGACTTAATAGCACTCTGAACGACTCAAAAGAGTCAACCAACCCGAAGGTTGTTGTTGATTCTGTTTTTGAGACGTCGGAAAAGCTATTCCTTGGAGGTATCGACGATGGCTCAAACGGACCCAAGAGAGGGTCTACCGAAGACTCAGAGCCCGAGTACGACTTCAAGTCTGAAGAGTTCGTTAACATTCCAGAACTTGTACGCAATGTTGTTGGATTCGAAGACGACCCAACTTTGCCAGTGCTCACCTTCCGCGCAATCCTTCTTTCTGCAATCTTTTGCACAACTGGAAGTATTGTTTCGCAGCTTTCATAGTAAATCGCCCATCTCCATTAAGCAGCCTGATCTGTTGCTGATAGCAAACAGTTTTCGAACTACAACGGCTCCATTCCCTGTGTTCTTCGTCATTTTAGCCTCTGCTCCTCTTGGTCGGCTATTGGCACGTATTCTACCTGCTTATACGGTGCCCCTCGGACGCTTTTCTTTCTCCCTCAACCCTGGGCCATTCTCCATCAAAGAACATGCAATCATCGGTATTGCTGCCAACGCGGGCAGTCAAGGCCAGTGGGCAAGTAAGTTACTTATGACAAATTCTGCCGCACCCACTTCCAGCTCCAACTAATATCAATGACTAGCTTACTTGCCAACCAATGCAGCACTGTATTACGGCATCACAATGAATCCAGCTATTGCACTCTTTTTCGGATGGGTGAGATTGAACAATCAGGACTTGAAGCTTGAATACTAAAAGCAATCAGGGTGCCTCTCTACTGGGTTTTTCATTCGCTGCAATGGGTAAGACTAAATCACCCTGTGCTGTTGACGATAGTCTCTGACAAACTAAAGTTCGGAAGATTCTGATTGATGATCCCGAGTTCATCTTCCCTTTGTCTCTTCAACAGGTCACATTGTATAGGAGCATGCAAGGGAAGTCTGAGTTACACAAAAGTGTTTCCCAGAAACAGATGAGGGTGAGTAAAGAAGCGTCAGCCAATCCTGTACCATGTTAACAATATTATCAAGGTGTTCTGGTGGATTCTGTTGGGCACATTTCTCTGGCAATTTCTTCCCGAGTATCTTTTTCCCTTCGTCGCTGCTCTTGCTCCACTATGCTGGTTTGCGAGTCGAAATCACACTGTCAACTTCCTTGGTGCCGGCCGTGGAGGAATTGGGCTCCTCAATATCACACTCAACTGGTCTAACATCACGTCCACCGTCATTACTTATCCTTACAGTGTTCAAGTGACTATCTTCGTTGGCTTTGTTATCACAGTAGGTTCTATGCCTCTTTTCAATGTTCTGTACTAACTATTCACGAGACATGGATTTTGATTCCCGTTGCTTACTTTGGCAACTTATGGGGATCCCCTACGTACGACATTATGTCGAATGGTGTGTTCCAAAAGAACGGCTCCTCTTATCCATTTGAATCTTTGAGTAAGACAACAATCCATCGAGAGTCATGTAAACGGTTTGTTGTGAGTGCTGACAGCTACGATCCAGTCTACACGGACTCGAGCGGTGTTCAGCATGTCAATGAAACAGCTTACCACGAGGTTGGTCTGGCGTACTCTGGGGCTCAGTACACATGGGAAATCTTCATGGTGAGCGACCTTTCGAGTGTTGTTTGCATGCGAAACTGCTAATCAAACAAAGTGGTACGCATCGTACATTTCCTCCTTTGTTTGGTGTGGCCTATTCCTGGGCCCCAAAGTAGTCAAGATCTGGAAAGCAAGAAAAGCAGAGGGAGAGTATCACCAAGATAGGTTGAGGTTGGTTAATATGTCGAGATGCTAAGAGCTATTTGCTGACTTTGATTATTCAGTCGTATTATCCAACAGTATCCGAGCCTCACTCTTTGGTAAGTTCACATCCCTCGGGACTCTATACGCAAGATATCCAGTGAAACTTTGGCTAAACACCATCAATAAGGGAATGGGTTTTGTTGACCATTATTCCCATTGGCATTTTGCTCGTTATTGTCGCCACAAAGTCTGTCTGGATGCCGACTTGGACCTACTTCGTCGCTCTGGGTTTTGGCGGCGCTGCTATGCTGCCTATGAGTCTGGTTTATGCGATGTCTGGTTATTCGATCAAGGTTGGGTTCTTCAACGAACTTATTTACGGCTGTTAGTCCAAGGCTATTGTAACATGGTATATCGAGGCACATGTGGCTGACGGCGGCTATAGACATGATCGACGCGAAGGGATCGTCGCGCCATCCCCTTGGCCAGCTAGCCTATCGGATTATTTCTGGCAACGTCTGGTACGACGCTCGTATTGTTCTGGAAGACCAAAAGGTAAGTGTTCTTCTCAATAATCACTTGATCAAAGTGACGCCAACACGAAACCTAGATTGGGCACTACCTTCATCTTCCCCCTCGAGACGTGATTGGGGTCCAGATCATCGCAAATATGATAGCTCTCCCTATCAACTACGGCGTTATGCGTTGGGTCATTGCATCTAAATTTGACTACGTGAGTGGTCGAGTCGCGGATCCTCAAGGACAATGGACTGGCCAAGAGTTCAAGAGCTACAATACCGCCGGTATCCAGTACGCACTTGTGGGGCCAAAGAAGCTCTTCGCATCCTCCTTTTTCAAGCCTGTGCTCTACGGCTTCCCTGCTGGCGCAATAGCACCGATCATTATCTGGCTTCTTCACAAGAAGTTTCCAAGAGCCCGTTTCGATCTTTGGAACTCAACAATCTTCTTTGCTAGCGCGGCAACATTCCACGGAAATCTCAGTACTGGGCCCTTTACAACTTTCCTGGTCGGAACCTTCTTCAACTTCTACCTCTACCGTTATCGTCGCGCTTTCTGGAACAAATGGGCATACATCAGTGGTGCAGCTTTGGACACCGGCTTTAACGCCAATCTCCTGTTCATCTTTATTTTTCTTGGTACAACCGGAGCAGTAATGGCGCACTGGTGGGGAAATAATGCGGAAAACATTGAGAGATGCTTTGCATTGAAGGGATAGTGTCGAGGCATAGAAACGATCCCTTGCTACCCAAGACACTATTGGGCTGCAACAATGGCAATAAAGTCTTGGCCTCAACTAGAGATTCGCCTCGAGACTGTAAACACCTCAAACTAGCAGGACAGTCATTGAAACTCAATAAGGCAACTAATCTATGCAAAGAAATGAGGTGAAATTTGGAGGTTATTCTGAATCTAACTTATTCGGATTTCTGTCAATTTGCAGCCATCTCCTCCCACCGCAGTCCTTGCCTCCCCACACATGAGGCCATCCACGAAGCACTGTGAGATGACCTGCCAGTGACCATCTTCCAGTCGCATAATTAAGGGCGCTGAGCAGCCCGGGATAATGAAGATCGAGTCTCCCTTCCGTATTTGTTGGAGAATTGCGGTGCCGAATAGCCCCTTCTCCGTCGTGAAGACTGGGTACACGATTCCAATATGCTTGTCAAGTGATTCTAAGAAAGGCTTGGGGTCCACGCAATCTCCGACATCTTGCACCTGAGGGAAGAAGGACTTGAATTTCCGACCCCAAGGTTGGAAATTGTCATTGAGCTGCTTGCGAAATTGAGTCAGATCGTTGAGGTTGGCGTGCCTGAGAACTTTGCCCCAGCCACGCTTTTCCAGCGCCAGAACATCTGGGTCGTCGGGACTCAGGCTTTCGAGCCAAGGAATATCGAGAATTGTCGTCCGTGAATCGCAGTCATAGACTGCAGCTCGATGAAGAGTCCGTACGATTGCCGCCTTGGGATTGTTTGGCATCTCAATAGATGTTGGCTGAACGGCATCTTGCCAAACACCGAGACCACCATGTTTCCAACCTAAGAAAGGAGCCAAGCCTTCGACCACATCAACGAGGTATCCGCTAGTGGTGAGAATCTTCCCGTCGTTTTCCACCCTGAACTTGGCTTTCTGTCCCCAACTGGCATTACAGTCTGTCCCCCAGAGATAAGGATCCCACGGAGATGTCAAATCTGGCACCCAGGAAGGAAGCTTCAGAGTAGATTCCGTCGTCCCAGTCAGCACTATGTCGAAAGATTCGAAGCCAGTGATAAGAGCGATGGCAAAATCCGAGAACACGTCTTCTACCTTCTTCGTGTAGTCCGGCTCGATCAATTTGGCCACATATTCCGGTATCATCCCCATTAATCCGTACAGACGGTCTCTCAAGTCGAGTGAGCCTGCCATCCTCCCAATCATCAAGAGCAGTCCAAGGTCGTCTTGATCTTGCCTACGCTCTTCATTGGTCTGAGCTCGACGGCGGCGAACACGCTCTTGAGTCGCAGTTACTAACTCCACCAATTTCAAGATTCGCCAAACTTTCTCACGAGCCCTTACAGCGCCATGGATGTTCGTGACGCCCTGGAGGAAGTTATGGAACGGCACTAACCCCATGCGAAACGTCCCGAAAAGAATTGAAGGATTGAAGGGACCCAGGCATTTCTCCTGAATTACCCAAATCCGAGACCAGTATGTTTTCTTGACAACTACGTCGATGGCCCTGCGTATAGTCTCTTTCTTCTCTGGGTCCGCCATCGCTGTTTCCAACACCTCAGATGCTGCAGCTTTGTCTGTTGATTTGACTATCAGTTCGTGGAGCTGAGCCATGTCGGGAATAGAGTCATTGGGTATGTCGCCTAGCCAGATGGAGACAATGAGCGCTCTTCCATAAATTTGACGCATGCGCTTCACTTGGCGATTGCGCTCGGCCAGGTCTCTCTGATTGATGCAGATTGCATCGGCCCAGATCTTGAGACCATCGATATAATCCGGATCTGAGGATAAGGCTCGCAGAGCTGCCTCTAAGCTTTGACCGACAAGCACAACCTGGTCATTCATGATGATAGGCACTTTCACAGTCTGGTCTCCCCAAGTGTAGCTCAAGGCTCCGTAGTCACCCCATGAAAATCGATGATAGCGATGATGCGCACGTGGCCTCTCGAATGGCGAGCTTACTCTTGTGGGGCTCAATGATCGATATCGCTCATTCGAGAACCGTCGCCATCGCTCGTCGCTATTTCTCCGTGACAGCTGCGGCGTTTGCGACGACCAAGCTCTATAGTCTGGCAGATGTGCATCGAGTGAAACGTGCTCGATTGTACAATGGACAAGGCCGTGCCATTCAGGTGGCTCATCCCGGAGCTTGGCAAGAGGTGGTCGTTCAATAGTCTGTAGGTTGAGGACCCGTATCTCGTTCCGATCTTCGTTGAGCGGGGAGTAAGTGAACGCGACAGCTCCTGTGAGTCTCTGGGTTGCCATTGTGAGAGATAGATGGCCACTAGACATCCCTCACTTGCTCAAGACGCGGTCTTTGCGGTATTTAGCCTTGGCTTGCACTGCCGGGGCCTACGATTAGATGCGACTTGTTGATTCGCTCCCCAGATCAAGCTTGCAATGTTACCTAGCATGAACTGGTCTGACATTCGGCATAGCCCCATTGCAGAATAATGAGGGGTTACCTCGCAACACAATTGGTTCGAATGCGAAAGTACCATGCGATATCAAGCCCTTTCGGGTCACGACTTTGTTCGAGCTTTTCCTTTTTTTTACATTTTCATTAACAGCCCGGCTCTTAGCTCCGCAGCTTCTTCACTCATTGCATGTTTGCTGAATCACTGGGTTTCTTTGCGGCTCAGGACATTCTGCATTCATGGAAACATCCACCTCAGCTTATCTTTTTCCGTCCACGTATTCGATACTCTTTTCGACACCACACTCGATATGCATATGGCTTGATCTTTAGGACTATCACCAAGCGTTCACAAGACAAGTCAACCCAAAGCTCATGTATGGAAGAAATCCAAGAATTTCATCACATGGATATTCCCGATATTGTATTCTTGCACTTAAAGGAAAGCAGGCATTTGGCAATTTTTGTTATCAGTGGTCCTCTTAAAACCATCAATTCCTGATTAATCTGACGTCATGGTAGGTAAATAGGTGAGATGGTGGAGTTCGGCTCTGTTACTCGAACTGCCACCAGTCAAAGTTCAACAGATAGTCGGTCCCCTCCCCAGTAAAGCTGAAATAAAGGTCATGGCTGCCTTCAGCGCCGTTGATAGGGCACGTCACGGTCGTCCAAGTTTGCCATCCACCAGTGCCAGTAACAGCGCAAGTACCGATGAGAGTTCCATCGAAGCTGTCGACGCGTATCTCAATGTTACCACCGGCGGTCGCGGATGATACACTGGCCGTAAACTTTGCCGCTCCGTTGCCAAATTCGACGCCCTTGACCTTGATGTAGTCACCATCGTTGATGTAGGCAACAGCCATACCACCTTGGCTGCAGACTTCCACTTCAATACCCTGAGACCAAGCAATCAACTCTGCCTCTTGTCTTTCAAAAGGGTTCACACCCTTTCTTTGAGCCGGGCCTTCGGTAGTCATCTTCATCTCTGGGATAGATCCATTGGGAGAATAGTTAAAGCTCTCGACCGCAACAGACCGAGTAAACCCACCTCCACCAGGCAAGGCGCCATTGTGGTAAAAGAAGTATGATATATCGCTGAAATCGACCACGCCGGGATGGTTCGTAAAGCTGCCGCCTTCTGAAGGCATGACGATGCCTCCATAAGTCCATGGCCCCACGATGGTGGGACCCGTGCTGTAGCGAATATCCTCCGGGCAGCACACAGCTGCATAGATCATATAGTAGAGATCTCCTCGCTTGTAGGCCCAAGGGCCCTCCTCAAAGGCCGTGGGGCGCACTGTGGTATCATCGCGAGCGCCGAAACCGTCAATCGTCAGCTCGACCTTTGTGATTTCGCCGCTGTACGAGATCATGTCTTCGTTGAGCTTGACATACCACAGGTCCGGGTTGCCCCAAAACATGTAGGCTTGCCCGTCATCGTCAATGAATACGGTGGGGTCGATTTGGCCATTGGCGAGAAGAGGGCCACCAATAGCATCGACAAAAGGGCCAGTGACACTGTCGCTGACACCAACGCCGATGGACATGAGGCCATCGCGACTGGTAACCGGGACATAGAAGTAGTACTTCCCATTCCGGCCGATAACCTGGCCGGCCCAGGCATTGGCGCTGGCCCAAGAAAACGTGCTGATATTCATGGGGCTGCCGTGATGTTGCCAATTGACCATGTCCGCCGAGGAGAAGAGAAGCCACTCTCTCATGTCGTAATTTGTTGAGCCATCCTCGTCGTGACCAGTGAAGAGATAGACTCGGTCGTCCACAACAAGAGGAGCAGGATCCGCAGTGTAGGAGGTTTGGACAATAGGATTGTCGGCTTGCACAGTGCCGAGATGGCAAAGAAGGACCGAAGAAAGCAGCAGAGCGTGCTTCAAAGACCAGCTGTAGACATTCATCTTTATGATAGGTTATCGGTCAGTGATACAATGTTTCCGTTGTAAATGTTTCCAAAAGAGTGTTGGCCTTCACGAATTGACCTGATATGCTTTGCGTGAGGTTGAGTTATGAGTATAAGATTACTGACTTGGTATATTTCCCCACGTAATATATAAAAGCTTTAGTATGACCGTTGGCATCGTTCATCGCGCGACTAGAGCCCACAAAATTCTGTGTGATGGATGTATTGTACCTGAAGTAGATGCTAGTGTAACATAAGTATTTCTCCGTCCACCTGCACCACGCCGGGTGCGGATAAAAGTTACGATGACCAACCGCATCAATGGGATTCTACCGTTACCGCGGGTGCCACGAGGTCGCACCGACATGCGGAAGTGGCAACGGTATTGGTCATCGGCAGACCAGCAACGAAAGGCATACTGCAGATCCTCGGACGCTTTCTATCACAGAATGGGTTCGATTCTTTCTTTTACCCACTTGGCTACAGGACAATTCTGGGCCTCACTGATAGCCGACATTCGAGGTACTCTCATGTGACCAGTTGTCACACATTTTACCTGCCTTGCCCACTCCAGCCACCTCAATTACCAGAGCAACTTTTACAGTCATTGGCTTATGACGAAGTGTTCCCGTCCCGGAACAGACACCCAACAAGTGTTCAAAGTACAAGGCCGGTGGCTGTTTTCGTTGCCCGTTTGTGGCTAGCAAGCATGGTACATACTAATCACTTGGGTCCAAACGCCTTGGCAAGATGCAGAAGAAGGCTAAATAGGTAGATCATGGGGCCCTTCAGCAAAATTTGAGCTGCAATGTAACCTTTGACTCTTGCAGCTCCTCTTTAGTCTCTCGATTTCAGTGAAACCACCTCGATCTTCTAATCGGAAGCCTTGAAGGTCAAGCAATCAGACTCGAAGATGGTGCTTCTCTACCCTGTCTAGATCACCAATGAGACGTTGAGTGTTGAAAGCGAACGTTTGCTGTGGCGTTACAGCAACAACTATCTTGATGGAGGCCTTTTCCATGCCGCAGAAATATCAGAACTGTTGCTTACTGATCGACATCACCAGTGCCACATCAGTTTTTGAGTAGGGGTGCGCGTAGACTGACCCGGAGAATCGACACCTCTCAAAGTAACTTGCAGGCTTAATTATACAAGACAAATCGGGCCAATAGTCAACGTGGACTTGGTCATAAGATCCGTGATCAGAGTCGCCTCCATTCTCTGTTATCTTGACGTTGGTGAGCTTCCGTAATTAAGGTCGACCCTTGAATAACCCAGACGCGATACTCATTGTCTAACTGCAAGCTCATTGCTCCGCTTTCGCTGCCTGAACCTGTGCTTAGTATCCCCATCAACAGCAACTGAAATGTGGGCTGAAATATCAAGGGTCTCACCTTCAGCTATAGTGAAAAGAAAGCACCAAGCTCAATATTAGGGTGATTATATTATGAATGGTGGCACAAGAATACTTTAGATAGAACCTGTCTCTACAGCATCTTGTGACCGCTTGCGAGCACTGTTTTCGACCTTGATCTCGATTGTTTTAGTGATCCCTGAGTTGAGGGTATAATCAATCACGCCAAAATCGCGGGTACTCCTATCTGAGCCATCGCTCACATTCTCCGGCGGAAAGAGCGACGATCGGCTTGTGCCGGACTCCCTCCGAACCTGTAACTTCACTCTCTTTCCACCGCTCCATACGGAGGCGACCTGTGTTCCATTGCCTCCAGCTGAAGGAAGTCGTTCTTGGCTTGAATTCCGTCTATTCGCAAGCCGAAAAGATGAATTCTCATGAGTCGTTTGCTCATGCACGAGGCGGGATGCCAGGATGTCAATGCTGCAGTGAAAATTAGTCTTTCAAAGTAAGTCAACAGGTCAAGAGCTACACTTACAAGATCATCACCGGAAACATGCACTCCAGAGTGTACACAAATCTGTCGATCTGGCCTGCCACTGTCCGGGCTTGCTGAACTGCCGGCTGGAAAAAGTAGGTGACTGCTCTCGTAACTCCGATCAATGCCAGGATTGCGAGGCGGATTTCTGTGCTTCGCATCAAATGCTGGAAGAGAGTTGGTGCGATTGATGCCCCTTGCGATATCGACTTCGCCGCGGCAAACTTGCGCAGGAGGAAGAAAGCGCTGAGACACTCAAGCACAGCTAAGGATGAGAAATAGCCAACATGGAGACCGTTGATGGTCGGCATTAGATCAGACTCTCCGTTCACGAGTATCTTCACCCGAGAAACCAGTATCATCATCCTGAGAACAAAAATGGTCCCTATCACTATCCAGAAAAGAGTCATGAAAATGATACGGTCGCGGCTGCGCAGAACGCGGGTGAGAATAGCATAACTGTAGAATGAAATGCCTGCTTCTTGAATCTGAAGTTAAATTAGATTGAAGTCTATCCATGTGAGCCTGAATTGAAAAGAAAATGCAAACGCGGCGTACCATCCACATGACATCCGCAACAGCAGACGCAACCGCCGTATTCAAGATGGGGTAGTCTGCATAGAAGCTGTAATAACATAACCCATTTGCGATAGAGCCTGCGACAGAAACAACAATAGGTATAAGTGATACGGGCGAAAAGGCTGTGATGCCAGCAATGATGAAGCCAAAAAGTGTGTTGGCCACGCCGATAGTGCTCAAGATGGCCCAGCTTGTCTCGAAGTAAACGATGGCCATCGCGGCGCCTTGGGTTGCAGGCGCATATGCAACTTCGCAGGGTCAAAGCTTTCACATCACGGCCTCCACATTTGTCTTATACACTTTGTGATGCGCGACGGGCGCAGTCAGGAACATAGAACGCCCGCTACGCCCCCCCCTTCTTACTGCAGAAAGCTGAATCTGTTACGTAGACACCATTTCCGGATCCTTCTCTTGCGCTCCAATGGCTCCCTTCCGAGCCACATCTTGGATTTGTGGCTGGCATCAGGATTCGACGCGCGCCAATGAGCATTGCGGAGGGCTTGGACTAATACCGGTTTGTGGGGTGAAAGCTGGGGTAGACATGAATGATCGCCTAGAACATGCGCCTATTTCCCCAGCTTTTGTCCGCTCAACGGCTTGATTGGTTCCCCGGTGATTGTCATCATTGCCATCACTGCAGGGTCGTATCACCACCGTTGAGGCCGGTGGGATATATCTTTCCCCGCCTGCGGCCTTCAAATGAGAATCTTTTCACGCCTTCTCAACTCGATTATACAGTCGTACAGTTGCCTGAGGCCTTGTTGACGTCCCTAAAACGTACACCATGTCCCTCCAGATCCATGCCCATGCATGTTGGATCACACGAGAGATGGTTCACGCGTGTCTGGCAGTTTTGCGCTAGACAAGTTACATACAACCTTGGAGACAGGAAGGGAATAGCGAGACCATTATACCCAGAATCTTGCAGGTTGAGTGGCAGCCAACAGAGGTTGGTCAGACGACTCTTTGACCTTTTGTCCAAGCATGGACGTCTTCTAGAAAGAGGTTTAGGCAACCGATCGAGGAATTCGTTCCCCTCCTGCGGGCACACCTTCCCAGCAAGGGTTGAGTGGCCGTCATCTTGCGTGCCTCAATACCAATGAGGGTAATGATCGTAACTTTTCAGCTTGACGGGCGCCCCGGTGGGGATATTTGCCGGAGCAAGAGAAGCGGTTAATATCACATCCTTGTCTACAAGACTCTGAAACGTCAAGTTACACCTGCTTTAACCTCACAACGTAGTCGTACAGGTACGCCTCGTCTTCTGAAATTGGCGGGGTAGAGATCAAGCAATCCGAATTGGGCCGCTTCTTCCTGCATGATGCATCTTGGCCACATGTTTCCCACATGGCAATAATATCGGCACGCGATTTCCTGCAGATCCTTTTACCGGTGAGGTTCGCATAGAAGACTTTTCGAAGAAGGTTATTGCCATCGCTTACGCACCACACTCTTCCGCCATCTTCCACGAAGGCACCTACTTTAAATTGTGCTTGAGGTCAGCTCGAGCTGCGCCACTTTCCGACGGCTGTGTTTGATAACAAGACACACTCTCGTCAATTCATCTACGACTCACTTCTCTTCCAACAAGAAAGCATCTTCAAATTATACAGCATGCTACTCTTTACAAAGCCTATGCCTCCAAAGATCAGGAAGAAGAGAGCAAGAACAGGTATGTAGTCACACGGGTACCGAGGACGGGATGGAACATATAGCTGACAGTGTCGACATATAGGTTGCTCTAGCTGGTAGGTGATCTCATGCCTCGGCTGATTGGTAGCTGCTCACACCTTCCCAGCAAAGAAGCGAGAAAAAAGTGCTGCGAGCGGAAGCCTCGATGCACACGCTGCACCGAGAGAGGGTTGGAGTGCATCTACAACCCTGTCGAGCCACGTCGCAGCAAACATGCCAACGGGATAGCCTCGAAGACACCCCGTAGTGTTTCTCCCACGCAACACTTTAAATCGAGACGATCTTTAGAGGCTGTCTCAGATGGCGGCTTCACTGAACCTCCAAGGGATGCTCACTCTACATCAAGTCACTCACCCCCTGAGACACCAGAGTGGGCCAGCTTCAGCCAATTCGACTTCCGTGACAAGCCAGTTGATCAGCTCGCAAGTTTTGATCGAGAGAGCGATTCACTGAGTAGCTCACGGTTCGACTTTGTTCCGCTTAACGCAGAGTTATCCCAGTCCAGCACTATCGACATCGCGTCCCTGCTGTCTGGCCTCGAAATACCGCAACCATCATTCTCAAACCTGACAGACTGCGCTCACGAAAGGAAACTCATTCACCATTTCTCCAGTGTTCTTTCTCATTTGATCGTCTTCACGGAAGAGCCGGACAATCTATTTCAGGGTCTCATTCTGCCATTATGCTCTGATAACTCACCCGTCCTGCACGCCATGTGTGCCTTCGCCAAGGGACATCTTGAGTATATGGGCGTGCAAGATTCCAAGCATTCTTCAAACTACAGGGTTCTTGCTGCTGAGGGTGTCTTTCAACTTGTGCAGCAGAACTGCCGGCAGGAAGAGGTTTTGGCGGCAACCATGCTGCTCGTGTACTACGAATCTGTGAGCATTCTTCCATAAAAGGGCCTTCAAGATAAGATCGATGCTAACCAGTAAAAGCTCACCCTGACAGGAGCAACCAACATGGTTCTTGAGCACCTCAGAAGTGCCTTCCTCGTCCTGAGTTCGATTCCACTGTCCAAGAAAACCCGCAGTATCTTGTTCCTTGAAAAGGTACGTGTTTTGGCTCCTATGGTCTCACTGGCGCCATGACTAATTCAACGAAAAGGCTTTCCAATTCTACGACGTCATCACTGCCCTTTCTTTAGGACGTAGTCCAGTCTCTACTGTGCCCGCAACTGAGCATGTTTACTCCATGGCATCACCTTCGTCCAAGTCGGCCCAAAATGGCCCTGTTGATCCACTTCTCGGTATGACTGGCAATCTGTGGCCAGTTCTTTACCGTCTCAGCACTCTCAAATCCTTGAAAGGGGACTTGGATGGCGCGGTCTCCAACAATCAACCAGCCAAAGCCGCCGTTCTTCTGATGGAGTACGAATCCACAGTCAAGGCAGTACAAAAGGCTCTCCAAGACTGGGCGCCTCCGGTGCAGTCAGACGAGGACTTTGAGTCCTTCTGCGATTCGGATGCCCAGGGTGCATTCCGCGCCATGGTTCACAACTCAATGGCATATCGTCACGGTGCTTTGGTATACCTGAACCGGTCGATCCACGACCATCCCGTCGACCATCCTGCGGTTCAGGAAAACTGTCATCTTACTCTGGAGAACTGCGTTGCGGTCATCGCCTCTGGTGGGCCGGTCAATGCGCTCCTCTGGCCTTTATTCGTGGCAGCATGCGAAGCTATCACGGATCAGGACCGGGGTCTCGCAAGGTACGCTTTTATTGAAATTGAACGAAGGCAAGGCATGATCAACATCGAAAGAGCTCGTGCAGTTGTCCTTCATCAGTGGGCTGCTGCGATGTCGGGAGAACTTAACGGCGGCTGCAATACGGGCGCTGAAGCGTGGAGGGAGGTTGCGGGGAGTATGGGAATGACAATTATTTTCGGTTAGATCGGGAACTTAAAGGGGGCATAAGGATACAGGACACTCGTTTCTTTTTCATATTTACCTATTTGTAGACACCATAATCACTAGACCCTAATTTAAACTCAGACGCCATAGGAATAACTAATTGAACGGACACTATACACGACCTGCACATGGCTCTTAGGCACAGATGACTTGGTCTAGATATTGTTGATGGTGGCTCTCCGAAGTCGAGACCCAAGTGGGCGGCACCTGTGCAACCCCGGTCCGGGCCTTTGTGGGTCAATCTCAGACGGGACTCGGGACCGGGCCGCAAACTAGATCCGTCAGCAATCTGCGGCCCGTCTCTGTTTGCCTACAGACTTGGGCCAAGGACTGAAGGAATTCATGGATAAGTTCTTACACACCCATCCTACCTGGTCCTGAACTCTCAATGCTAAAAATTGACTAATGCTCCCTCTTCTTCACAGGGTAATCTACGCGCCCGGAATGTCTCGGCGCTTAGCCACCCCCATTGATCTGCCTCTTGACCAAACCCTGCAATCCAATGGCGTAAGCGCAAACCTGAGATGAGTCTCCACTACAACGTCAAGGCGACATCGCGCAGGCCTCCGATTCCCACCCTCTCGATTTGTCTAACGGCCCGCGCCTAGTGCGGCTGGTGGTATGATCCGCCTCTCGTTGACAAGCGCATACGTAGTACGCTAGTTGACTTCGAAATCTCGCCGTGATTGGTTTGTCTTTTCCAGAATGGTGCATCTTCATGCGGTTGCGAGGCGTTCAAGTGGCCGTCTTAGGTCCCTCTTGACAGGGCTTGAAGGTATGTATGACCAGCGCAGTCCCAACCTTTTCAGACGTAGGCGACCGTTGTCGTACTCTTGCTGCTCAGTATGTGGTGCAAGCAGTCAAAGATGGACGACCAAAGGCCTGTCCGGCTTCTCTCCTTGGGTATGTCTTCCAGTTCATGCCACTTATCTTTATGATCATCAACTAATATACGCGCCATGGTAGATGGCGGGGGCATTCGCGGGCTCTCCTCCATCTTGATTCTAAAAGATTTGATGCGCCATGTGAATCAAGATCGTGATCCCAATAGCCAGCTCCAACCTTGGCAAGTCTTCGATCTCATTGGAGGTACAAGTACGGGCGGGTGAGAACAGAGTCCGCACCTATCTAGATGGCTGAGGATCGTAAACTCTGACACGTGTTTCCCAAAGAATTATCGCTATAATGCTCGGATGCCTTCGCATGACGGTCGATGAGTGTGAAGAGGCGTACATTCGTCTTGCAAAAACAATTTTCAAGCCGAAACGATGGAAATACAACGCTTTCAGCCGTGGTGTCGATTTCTTCTCCGCCAGCGAACGGTACGACTCGTCCAAATTGGAAAGTGTGGTCAAAGAAATTATCAAAGCACGGACGGGTAGCGAGAAGACCCCATTGAGTGATTTTACAGAGGACGGTGTCTGCAAAGTGTGAGAAGATGGATGCAAGACGACAACCGCCAGAAAGTTGAGCTGACAATGGAAAAGATTCGTTACAACGGTTCAGACAGATGACAATGAGCTACTTTTGCTGCGCTCGTATGAAACGAGGCAAGAACTCGACAAACACTCCAAACAGTTCCAGCTGTGGGAAGCACTTCGCGCCACGTCAGCTGCTACAACGTACTTTAAAGAATATCGTCGCGGCAATGCCGGTTATCTGGACGGCGCTTTAAAAAGCAACAACCCCATTTTCCAAGTCCGTCAAGAAGCTCGAGACCAGTGGCCGGATAAGGAGGCATTCTTAATCAGTATCGGAACGGGCACCAAGCCGTCGGTTCCTCTCAGGGGGAACCTTATTCACCTAGCGAGAACACTGACCAAGCTAGTCACTGAAACCGAGGAAACCTGGAATCGATTCAGAGGGTCACATAAGGATATGTTGAAAGACAGTCTCCTGTTTCGCTACAGCGTCCCCGAGCTTGGAGGCGTGGACCTGGGAAACCACAAGTTGATGGGCATGGTCCGCACGAACACGGAACGCCATCTGCGAGAAGCGGCAACAGAGAAATACGTCAGGGCATGCGCGCAGAAGATGGTGGATATTGAGTCGGATGATTTCGTGAATCTGCGCATGGGAAAATCCAGAGCGCTGCGTTTGGAAGATCTCTCAGAGCAGGAGAAAGGTGAGTAACGAGATCGGCCCTTTCGTGAACCGAATTACAAGAATGCGGACGCTGACTCAATAGCAGACTGCTTGCGAAATCTTCATGCAACCAGTGGAGATTACGAAAGTCAGAGGCTCGGTATCGACAAGCCCGTCCCTGGAACGTGTCAATGGTTCCTTCGACACCCAAAGTTTGTCAACTGGGAACGAGGCTCTGCCTCCTCTCTTCTCTGGGTGACAGCGAATCCTGGATGCGGAAAATCAGTCCTATCCAGCTTCCTTGTAGACACGCTGAATGATGAGAGTAGCCAGCCCATTGTCTGTTCGTTCTTTTTCAAAGCTGGCATCGATAGTCGTCGATCTTCTCACCAGGCTCTCTGTGTCCTCTTGCATCAGTTATTCGTCACTGTCCCGGACTTAGTACAGGCAGCTATGGGAGATTACTGCAGCAAGGACGTTCCCTCTTTCACCAAAGACATCGAAGCACTCTGGGCTATTCTCTGCGAAGCTGTGAGTCGTCTCGGCAACCGGAAAGTCATATGTGTCATCGACGCCCTGGATGAATGCTCGGATCAATCGAGAAACCGTTTCATCAATCAGCTCGTCATCGCAGTTTCAGCCAACGGTTCCCTGAGTTCTGTCGGTAACCTGAAATTACTCGTCACGAGCCGACCATGGCCAAGCATAGAGAGCCGCTTCTCCAACTTGCTATCTATTCGACTTCGAGGTGAAGATGAATCGCCGGCGCTGTCTGCCGATGTGGAGAGAATGATTGAGCATCGAGTGCGAGAGCTCAAAAGATCCTCATTTCTGTCCAAAGAAGCCAGCTCCCTGGTCGCCAAGATCTTAACCGAGGGAGCCGATCGGACGTTCCTCTGGGTTTCTTTGGTGTTTGATGCCATCGAACGGCTCCAGTCGCGAAAACTCAGCTCAATCGAAAGGTCATTAGAGTCCTTGCCAAGCGATCTAGACCAACTTTACGACAGAGCATTAGCAACATTCGTCGACCCCGAAGCGTCTTACAAGCTGTTGAGTATAGTGCTGGCTGCCAAGCGTCCACTTAAGCTCGATGAGCTGAACGTGGCCCTCAATTTTGAAGAAAACACAATCTCAATCGAGGTTTTGAGCAGAGAGCTCGAGCCTAACATTGAGCACACCATCAAAGAACTGGGAGGGTTCTTCATTCGGATTATGGACTCAACGGTCTTTCTGGTCCACCAAACGGCGCGAGATTTCCTTCTTTCTCGTGGAACAAACCTCCTTCAAGAGCAACCGATCCACAGAGTCGACCTCGAACTGGCCAATTTCAGCCTGGCGAGAACTTGCATCGGCTTCATTCAGCTCGAGGGCTTGCCCGTAAGGCCCCAGCGTCCCATGACAGAAGAAGAACGCGTGAAGTCGAACGAGATTCTATTAGCCAAGTTACCAGGCTGGGCGAAAAGCTTTTATGTATATGCCTCAGCGGAGTGGGCGTCACACCTCGGGGGCGACGAGGTTTTCAAGTCTACGTCTGCCATATATGATGCTGTCCGCACCATCTGCGACTCTTCTAAACCATATTTCGGTGCTTGGTGGTACCTGCACGTCGATAGGAAGTTCTTTGCCGGTAGTGGAAAGCAACGTCCCCAGTTCGGTGATTGCGCCGGTCGTTGTTTTGCTCATTGGTCAACAATGAAAGGCTCTCCGGCCGCTACGCGGGGCTTGCTGGAGTCGGGAACGAGCGCGCCAGGAGAATTGGATGCATCTGGATACGACCTCCTTTACCACTGTGCTTCCCGTAAAGATGAGCAAGCTCTTTGGATTCTTGAGAATACCGATCATGCAACATTACATCTGCTCAATTTTCTGGAGCGCACAATTTCAGAAGAAAACTGGAAGATGTTCCAGCAACTTCTCCATACGCAAGTACGAATCAAGCTGCCAGAGCATGAAGCACAAGCGAGATTTCATTCTCTCACTCTACCCGCTCTCAGACAACCCAAGTTCCTGGAACCTCTCCTGAACAGAGGCCTTACCATTTGTGGCAAGGACTTTATGGCAGCTGCGGAAAACGGATGCCATGAATCCTTGGCACTTCTAATAGACCGCAGGTCCCAGACCATTGAAGACTTGCCACGGGTTCTCAAAGAAGTGCTGGTTCGGGCGACAGAACTGGGCTACCCGCGTTGCCGAACGGTGGTTTTGAGACATCTTCCTTCCGACGCCGCCATCGGCCTTGACTTGTCTACGGGTTTGTTAGAAGCCTCCTATCGAGGTGATCGCCACAGCATTCGTGAGCTGGGTGCCATGGGGGCCTTGGACCAGGGAAAGGGTCTTGCCTTCAGTTGCGCCATAGGAGACGCAGAAACGGCAGCGGCGTCCATCAATAGCATAGCGTACCCCCGCGAGGTTCTTGTTGAAGGTTTATCGACGTACTACGACAGCCATATGGGATCTGAGTTGAAAGAATCCTGCTTCAAAACTATAGGGAACGCTGTGGCTTCTCGGAAGAAGCTCTTTGAAGGATTCAGACTTGTTCCGATCTTTGGTAACTCCTTCGAAGATGCCACACAACTTCTCGATCTATTTTCGGCCAAGGGCATTCTTGTTTCCCGCCAGCGGTTTGTCGAGGTGACAGCAATAGTGGTTGCGATGGATGACCGCTTCGGCTACTGGCTGGCACAAGCCGCCAGCAAACTTCAGAACGACCCTACTTTGGTAGCCAAGGACTTTTTCATGCTGGCATGTTTCTGGGGCAAACCCTCTCTAGTTCAGTTTGGGGCTTCTGGCGCTGTCGATATCAACAAGCAAGATGGCTCCGGACTTACTCCTCTCATGGCAGCGACAGCATCCGGTAGTCTAGAGGTTGTGAGACTGCTCCTGGAGAAGGGTGCTAATCCAGACCAGCGATGCAAGGCACTGATGCCACAGCGAGACACCATGTCAGATGTTGAATGGGAGTTGGCCAGCCTGTGTAGCCATTTTGCGAGAGGGCTCGGCATTGAATGTATGGAGGGCAGTCCTCGTTCTCTCGCTAAGCAGATGCGCCAGGTAGAGATCGAGCAAGTAATGGACGATCTTGGATGAATTATGCAGTCGAGGTTGTGTCCCTACAGTTTTAGACTGAGAGACTTGAAAGTTGACAAGATTCGACGGGGAACTTTGTCACTTTGTCACTTTATAACATTGAATGTGACCCGAGGTTCTGGAATTCATTGAATGTTTGTCGTAACTGCGCCCTACGATGCGACTTGTCATGCAGGAGTAGGGCGTTGCGCGATTGGATCTGCAGCGGGACTCGGTAATAGGTAGCAAGGATTATTCAGCCTCAGAAGACGGCATCGCACCAGGTTTGGCAAAGAATGAACTAGATGGGGGCGACAGGTCACCGAGTAATCGCCGTCTTCCAAGGATCAAAAGCCCGACCTGGGGTGAATCAGCAAGGCAATGGGCGAAAAGACGCAATTCGTAACGAGAGACCTATCGGTGTTTGAAGGCAATCTGGAAGGTGCGTTGTGAAATCATCGCGGGCAGCGACAGCCGAGCTGATTCCTACGCGACGGCCGAGCCGTTACCTCACCATAAGGTAGGTACCTTACCGCAGGGGAAGAAAATGGAAGCGACCCGGAGGGGTATCTACAGGAAGCAGACCAGAGATAATAGTACTTGTGATTCTATGGGAGCTACCACGCAAACGCAAGTACATGTGTATCGGGTGCCCCGCGGATGGACGCATCTCGCGTCATCGACCCCCTGTACCCCTGACAAATCAAAGAAGGAAATTTACTAGCAGCGTCCATGTCGCTACCTAGGTACCTTACCTAGGTGCTTAGGTACCGTACTCCGTACTCCGTACCTTACCGGTAACGCGCATTCCACACAATTGGGAAGCACCAAATCCGAGCTCTCCTTCCCGTTTCTCAGGTCTGCTCCCGTCAACTTCTGCTGCATTACACTATCAGACAGTCGCCCATTGCTTGCCCAACCACACGCGTTCCTCCCCCCCTCCGAGGTATATAGTTTGATTTCCTCCCACGTCACCGCCCAAGTGCCCCTCCTACCATCCCACATGTCTACCAGACTCTTCCGCCCTCTTCAACGCATCGCGACATCTTCACTTTCTACCACATATCGAACCTTTCACTCTACATCGCCCAACATGGTTGTCCACAACGTCCGCAAGTGAGTTTCAGCCCACCCGTCCACGCTTCTATGCCGGCCTTCAATCTGCATGCGCCATAGGAAACTAGGATCTGCCACAACTCTGTACATGAAGCTGACCATTTTGTTCGTGATTCAGCGCCGAGGAGTGGAAGGCGACCCTCAAGGACAACGACGTCGTCCTCCTTGATTGCTTTGCCACCTGGTGCGGTCCTTGCAAGGCCATCGCCCCCATCCTGGCTCAGTAAGTAACAAGCCTTCCCAGTTGCCAAAAATTGCTACATGAACCAATCTCTGACCACCCTCCTTCTCCCACAGGGAATCCGAGAAGCCGGAGAACCAGGGCATTCACTTTGTCAAGATCGATGTCGACGAGGTCCCCGACGTGAGCCAAGAGCTCGGCATCCGTGCCATGCCTACCTTCATGTTCTTCAAGAAGCAGGAGAAGCACCAGGAAATCGTCGGCGCCAACCCCCCCGCCCTCAAGAAGGCCATTGCAGCTGTCGTCGCCGAATTCCAGGAGGAACAGACCAAGGCCAAGGCCGCTGCTGAGAAGCCTGCCGAATCAACTGAGGCGAAGCCGGAGTAGGGAATAAACGTACTTGATCAAGAGGGGGGCAGGATGGGAGACAGCTATGCCGTGTGGAGCTGGTCCGCAATTTAAGATACCAAACAAGGAAAAATAAAACAAAGATAAATCTCAAGACTTTCAAAAGGTCCAGGCCGGGAATCGTGTTGTCGCTCGGCGTATGGAGATAAGAACATCACGCAGACGTCGTTATTCCTCTCGAGGACTCTAATTTTATACATGATTGTGTTGCAGTGGTGCATTTCCTTGAGCATCAGCGTCTGACATGGCTGCGTAAACCATCTGACCGCCTGCTGCGTCTCTCTGATTGAAGCGCGGCAGCCTATCTATTTGAATGATCACTAATCTGTCATAGGGATGGCGGACGTGTAGCGGCATTCGTCGGCTCTTGGCGGTCGGTTTCCGCTCTATGGCCGGGAGGTGACTCAAAAATTGAGATAAAAAAAAATCAATAGGAAAGTTCCTGACCGATGGGCCCCGCGCCGGTTTTCGGCTCGGCGTGGGCGGGGACACTTGCCCGCGGGGAGGGGGGGCGCCCTGAATCGACAACATGGTGTCAATTGGGAGATAAACATGGCGCGATAGTGTGAGTACATGTAGACACAAGTCACCAAAAGGCGTTGGTTGACATGTTTAAAGCTTCAAGTTAATCCTCCTGATTGATACATAATTCCTTGAAGCTGGGCATATCTAAACTGCCCAATTACGTTCAAAGATAAAGAAGCCTGCAACCAACAATACCTTCATCCAGGTACTTACTTCTATATATGCCTATACATCTCCGACTTACCAACCTTGCTTGAAAGACAATCGGGGCATTCTGAGTTGATAGCTTATATCGCGACCAAGACATCTCACAATGACCAACAAGATTGTTGTGCTCGGGTAAGCAGACACCAGGCCATCTCAATATCCAGTCACTTACCGTGTCCAGCGCTGGCGTCTCTGGCCTGACCGCCGCCCTGCTGCTATCCAAGAGCAAAGGCAACTCCATAACCGTAATCTCCAAGCACATGCCAGGCGACTATGATATCGAGTACACCTCGCCGTGGGCTGGCGCCAATATGTTGCCGTAAGATCACGCACCTCCCTCGACGCGAGGGAACATGGAACTAAAGCTAGATTCACAGCATGGCCCTAGAGCTTGATAGCAGATGGGAGCGCAGGACGTGGCCTGAGCTGAACCGTCTCGCCGCCGAGGTCCCCGAGGCCGGTATTCACTTTCAAAGTGTGTATTCAGAGCCCAAAATGCTGCCACCGTGCACGAAACCCCTAGAATACTGACCTTTATATCCAGAGAGCCGCGTCTTCAGACGCAAGAAGGACATGGAGGCCGGCGGCAATCCCTACGACGCGCTCTACGCCGTCGACCCGTGGTACCGCAACGTCCTCCCTGACTACCGGGAGCTCGCAAAGGATGAGCTGCCGTCCAACGCCTATTCCGGTTCTGAGTTCACCTCGGTTTGCATCAACACGGCGCTTTACCTGCCCTACCTCGTAGGCCAGTGCCGCAAGAACGGCGTCGTCTTCAAGCGCGGCGACGTAGCCCACGTCAACGAGCTGACGGCGCTGCACCACTCGGGCAAGCCCGCCGACATCATCGTCAACAGCGCCGGCCTTCTGGCGTGCAAGCTGGGCGGCGTGGAGGACAAAAAGGTCATCCCCGCGCGCGGGCAGGTTGTCGTCGTGCGCAACGAGGTCGAGCCGATGGCCACCATCTCCGGCACGGACGACGGGCCGACAGAGGTGTGTTACATGATGACGCGGGCGGCGGGCGGCGGGACGATCCTGGGCGGGACGTACGACAAGGGCAATTGGGACGCCAATCCGGACCCCAACATTGCGATCCGCATCATGAAGCGGTGCGTCGAGCTGTGTCCCAGCTTGACGGGCGGCAAGGGCATCGAGGCGCTGAGCATCATCCGCCACGGCGTCGGTCTGCGGCCGTACCGCGAGGGCGGGCTCAGGCTCGAGATTGACAAGACGACGTTGGCGGATGGCACGCCGATTGTGCACCACTACGGCCATGCTGGATGGGGATACCAGGGGTCCTATGGCACGGCTGAGGGTGTTGTTGAGTTGGTGAACAAGATCCGGGCGGAGAAGGGGGAGAATCTGGGTGCTGAACCCAAGCTCTTTTCCTGGGACCGGCCAAGCAAGTTGTAGGCTTTTTGCATCTTGAGGTTGGATTTGAGTTTGAAGAATGGCAATTGGTTTATATGAAGCGAAATAAAGAATTAGAAGAAACAATAATGAGCAATAAGCTGACATTGACAAACCAAAGCCATCTGACAATAGTTGCTTCTTGTACCACAGTGTGATCTGCCCCCAAGATGGCAAAGGCGGCACCGTGCAACTTGGACCCTGCAGCCACGAGTGCAACCTCCACCTGCCGTTGGCGACAGCTTTCAGAAGCTTTCCTGTGCATCACCAAGCTTTCCCAACCTGCGCAATTCAGCCTGTGAAGCCTCACCATGGCCGAGCCAGCGCCCCCAATCTACGTGCAGGCATCTCGCTTTGTGCTGGATGTTGCCAATGGCCGGCATGCACTCTCCAAGGCCATACCACCCGTCCTTCTTGCGCTAGATGCTGTCCTTTGTGGGCTCATCATCTGGAAGATCCCCTGTAAGCAGCGACCAACTTCCGAATGAAAGTGACAGAGTACTAATTGTGGCACTGTAGATACAGAAATCGACTGGGTAGCCTACATGGAGCAAATCTCCCAATACGTATCGGGCGAACGCGACTATACCAAGATCAAAGGCGGCACCGGACCGCTCGTATACCCTGCCGCCCACGTGTACACATACACGGGCCTATACTACCTCACCGACGAGGGCAAGAACATCTTCCTCGCCCAGCAGCTGTTTGCGATCCTATACCTGGCGACTCTTGCCGTCGTAATGGCCTGCTACTGGCAAGCAAAGGTACGCCATCTGCTCCTGCCCCAGGACCACGGTTAGCTAGACAATTGAATGCTGACGATTCTCTCCCACGACCAGGTCCCGCCCTACATCTTCCCGCTCCTGATCCTTTCGAAGCGCCTCCACAGCGTCTTTGTTCTGCGCTGCTTCAACGACTGCTTCGCGACCCTCTTCCTCTGGCTCGCCATCTTCTTCTTCCAGAAGCGACTTTGGACACCGGGCGCGATCCTATACAGCTGGGGCCTGGGAATCAAAATGTCACTGCTGCTCGTCCTCCCCGCCGTGGGAATCGTGCTCTTCCTCGGACGCGGCTTTGGTGGAAGTCTACGCGCGGCATGGCTCATGGCACAGGTGCAAATCGTCATTGGGATCCCCTTCTTCTCGAACAACGCCAAGGGGTACCTCGGTCGTGCATTTGAGCTGTCACGGCAATTCTTCTTCAAGTGGACGGTCAATTGGCGCTTCGTGGGCGAGGAGACGTTCCTCAGCAAGCCCTTTTCAATTGCACTACTGGGACTGCACGCGACGGCCCTGCTCGTCTTTGTTTTTACGCGGTGGCTCAAGCCCATGCAGAGACCCTTGTCGTCCCTCCTCCCGGCGATGCTCCGAGGCAAATCCCCCTTCTCGGCGCTGGAGGAGGCCCAGGTGGCCAGCCGGGTGACGCCGCGCTACATCCTAACCACGATCCTCTCGGCCAATGTCATGGGCCTCCTCTTTGCCCGGTCTCTCCATTACCAGTTCTACGCCTATCTAGCCTGGTCGACGCCGTACCTCCTCTGGCGCAGCGGTCTCCCCTTTTACGTGGTGTATATCCTCTGGGCGGCGCAGGAGTGGGCGTGGAACGTGTATCCCAGTACCGACCTGAGTTCGGAGGTTGTCGTGGGCGTCATGGCGGTCACCGTGGCGGCTACGTGGTTCGGCACGGCAGATGAGGGTGCGCCGGCCGAAAAGCCGGAGTCGAAGAAGCGGTGATGCGATAGCAATGGTGGTGGTGCTTGAATAGGGGAAATCGTTCAAGTCATGTAAAAAGTCGCATCTCGCATCAGTAGTCGTCCTCGGAATCGGATGGCGGCATCTTGCCCACATTGGACTCTTCTTCGTCGCTGTCCTCGTACGTGTTCGTCTTTACAAACTCCTTGGGCCTGGCAATTCATCAGTCAGTAACCGAAGTGAAGAGCACATACATCTGCAAATAGTGTGGGAAAGCTCACCAGTAAGCTTGCTTGCGCCAGGCCTTCTCGTCGCGAACGACGTTGATAATCTCGCCCATGACGCGCCCGTCATTCTCCTCGTACTTCTCGGCCAAGACGAAGCCGCCGCGCTTGATCCAGATCGTGTTGCGGAAGCGCTGGGCGAGCTCCAGGATAAAGTCCTTCTTGTTGGGCAGCTCGCAGGCGTAGAGGTTGTTGCCCTCGGCCTTGACGACGCGCACGATGGCCTGGTTCTTTTCCAGGGTTGCGGGAGGAGTCAGGGTGTCTTCGGCCGCCTGGAGGGCGGAGCGCTTTGGTTTGCCCATTGGGTTTATGGCTGGCTGCTAGGATGTTCGAGACTGAGCAAGATGATGGGATCAGGGAACTTTTTTTTTCTGGTGGTGAGTGACAATGGTGGGGTAATTTTTCCGTCTAGGGATTGTTTTTTGGAGGATGGAGGCGGGGTGTTTACTTTGTGGAGTACGTACTCCGGGCACTTGAGAGCTCAGGTTCTTTCTCTGGAGAGCCATGAAGAAGAATTAAGTCAATCCAACCACCAGACTTGGAAATAAATTGAAACATCTAACTAGACAATGCTAAGTCATTGAAGCCTTTGAAAACATAATCAATGTATTTGGTATCACTCCAGGCATCAGAAGGGCTACGGGGAATAAGCATGGCAAAACACCGGGAGCTTCAACCGGCGCTCCCCCGCAGACGAACCGAGCTTCTGCCGGCGGAGCTTCTCCGCGCCCCGGGGACAGGATTCTAGCAACACCGACCACCTGGCCGCGCTAACTTGCGTTTTCCCACGCGGTCTCGGGTCCGCCATCCGCGATCAGTCGAGACTAGAATCTGGAAACCATTTTCCTTCCCTCCCCAACCTCCCGTACCTAGTGCTCACCTTGCTCCGACGATTCTTGCTGATCAATCATTGCTCGTGACACAACAGCTCGCTCATGATCCGAACTCAATGTTTTCAAGTGGATAGAGAACAGTCGTCGTCACCAACAAGTCTTGTATTCGTATCGCTGCAGCAGCCCGTCTGCTTTCACACCGTCTCGAATCCATCCCCAATCGCAATCGGTCCGTCCCCCACATGTCTGTGTTTCCAACCGGGGATAGTTATCGAATGCCATCAAGGAGGCTAGACCAACTCCAGCTCGCCGGCCAGAGTACACAGGCCGCAAGTCCACAAGACCAGGTCCCCATCTTCTTCCCTCTCACGAGCCTTGCAAGTTTTTTTATCCCGTCTTTTTCTTTCAAAGTCAGGTGGGGAAGCATGCAGGACTATCTGAACCCTGCATATGCCTCTTGTTCATAGGCTTAAGATAATGAACCCCTCCGACCCGCAAGGTGAAAGGGTCAGGGAGGCTCGCACACCTTAGACGCCATGACGCTCTTGGAAAGTTGAACAGTTTTGTCAAGGATCCACGGTGGCTGCTACTATCGTGAGATTTCTAATTACTGTACATTTTTACTACCTCCTCGGGTGGTCCTCTAGCCTTTTAACCCCCCGATTACCTGCCGTATTTGTAAAAGCTTTCACTACCTGACTGAGGTACCTTGGTGACTCACTTATCTTTCTAGTTCCTCTAACAGATTCTTGAACCTTTATTACATCCCTCCCACATTGTCAACTTCCCACTCTCACTTCCCTCAACCAAGGCCTTGGCCAGCGTGTTCCTACCAGAACCCTGAACCCAATTCAGCCAAGTCCCGTACGCTAGACACCAAACATGGAGGCCTCAATGTTCAAGACCCTCGTCGAGGTCGAATCCCGCGACCTAGACGCCCACCCTCCTCTCCTCCCCGCCGCCCCCGCCAAGGCCGTCCCGCGAACCTACCCGGGCGCACCACACCACCGCGACGGGTCCTCCATCGAGCTCGCCCGTATCGACACCACCACAGCCAACTACAACAACAACAAGAGCAGGGCCGGGACGCCGCGGGGCAGCGCCGGCCCTTCCCGGGCACAATCGCCGTCCCGGACCCCCGGCTCCGGAAGCGATATCGAGATGAGCCGGCCCTCGACGCCGACGGCCTTTGACGTCTTGCAGAGCATCACCGACCCGCACATGAACCGCTACCGCATGGCAGCGTCGTGTCTCATGAACTTTGGCAACGGGCTCAACGACAGCGCGCCGGGTGCCTTGATCCCCTACATGGAGAAGTGAGTCCCCCATACCTAAGCCCGCCCAGTGAGTCCGTGAGAACGACAGACTAACACAAACCAGACACTACGATATCGGCTACGCGATCGTATCCCTGATCTTCATAGGCAACGCCTTCGGCTTCATCTTCGGCGCCGTCTTCCTCGAATCCCTACGCCTCAAGCTCGGCCGCGCCCGCCTCCTCGCCCTCGCCCAGTCCATCATCACAATCGCCTACGCGCCCATCCTCGCCCAGGCCCCTTTCCCCGTCGTCGTCGTCTCCTTCTTCCTCATCGGCTTCGGCATGTCCATCACCCTCGCCGTCAACAACGTCTTCTGCGGCTCCCTCCGCAACGCCACCACCGCACTCGGCTTCATGCACGGCGCCTACGGGGCCGGCGGCACCGTCGGGCCTTTGATTGCTACCGCGCTCGTCACGGCTGCGAAGGCAAGGTGGAGCACGTATTACTTTATCCCCCTCGGCCTCGCTATCTTCAACGGCGTGTTCTCGACCTACACGTTCTGGCACTACGAGCGGGACCTCCCCGCCGGCGGCGCCCAACCTACGCCCGCCGCCGAGGCCGCAGCAGCAGCCAATACGTCGTCGTCCTCCCAGCTCCTGAGCATGTTCACCGCCCTCAAAATTCGCATCGTCCTCCTGGGAGCCCTCTTCGTCTTCGCCTACCAGGGCGCAGAGGTCTCCATCTCTGGCTGGGTCATCTCCTTCCTCATCGCGACGCGCAACGGCAACCCGGAATCCGTGGGCTACGTCACGGCCGGCTTCTGGGCGGGCATCACCATCGGCCGGCTCTGCCTCTCGCACCCGGCCCACCGCGTCGGCGAGAAGCTGTTCGTGTTCCTCGCCACCGTCGGTGCGGCCGTCTTCCAGCTGCTCGTGTGGCTGGTGCCCAACGTCGTCGGCCCCGCCGTATCGGTTGCGATTGTCGGGTTGTTGCTGGGGCCGATTTACCCGTGCGCGGCGGCCGTCTTCATGAGGGGGATGACGAGGACGGAGAGGGTGAATGGAATGGGAGTGATTAGTGCGTTTGGAAGCTCCGGGGGTGCGGTGGCGCCGTTTACGACGGGTATGGTTGCGCAGGCTGCTGGGCCTTGGGTATTGCATCCGATTGCGATTGGCTTGTTTGCCCTGATGATGGCTTCGTGGTATGGTGTGCCGCACGACAGGAAGAGGAGTGTATGAGTGCTTTGTAGAAGTTGTGGCACATGGGGTAGATCCCAATGACCAACCACCCACTAGCTATGGTCGACAAACTATATGGCTGACGGGAAGGGCCCCAGAGCTTGAAGTATTTTGGGAATTGGTTCTAATGATAGACAGGATGAGTATGAGTATTAACACAATCCGGATCGGGGATTTTTGATCCCCACTGGCATCGCATCAATATCAAACAAGCTGTACATATGTAAAACAAAATCAAACGCAATAGTGAGGCATTGCTCGTTGTATATCCCGTAGACCCAGTCTATGTCTATATCTAATATCAGAAAAGGAAAATCCTTGTTCTCCCGTCCTCGCTTTATTGGTATCTATACCGCCTCTGTTCTCTTCCTTTCTAGAAGCACCTCTTGTATTTCTGTATATGTCCATCATTCGGCGTTTCGTTCGTCGTCTAGTGGATACGTCCCCGCGCGGCGTCCTTGACGCTGAGCTTGCCCTCAACAATCTGCTTAACCGTAGACAAGATATCGGAGAAGTCGTTAAAGGTGACAAAGGAGATGCCCTCCTTTTCGCAGTACGCGACGAGATCTATCAATCCTGTCAGTGACGTCCCGTCGAGAGCCGATATCGCAACAAACAGAATGAACGATGGCGGGGGCGGGGTAAAATGAGTCTCACCTTTATCGCGCTTGGCAAACAACAAATCCGTCTCGCGCGCAGCAGACAGATCAGAAACACCATCACCAGCATAAAACATGACGGGCCGCTCCGGCAGCGAAGAGTACTTGCGCAGCTCAATCGACTTGTCGTGCCCGTGGATGCTGTCGTCATGGTAGACAATCTGCCACCCGCCCTCCTCGTTGATGCTCGCCTTGCCCTCGCGCGGCGCAACCTGGTTGCTCACAATCTGGATGTGCCCATCGACCTCCTCCTCGCCGAGCCACTGCACGAGCAGCGCGCGGATGATAGGCCGCATGCCGCCGGAGATAATCACGACGGGGACGTTGTTGGCGCGGCACCAGGTGTAGAACTCCTTGAAGACGGGGTCGAGCTTGACGTTCTTCTTGAGGTACTCGATGCACTGGTCAAAAGGGAGCTTGACCGAGTCCATCATCTCCTGGAAGCTGTCGCGGAAGTGCTTCTTGCCCTCGAGGACGAGGACGTTGCCGGCGCGGCGGTTCTCGTAGCCGTAGCCTACGTTGTCTGTGAGGAAGTCGTTGGAGTCTTCGAGGGTGATTGTGCCGTCAAAGTCGGTGAAGAAGATGAAGTTTGGGTTCGTGGCCAGGGCCGGGGTTTCGCTGACGTGGGAGCCCATTTTGATGGTCTTGGATGTGTCGGTGTAGTAGAGAAATGTCAAAGAGTGCGATTCTTGGAATGATGGTGAGAATACAAGTGAATGCTTCTCGGTAGGTTCGTGGGCAGGTGGGAGGAATTGTGTGTTTCTGTCTTGGAGGTTTGTAGGGACTAGAAATTTGGATAGAGGGGGAGGGGTAAAACCAAAAGGCTCGGAGGATTGCCAACAGATTTAGTTCAGATTACAGATCCTTGTATGCGCGAGTACCTTACATGCACATTGAGAAAAATCCATCAATGCTCAACGTGGAACAGCAACGGTACATGCCCAGCCGGAGGGTTCGAATTGAGGCACTCCGCGCCTCCCACTGGCTGTACTCATTAGTCTTTCTTACTACCATTGTGGCCCATCCTTGAATCGAGCTGGAATACAGCGAGTAAGACTCTTCTCAAGTTCCCAACACTAGGTAATGCTTTCCAGTGTCTAGCAAACTTGTCCAAGTAAGAGGGAAAATCCACCATTAGTCCCGCTCCAGTGACGACATCCGCCCCTCTTGTCCAACCGTCGCTTTGACGGACCCTTGCAACGAGTCAGCGCACGACCAATGGACCCTGAGAGCGCAGATGTTGGCCTACAGCGCATCTCTAACGGCCTCGGGCCGGGTAAAGTAGCAGTTGCTTCAGTGCATTATAGGTGCATAATGACCTGGCGTTGTAGGCGAGTACTTGGCGGATTACCTTAGTCTTCGAGTCGGGGACCATTCTTAGTTGCGGGTGACAACACGTGGGTGTGGTGCAGAAACCTCAAGGATACTTTCAGAATAAGGCATGATTTCTTGAATGACACATGAAGCCCAGTAAGAAAAAAAAAAGATTTTTTTTAAAAAAAAATCTTTTCCTTGTAGTCAAAGCTTGCTCCATTCAATATTAATACTCTTCTTTCCTTTGCATCACCATCTCGAGGCTTATCTACTGAGTAGTAAACCAAACATGAAGCAAGGAGCCTTCTTCGTAGAAACCGGCCAAGATCACGTAAACGAGTTCTTCGACTAACACTCAGGCTATCATTATCGACAATTCGAGAAAAGGCTGACGCCAAGCCAGTTTGAAAGCTACTCGTCATAAGTCTATTGCCAGATTGATACTCATTCAAAAGTAGTACAACTCGGCTCGGTAGACATCCCGGACCGTCAGTCTTCTTCGCCCTTCTACCGCCCCACTTTCCACACCTTCAACCCCGGCACCGGCCCGACGGGAGTTTCTATATCCGGAACGGCAAGCGGTGAAACATCTCCAAGCCCCCAATTGAACCTCTCCCGGCAGAAAACCAGCGCCAGACCCGCCCGGTGCGCTCAACACGATGCCGAGTCCAGCCCCGAAAAAGCCCACTCGCTCCGCCCCAGAAGACCGCAGCTAACCACCTTGCCTTACTTCTCGTCCAAACTTTCGTGAACCTCTCCCAAAATCCCTCCCGTCCTCCGTCCGCCGACCCGGCTTCCCCGTCCGTTTTGAACCACCTCGGCCCATCCCCCAAACCCGCCAATTGGGCCACTTTCTCTCCCGTCCTTTCTTTGCTGTCAAGGAAAGGAACAGAGAAGCTCGGCTCTCTCTATCCACCATCGTCGTATTCCGACAAACCTTCAACGGGAGAGGATGCACTCCATCGCCAGGCCGGCGTCGCGCCTAGTCCACGCCCGCCTCGGAACGGCAAACCTCTCACGATGGAGGACCCTCGCGGCTCTGCCATCTCCGCGCCATAACCTCACATTGTCGTCGTCCTCGCCCTCCTCTCGACGGTTCTACTCGGATCTGCCACCGATCTTCGCCCCTCCGCCGCCGAAGGAAGAGCCAAAGCAAGCTTCCCCGACCTCGACCTCCTCGACGACGAGCAGCGACCCGTCCGCCCAGAGCTCGGATGCGACCACTGCAAGCTCCTCCACAGCTCCCGACTCATCCTCTTCCTCGTCCTCGACACCAGACAATGACACCACCACGAGCTCCTCCTCCTCCTCCTCCTCCTCATCACCCAAACCCGACCCCCCCAAAAACCAATCTCCCGACGACCCCCTCCCAGACACAGCAACGAAAATCTACACCGCCCTCCCCCCAGCCCTCTCCGAAAAACTCTCCCACCTAATGGACACAGCCCAAACCCGCCTCCTAACCGCCTCGACAACCCTAAACACCCTGACCGGCTACGCCCCCATCGAAGAAATCAAACGCCAAAACACCCTCCTCGAAACCCGCCTCGCCCAGGCCCAAGACCTCGTCCGCACCGCCCGAACAACCTACAAAACCACAAACGCCAAGCGCGCAACGACCCAGCGCGAAGTCACAACCTTGCTCGCGCGCAAGGAAATGTGGTCCCCCACCGACCTCGAGCGCTTCACCCAGCTCTACCGCCAAGACCACTCCCTCGAACAAGAAGTCGCCGCCGCGTCCGAAGCCTTGACCGACGCAGAACACGCAGAGCAAGCTCTGGGCCAGCAGCTCAACGCGGGGATACTCAAACGCTACCACGAGGAACAGATCTGGTCCGACCGCATCCGGCGCGCGTCGACATGGGGAACCTGGGGCCTGATGGGCGTCAACGTGCTCCTCTTCATCGTGCTGCAATTCATCGCAGAGCCGTGGAAGCGCAGACGTCTAGTCCGCGGCGTCGTCGAGGAAGAAAAAGCCGTGCTCGAGGGCGTGACGGCCGAGCTGGCTGGGCTCAAAGCCGCGTTGGCGCAGAGGGAGGCGTATGACGATGCCGCTACTGCCGATGATGTAGCCGCGTACATGGCGTCCACGATGGCGGCGACAGGGACGACAACACCCGCTGCGGCAGTGGAGGAAGAAACACCACTAGCCGGGGCGGAACCCACATCAGCAGAGGAGGCGGAGGAGCTCCTGGCAGCCAAGGTCGAGGAGCCGGCCGTCCAGCACGAGATGGAGCGTGAGGTCGCGAGTGCGCTCGAGGTCTTGGAAACGCAAGTCCCCGAGGCGAAATCATGGCGCGAATCATGGCGCGAGCTCCTCGCCGACCCGGAGCTTCTAAAGGCGAAAATCGCTGATTTGTACAGTGAGCGCCGCATCGATCTCCGCATGCGCGATGCGTCCATCTTGGCTCTCGAGGGCGCTGCCGCTGGAGCGACGTTTGCGGCAGCTCTGGCGTTGCTGCTGGTGAGGAGGACATGAAGAGAGAAAAAGGATCACATCACCACTAGAACGTGATTGTAAATTCATCTGTACAATATGATACCATATAGAGAGAGCATGGAGGGAACATCCTCTTCGATATTGGCACAAAAACAACCACATCGATCATCAGCAAACACGGGGCGAGCAATCTTGTCATCCGCTGAATGTTCCGTCTATTAAAGAAGCTGCGGCAGGGGTGGCGCAAAACCTCGCTGATATACCTCTAGTCACGATTCCGCCGACTTGGTCCCTTTTTCCAATGTTCAATGGTGAACAGTCGGGGCCATACTACTTTTTGCTTCATATATCGTGTTCGCCCGTCACTTCGTTTTTTCCGCCTGCGGTTTATCGTCACAACCCCCGACGACGCGCAGCGTCTTCACGCAACATCAACAAGCATCGCTCGTGCTGGACGTGCCTGTATAGCACACATCGAGCTGGCGCTTATCCACGCTGTACCTGCTCGGCATTCTACTTCCTTCTCACCCTCTTCAAAGACGTCACTGAAAGGATCCAGCAACATCCAGGGTTCATTTCCAATCTAGTTTCCATCATGGCTCTAATCAAAGTCGGCAGTGTAAGAGAAACCACGGAACTCTTCCTGCATGGCTTGCGACAAGACTATAGCCTGGTTAGCTGCTGATATCTCCGTGATGACAACGTAGATATACATACCTGATTGGACAGGGGTCAAGACGGGTGTAACGCTTGTGAACTCAGAATCGAAGTTGCTGGTATCGGTCGCGCTCTTGATCTGCGGCATGAAAGGCGGCGCAACACGCTTGTGGTAGATGTCATCCCAGTTGATGTTCCTAAAGAACGGCTGGTTCATGATCTCCTGCGCGTCCGTGGGACCGCTTCCAAGACGCTGGTCGGGCTCTCTGGTCAGGAGCTTCTGAAGGATCGATACAGAGTCTCTGGGCATGTGAATGGGGTACAGAGGCTCGTCGGCGAGAATGGCATCATAAATCTCATCCTCGTCCTCTCCTCGGAAGGGTGATTGCTGGAGAAGCATCTGGTAAATCAAGACACCAAATGCCCACCAATCAACGGCACGGCCGTACTTCTTGTCGAGTAGAATCTGGACCAACAGTCAGCAGGAGTCTTGTAAAGAAAGGCGGATGAGTATACCTCGGGTGCCATAAACTCTGGAGTGCCGCAGAAGGTGCTCGTAGTCGAGCCGAACCACATGTCTTCCTTGCAAAGACCGTAATCGGCAATCTTGATGTGTCCATCCAAGGTCAAAAGGATGTTGTCAAGCTTCAGATCACGGTAGATGACACCGTTCTCGTGGAAGTACTTGAGCGCCAAGCAAACCTCGGCGGCGTAGAATCTAGAATTTGGTCAGTAAATGTCGTGGTGAGAATGGGCAAGGAATTACGTACTGCGCTCGTTTAGTGCCAAACTGGCCTCGCTGGATGTGCAGCATGAGATCACCACCGCTAATGTACTCCATAACGAAGTACACACGTGTCTCAGTTTGGAAACATGCGTGAAGGTTGGTCAAGAATGGGTGCCTCTCCCGGTTGGCAATAAGGAACACTCTCTTCTCGGAGCGAATGCTCTCCACTTCGTCGTTCTCAATGATGAACTCCTTCTTCAACACCTTGATAGCATAAAGCCTCTTGGATCGCTTCGTTTCCGCGAGCATGACCTTTCCGAAGTTACCCTTACCAAGCACAGCCAGGAAGTTGAAATGGTCAAGGCCAATACGTTGACCAGTTCCTGGATCGGTGGCGGAAGGCAACGGCTTACGTCCAGCGCCAGAGCTAGGAACACCACCAGTTGATGCAATGGGTGAGATTTGAGGTGGCTCCTGCAGCTTAGGCGAGGAGACGGGCGACTGCTGGTACATTTGCTGTTGGGGAGGCTGCTGGTACTGCTGAGGGGGAGGCTGTTGCTGCTGCGGCGGCTGCTGCTGAACAGGTCGCTGCTGTTGTTGCTGTTGCGCAGGAGGATGTTGGCCGTATCCAGCTTGCTGGTTGACTTGCGCGTAGTCTGCCGGGTTGTACTTGGGGCCGCCGCTGTTGTACGAGTCTGGTTGCTCTGCCTGAGCCGGGTACCCAGGGCGTCCACCGTAACTTGAGTAGTCCTGAGACTGAGGCTTTTGCTGGGAAGCCATTGATCCGCTCATCGCCGCCGTCGCTGCAGCCGCCGCTGCCGTGCTTGAAGAAGTACGATCAGGGTGCATTGGTCGCTGGCCAGGCGGAGACTGCTGCTGCTGCTGTTGGTACATCAACTTGGCAGCCTCAGTTGCCTCCGGTGACCCTCCAGCATACGGCTGGCCTCCACTATGAGGAGAGCCGATAGTGCTAGTTGGGCTTGTCGGCTTCTGCCGCAGCGTCCGATCGCTAAGAGACGTGGAAGTCTTGTTCTTGGAGATCATTCTAGTAGACTTGATACCCTCCAAAATCTGGTTCGCCACAGCCATTGACATTCCACAGAAGTCAGGAACAAGGTGTACGCATGCCGCGTGTGCTGTGAGGCCACATTCTATTCAAAAGTCAGCATTGTCTTTAGTTTGCCCGTTTGGTACTTCTCGCAAACTTACCCGCACATTTCCTGCAGTTCTTCTTGCCAAATGGCAGAATGTAACCGCAGTGGCAACACCAGTTGGCTGTCATGTTTGAGAAGGCCTGGAATCTGTGGGGGATGCGGTGATTGATCTTCTCTTCGTCCGGATCAGTTTCAGCGTTACTCTTACTGATACATTTGGTGACAACGCTAGAGTAGCATTTAGTGTGGCAAGTGTACTTGCAGTCCTCGCACTGCATGCCTGTCGAATACTTGAGGAAGTCTCCGCAAAGGGCGCAGCGCATGATGTTGTAGAACTGGTGTTGGACAAACTTGTGTCCGTACATCTCGTGAACCTCCTCCTTGCGCTGACGAACAGCACCCACACGGCCGAGACCTTGCAAGTTGACGGGGCGGCGAGCGTTGTTTTGCTTGAGGAATCCCAAGGATAGTTGAATCTGGCCAGCAGGCTCGAGGTTGAACCAGCCATCGATGGGCTGCTGAGCGATCGGGGGGTTCGCCATGGGAGGTTGTCCTTGTTGACCTTGCTGTCCTCCAACACCGGGAGAGGGGGGGGGACCGCCCATTGACTGCTGCTGCTGTTGGGGGTTCATTGGGAATTGCGCCGGCGGAGCACCCATACGGTCGGCCGACACCCAGCCAGAGCTGTTTATCTCTGCTTCGATCCTCTTTCTTCTCATTTCCTCGGCGATGTCGGAGATTCTGACCCAGAGCATGGCAATAGGAATGGCATGTTCGCCAGGCTTATCGTATACGGTAAGTTCGATTTCGTTCGCCTTGTCGACTTCAAGGGTATGGTACTCGGCTTCCCACTTGTCGGTTCTGGTCACTCTCGTGCGGGCGACGACGTTGTCTTCGACCTTGACGGCGATAAAAGTCTCGGGTCCTCGGCTAAAGCGACTCATGGACGCGTGATCAACATCCTTGATTTGTCCGACACGAATGGTGAGCTGGCCAGAGAGGGGCTTGCGGAGATTAGGCATGTTGATAGAGTCATCTAGGAAGTGTTAGCAGGAGCAGTCCGACGAGATAGATTTCCGCGAGCATAAAATTCCCAAATTTTACGTACCATCCTGGGCATCAGATGTGTCCATGTCGATGTGCAACTCCTCGTAGCGCTTCATAGCCTGCTTCAACAAAAGAATTTTCTGCTTGCTCTCGACTCTTCTAGCGGCAGCATCAGCCTTGCTCTTGCGATCTCCTTCCATGCCGTATAGCTGAACCATCTTCTCGATTCCCTTGAGATACTGCTCCTCCACGTTGAGCTTGAACTGAATTTGCGACAGCATGAGCTGAATACGAGGACCGAGATACGGGGTATCATATTTGATAAGATCTGCAGCGGATAGTCAACAACTCAGGTTCGTTGAAAAGGTTTCGGGGGTAATGCGCACCAAGCTTGGTGAAGTTGGGGCGCGGCTTAGGGATGGAGGAAGAGGGGCCTGGATTGGCATAAGGATGGCGGGGAGGCATCAGGTCGGCGTGGCCGCCAATCTGGCTGTACTGGACATTGCCGCCCGACGTTGCGCTCCCGGCACCATATCCGCCACGCTCTGCCCAGGCATTCGCATCCTTGGGAGGAGGGGCGGGCGCATCCTCAACGTCGCCGCTCAGAGGTCTGCCGTCGCCGGAAGGAGATCCCATGGACATGTTGTCCATACCCCGACGCAGCTGAGCCTCGCGAAGCTTCTCTTCGAAGAACTGCAGGTTTCGACGGCCATCGCGCATCTGGGAGTCGAGTCGTGATCGCACGGCCTCGTTGTTTGTCTGGGCTCTCATAGCATTGGCGGCGTTGAGGAGAGCCTTTTCGCGCTCAATCTTTTTGAGGATGTTTTGGATGGCATCTTCGTCGTTCATTGTGACGGTGGGGTTGCGCGACTCCACGCGCGGGAACTATGCGTTGTGTTGATGTTGATTATTTTTTTGGTTGGAGGGGAAAAGGATGAGCTTTGAAGCTACTTGAAAGTTCAAGAACAGCCCTAGAGGAGCGACTGCTGCGTTTAGGTATAATGTACGCAGATTCTCTCGCCCGTTCTGTTGTGATCACCTCAATGTCGCGCAGGTGGCAGGTGGGCGAGGTAGTGGGTGCGAGGTATGGTATTGATAGGATACGACGCGAGGAGAGAGAGAGGGCGAGGGTGATCGGGAGTGAGGTAGGTAGGTAAGAGATGGGTACGAAGTTCAGTAGCGAAGTATGCGTATGGATGGATACCGGAGGTTCGGCGCCGGAGGGGCTCGGGGTAGGTTAGCACAGCGGGAGGATCGGTCTGTCGGAACTGTCACGACAGAAGATCGGTGGGTGCAGCCAGCCCTCGAGTCGTGAGGTGGTGTTGTTTTTTCGCAGGTTGGGCTGTTGGTGAAGGATGTCGTCAGTGGGTTTTGGAGCAGGACGGGACGCAAAGACGGGGGGGGTTTCTCGGGAGGGGTCGCTCTCTCTCTCTGTCTCTCGCGGCCGCCAGTGCGCAGGCGGGCAGAGTGGAGGTGGGTGAGGGAGGACGAGGAGACGGGTGGGCAGCGGGAGAGGACGGGGTACCGGGAAAGATGTATCTTTTGTGTGTTGATAGGTCCAAAAGATACTTAGAAACAAAGTATCCCTCCGACCCTGACTCCCAGTCCTGAATCCCCGAGCTGCGGCCTGCCTTTGGGCTGCCCGCTCTGAGAGCACGGGAATTGGGAAATACCTACTGCTACCTAAGGTGCCTAAGGTAAGGTACCTTACCTGAGGTATTAGATATGTATCTCTTTTGGAGGGGAGGGAGGGGGACGACCTCAGCAGTCCTGCCTTGCCTGAGGTGCTTCCTGCCGTGATGGAGGGGTGTTACGAAAGCACCCGGCACGGACGAGGCAACTCTGTAACTCGATGTGAAGATGGCAGGCGAGCTAAAAGCAAGGTACATTCAGACGATTATTTCAATTAAGGCACCTTACCTTACTTTGCCTACCCTCATATTCCCGTCATTTACCACTCGTGCCACTGCAATCCCACATTGATCCGAGGGTTAGTAGCTAAGGCCAAAGATCATCAAAGATATCCGCAATGTTATTTCGACCGTCCTCGGGGGGATCCATCGGCGTCTCATCATCCCCATTTCCTCTGATGCCCAACAACACTCGCTGCGGGTGCGCTTACCAGGTTTGTCCCTCTCCCATGCGGGTATTCATGCCCAGTATCCGTAAGGCCAGCGCGGATACCTACCTACACTGCTACAGCCTGCCTGCAACTGCATACCTACAGTATGTACGGAGTACCTAGAGGCTAGAACCAGGGCCAGCTGCTCTAGGATGGCACAAGTTTGATGTCGTATTCCAGGCTATAGTGAAAAGGCCGCACTGGTTGGCGAACTCACTTGCATCTTGCAAAGCAGGGAAGATGGGCGCATAGGGCAGCAAAGCTCAGCTGGACTGTTCCGTTTCTTCCACACCGGTCGCCTTCTATTAGTCCTATCTCAGGCATCTCGGTGTCACCAGCCAAATAGTTGGCAGGCAATGAAACAATTCAACAACTTGTGGCGGCGCCCTGCAGATTCACAGAGGGGAAGACAAAAACTCGCAGAGCAAGCGACCTGCAAAAAGTCCTGGATCGGACGTGGGGCTCCAAGGCTTTCCTAGGACTTTTTTTCCTACCGTACTGTTTCACCGTGGTGAAGATTCATTTCTGCTCTGCGCCAATCATTTCGCATTCCCGGGTTCAGACTCACTCTTGTCACTTTAAGCTGATGATACAAAGGACAATGTACCTTTGTACATCCACTCTCAGATATATCCACACAGTACTCCGTACCTCTCTCTCATCACATCTACACCTCACCACACTCTTGTCTGTCTGGAGAGACAGACTCCAGTGAGCCCAGTCTCTCACCCATGGGTCACACATCAAGGAGACAGAACGTCATGGTCACTTATACACATTGCCTGGCAATGTTGATAAGGTTCCACCTCCCAGCTGAAGCACTCATCTTGCTCTATGTATGGAGGCACGGATACTGTATGGCATTGTACACAGCGGACGATATCTGTACCACCATCTCCAAGTCTCGGGGAGTTTATCGGCCCAGTTTTCCCAACACGGCCCATCCTCGCAGTCGCCGGGCTTGCAGCAGCTGCATCATCGCCCGATCCCCCATCACGACCACCACGCACAAATCACACTTCACACACGCGCTGCCCGTCACCTTGCCATGATCTGATGATGCAGCCCTAGGTCTCCCGTCTTCCGTCTCTACGTCTAGCCCTGCTCTAGTCTGTTTTTTTCGTACAGTAAGTACGATGGGACGCATACCCCCAGGTTCACGCTGACTACGTAGGAGTTATTCAAGTTGCTTCTAAAAGCCGATAATCCCATGAACGTTACCGAGCACATGTCACTACTCCAGAGTCACCATTCTACCTCTCAGTATACACCAGAAATGCCCGTCATGCTTTTTCCCAACCCCCAGCAACGTCTCAAGCATCTAACAAATTCCTCAACACAAGAGGCCTCCTCGCCAACGCCATCGCCACAGGGCTCTATACCACCACCGCCCACCTCGTGATTGGGGGGTTTTTACCACCGGCCGACTTAGCCTCCCGGCTGACACCTCTGCCGGAGAGGTCTCACCAAAATGCCCCTCCCGCCACCACACAGCTGCCGGCCGGCCTTTCCGGCCCAACGCCGCGCCACACCGACGGCCAAGTCCTCAGCCCTCTACTCCAGGCACTAACACCACAAAACTTCCCCCAGATTCCACACACACGCACACAAGCTATCTCTCACCCACACCTCTGCTGAACTTCGATAAATGATCAAACACGCGGGTCCCCTTTTTTGAATACGAACTGACAACAGTCGACCTACCTCTTCCGGACGGGGAAAATGTGGATAGCTAGCCCATCAACCCCGAATTCGGGTCACCGCCTGTTACTTCCTCAAAAGTCACCTCTCGTCCTATCGTTCTCGTCCCAATCAAAGACACGGTCAACGGATATGCCATACCACGGCTCAGCATGTCATCTGTAACGCTTACCTGAAACAAACCTCCCAACCAAGCAGCTCACTCGCTGCCAACCACTACACGCGGCTCAGCTGAACCAAGCATGCTGAAGCACATTGAGCCGCCCAAATGCATACTCAAGAGGTTAATGCCAACCATGGAAACACAAGTGACAACAACCACTTATGACTTATCCGAGGGGGTGGGAGAACACGTAATTCCAGCCCGCCAACTTCGAGGGCTTGACGTCGCGGAACCGTTTCGACCCACCCTCTCTCCGCGGCCGCCGTCCAAGGTGGTCCCCTTGCCCCAACCCACCCGGTCCGCGTAATGCCAAAGAAACCTCCCGAGACTGTCACTGTATCTGTATCTCTAATCTGGTTCGAAGATTGCGGCTCAAGCCGATCAACTTCTGTTACTCATGCCTCTCATCGTCCCTAATCAGATCGTCGAGATGCGATGAAGCCAATCATGATCCGCTCGGACATGTCATCGCGTAGTGATTTGAGCATTTTTTCGTAAATGCCTTCCTCGGGTCACGTTCCGCTCAAATTTCCATTGGTCTGTGTGTTTCTAATTGGCGTCTGTGTTCTGGTCTGAAGTTTGATGCGAAGCGTAGAATTGCTGTTGAGCTCATGCAGCGAATGCGGCATTTGCACATTGGACGCCTAAAATGGGATGAATGAAATATGTCAACGTCAACGACTCCTGGCTTCCACAAAAGGTCGGTAATTCATTTCATCTAGCGATTTGGTTTGAGCTTCATGAAATGACCTCTGCCATAGGAATTCCCTAAGGACGGTTCCGCCTCGATTTGGAGCATGAAGTACGAGGTATGAGATGCAGCCTATGAATAGTCACCTAGACTTTCCACACTGTAGTTCTTATGTGATGGGTAGGTTCCGAGGATGACATCATGTCAACTTTCATCTTTGGTGGTAGGAAATTGCAACTCGATCTGCCAGATGCTACCCAAGGTTGGCCCTACTCCATCAGCCTGGAGTAGAAGCCCTCGGCAGACTAGTATTTTGCCGGGAGTGAATCAAGTTACTTCCACTTGACAATGCCCTCTGGCCATTGTCATAATTAGACTAGAAACACCAACCATCATTAGCAATGGTCGACTCAGAGTACCTGTCGAAAGTGCCCTTCAAGGCTGACGCCATGAAGTTATGAAGGCAAGCCAAAGTCCTACGAGCGGATAGAGGCATCGCGGTATGGCGAGACTCGAATCACGCAGGGGACGCAACTTAACAATGAGGCTCTAGGGACTTTCCACATGAGATTTCATAGAGCATCTGACGAATCATCATTCGCGAGGCAATGCGCCCCAACACCGAATCGTGTCGCTTTTACTAACAAAAGACGCCATCTAGTAACCTACACGACTCCCATGGAAAAAGCGTTGCAACTTTGCAATTCGCCCTCTTCTAACATCACGATAGACTTGAGATAGCTACCACCCCCTTTATGCGGTATACTCCTTCTGCAACAACTTGGCAATAGTGTTGAGCTGGATATTGCTCGTGCCCTCGTAAATGGCGCCAATCTTGCTGTCGCGCCAAAACTTCTCGGCGGGGCCATCGCGGACGAAGCCCATGCCGCCCATCCACTCGATGGCGAGACCGCTCACGCGGCCAGCGACCTGGCTGGCGTACAGCTTGGCCATGGCGGCGTCCATGACAAAGTTCTCGCCCGCCTCCTTCTTGCGCGCCGCGTTGTAGACCAGCGCGCGGGCGGCGGCGATCTCGGTGTAGGACTGCGCGATCTGGTGCTGCATGCCCTGGAACTCGCCGACGAGCTGGCCGAACTGCTTGCGGTCGTTCCAGACGTATCTTTAGCGGTGTTAGTAAGACAAGGTTTACGAAGAAGTTTTTTTTTTTTTTTAAAAAAAAAAAGGGGGCGGTCTCACCTGACGGCATTCTCCCAGGAACCGAGAGCGAGACCAGTCATCTGAGCCGCGATACCGATACGTCCCTCGTTCAAGAGACCAATGGCGTACTTGTAACCCGCGCCCTCCTCGCCGAGGAGGTTCTCCTTGGGGATCTCGACATCGTCAAAGTTGATGACGCACGTGCTGCTGGCCTTGATACCCAGCTTCTTCTCCTTCTTGGCGATAGAGAATCCCTTGGCATCCTTCTCGACAATGAACGCCGTGATGCCCTTGTACCCCTTGGACGGGTCCAGGTTGGCAAACACGATGAAGAAGTCGGCCTCCTTGGAGTTGGTAATCCACATCTTGGAACCGCTAATCTTATACCCGCTCTCCGTCTTGGTCGCCTTGGTCGCCAGCGCAAACGCATCGGAACCACTGACAGGCTCGCTCAGACAGAAGCTGCCGACGGTGCTGGTGGCGAGCTTGGGCAGGAAGCGCTTCTTGAGCTGGCTGCTGCCCCACTTGATGATGGCCGTGTTGACGAGGGTGTTGTGCACGTCGACGAGGACGCTGACGCTGGGGTCGACGCGCGCGAGCTCCTCGATGCCGATGATGGCGCTGGTGAAGTTCATGCCCGCGCCGCCGTACTCCTCGGGGATCTCGACGCCCATGAGCCCCTGCTCGAACAGCTGCTCCACGATGGCCGGGTCCATGTTCTCCGCCTCGTCCATCTCGCGCACCTTGGGCGCGATCACGTCGTTGGCGAACTTGCTCACCGCCTCCTGCATCGCGGCCTCGACCTCGGAGAGGTGGGTGATGGGCGTTGGGGGAATGTCGGCGATGTCAAAGTGGTCGGCATTGCGGCGGCGCTGGGTGGTGGAAAGGGGTCTTGCGGTTCTGGAAGAGGGTAAATATTTTAGTATCTTTGCTTGAAGTCGAGGAGTTGCGGACTTACTGCTGGAGTGGGGAGAGCGCTCTGCCTGGTGTGCAAGTCCTCACCCTCGCGAGGGCAGCAACACCACGGCTTCCTCTCAAAGCAGGGCGAACGGCCCTAGCAATCGACGACATGGTATACGATGTGGTGTGTATATAGTCTCGAGATCACTCAAGCAAGTCGGTAATAGCAAAGAGAAAACAGGGCAAGAAGAACTCCGGAGGTGCGGGAAGATCTGGGGATCGTGGGAACTCCTCGGCTACTTATGGTCTCGCTCGGCCGTGCGGTGGCAGCTAACAGAGAGAAGGCAAACGCCCGGACGGAAACGGTCAATTGGCGTTGAACGGTTTCCCGAAATACAGCGTGAGATGATAAGGTAAGATTAATCGTAGACAAGGAGAGCAAGTCAGGAGTAATGTGTAGGTAGAGTAGAGTAGGCCACACAAAACAAGTCAAACATGCGGTGCGCCCTAGGCCGTGAACCTCAAAGCCATTCGAAGCCACGGTACCTGGCGGCTGGCGAACAGACACAGCGCCCGCTTCAGCCGAGGATATCCATCCCGCAGCGGGGGGAGACACTGGGGGGCCAACACTGTCCCAGAGTCCCCAGTTTTGCTCCAAGTCTGGGGGAAAGCCGACGGCGTAGCACCCAGATGGGCGACATGCCAGGGGTTTCTTGGGGTTCTATGGGTGACACGGTGACGCTAGAGTCGCTTACGTCAGGACTTGAATTCTTGCAACGGGCATGTGATGCACCTCTAGAGCCGCCCAGTGCGAGTCACCTAAGCCGATGCCGTCCGTGGTCCGAGTTGCAAAAGGTCGGAAGTGGGTCCGGGGGACGGAACGCGCTCCTCTGGCCTGAGGCGCCGATTATCGTTCAAGTTCAACCCCTTGCGATAGCCAATTGACTTAGGTAAGCAAAAAATCCAGCTCCAGGGATTCGAATGCACACCTAGGTGCCCAGTCGCGACGATAGCTTCCAGATCGTGACGACAGCAATTGGACGCCGAATACACTCGACACCAATTGCCCGACATGGCCAGCACACTCCTCAGATCCCTCTTCGCCCCGGCGATGAGGCCAGCGGCTTTCCCTCGCGCCGCATCCATCCTCACACCGACAGCGACCACCATCACCACCCCCCTGATCCGATCCTTCTCCTCGACGCCCGTACAAAATGCCACCATCATGCAGGTCCTGAGAGTTCGTCCTCCCTCCCTCACTTCCTCCACGAAATATTAACTAATTATTCAAAATCATAGGGCTGCCACAAGAAGGGCAAGCGCGCCCGTCACGCCGTCTCCCCCGCCCTGTCCGAGATCAACGCTCCCGCCCTCAAGGGCGTCTGCCTCAAGGTCGGCATCACCCGCCCCAAGAAGCCCAACTCTGGCCAGCGCAAGACCGCTCGTGTGCGCCTCTCCAACGGCCGCCACGTCACCGCCTACGTCCCCGGCGAAGGCCACAACATCCAGCAGCACAGCGTCGTCCTCGTCCGCGGCGGCCGCAGTCAGGATTGTCCTGGTGTGCGGTACCATCTCGTCCGTGGCGCGCTCGATCTCGGAGGTGTGGCCAACCGTGCTACTTCCCGGTCCAAGTATGGTACGATGAAGCCCAAGAAGGCTACTGTTTCTTAAAGTTGGAGGTCTTCAGTTTGGAGGATGATATGAGTGGAAGACGCTTGGATAGGCGCTGTGGAAGGGATTCAGAGCGGACGGGCATTTCCTGCCTTGTTGCGGTGTACGACTACTAGACACCATGAGACATATCAAGACGTGTACTACTACAATGTACAAAATACCAAAAGAGATTTCACAATTTTCAGGCATGTTCAAGAAGTTCAAGTTAAAGCTGGAGAAACACCAGACGGACCCTTCCATTTGCCTATATCTACACAGCAAAAAACGTGTCCAAGTCTTACAGAACCATTTACGCCACTCCACAGTTGGTACCCATGTGCCTGACCAGTGCCTCTCATCGATGCAGGTAAACTCAATTGGTGGCCTTACCCAAGGCCAATTCTGGAATTTGTTGTTACATGCCACTCTTTTATCACGCCCCCGTTTTGCTCTAGTCCTGCTGGTTCTCGTAACCCTCAGGCTTGTCCAGACCGTTGATCTCGAAGTAGCGGCTCGTGCCTGATTCATTGTTAGTGGTGTTTGCGAAGAGGTCATTATCACAGCCAACTTACAAGAGTAGCCCTTCCAGTCAAAGTTGTCCTTGGGGTTGCAATGGCAGCGTCTGTCGAGACGAACCTTCTCGCCAGTGGGGCAGTGGGTGAAGGGAACGTGGTAGTAGGCGATATCGTTGAAGAAGTGAATCTGGTCCTTCGGCAGCATGAGACCGGCGGCGATGGAGTGCACAGGCGCGTCACCCCAACGCTCGTAGAAGAAACCACCATCCTGGTCGAGGGACTCGAAGTAGTCGATGTAGGCCTTTGAGCGGAGCCAGTTGAGGTCACCAACTTCAAAGTTGGACCACTAGTCTCAGTCAGCAATGTCACTAGCAAAGTCCTCTTAGTAGGCCAACTTACGAAATGGCAGTGGTTGTAAGAGTCACCACCGTCGTCACTGAGGAAGCCCATGGAGTTGCCCTCGGCAATGTGCTCGGGGTGGTTCTTGATGAACTTCTTGGTGCTGTCCCAGAGAGTGGGGATGGTCTCGACGTACTCGTACAAGCTCAGAACGAAGCTGTACTTCTTGTTGTTCTCCTTCATGAAGCGGAACGGATCGTAGTGGATATCGCAGAAGAGCTCAATGGAGGGCTCAACACGCCAGTAGTAGTCGTAGTTCATCATGGCCGGCTGGCGGAAGAAGAAACCAGACTCGAAACGGCACATGTGGCGGTAGCTCACAGAGTCGCCGTAGATGATCTTGCGCTGGGCCATGTCCTCGCGAACCTTGCGGGCCTTCTCCTGGTCAATGTGCTCAGGGAAAGACCAGTGCTCCTTGGGGATCTCGCCATAGTGAGTCTTGCCGGAAACAAGGGAGGTGGTGACCTTCTTGAAGGTGGCATCGAAAGGCTTGTCGTTCAGGAAGACCCAGTCATAGTTGTAGCGGCGGTTGAATCGGTCCTCAACCTGACGGATGGAGCGGGCAATGTCCCAGATATCGGAATTACGGGCGAGGGTGACGAAGGTGGCATTCATGCGCGGGCCGTCTGCAATGCCAGAGAGCTCATCCCAACCAGGCTCGTTCGGGGTCATGGCCATGGGCCAGTCCTTGGGGTTGTATGGCTCGCCGACCTTGGGGCTCTTGGTTTCGGAATGAGCGGGCTGCTTGGGCTTCTCGCCCTCCTTGTTCTCGCCTTGCTGTTGCTGCTGGCCGCCGGCTGGAGCACCGCCGGGTTTGCTGAAAGAGCCATCCTGAAGCCTTACACCCTCGTAGCTAGAGTGGGAAATGAAGTAGAAAACGGCGAGGCCCTGCGCGAGAAGGTGGATGTAAGCACGAAGTCATGAAGTTTCTTTAACGTGTGTATCATGGGAATGTCGTCGAGATGCGAAAGGCATTGTGCCGCGCGTCTAGGGATCAGAGCTGACTGCGCTCGCGCAGAGTGGGAGCTGGGGATCAACTTACGAAGAAGGCGAAGAGAATGTATCGCACATAGCGTGCTGAGCCTGTCGCCATCTTGACCGGTGTATTCAGGCCTTGAATGGAAGCCTGGTTCGGTTGAAAATGGATGAAGCAGAATGGAAGAATAAGAGAAATCCCGTTCTTCCCCCGAGATGAACAAGGGCGACTGGGAAGGGAAGGGGAAAAATAGAAAAGAGGTGCACAGGAAGGGATACGTATTCGTACGAGTCGACCGGCTGAGAGAGAAGGATGGCTTCAGGAAAATGTTCAGAGGAGCTGGAGTACCAGGAGCGCGCTAGCAGCCACGCATCCCACTGGATTTGGGGGACCTGAAGGAATCTCACAGGGTTGGGAGGTACGAATGCAGCGTACGCGGTGCGTCCACCCCGAGAAAAGGGAGCGCTAGCAGGAAGTACCGCGAGGTGGAATAAAGGGGGTGGGGCGACAACTGGCCTGCTCCCAGGAGGTTTGCAACTCAAAAAGAGCAGCCAGGGGGCATATAGAAGTATCTTTACGCTCAATCTTGTATGAATCTCTACTTCGGCTTCCAGCTCGAGGTATCTCCCACTTCTCGCGACTGAGATTGATGGAAGCAGACCTGAACTCAACAGCTGCATTCACCCATATCTTTTTCTAACAAACCCCATGCAGAAACGAGGATGTATAATTACGTGCGAAAGTCCACATGGCTCTATCTGGGCATTTCTCAAAATGCTTATGCAGAGCAACATATGGACGACGGCAGGGAGAGGTCGAATAGGTATCACCACAGAATCGCGGATGCAGACGATACAAAGTACACGAGACATGCATTCTGGGCATGGCATGCTTTTGACAACTAAGTATCCTCCACGTACCTCTTTCCGCTGCAGAGGGCTGCCGCGTACCCGTTCCCAGCTCTTGGGCATCCTGTCTCCATACGATCGGGGACAGGGAACGTGGCCACTGTCGGAATCTGCTGCAGCGGCCTCCCGTCAGCCCTGGGAGTCAGGTCCGTAGACCAGGGGTCAGAGGGTGAGCTTTCTCTTCCATTTGGCACTGGCTGAGCGACGGGACCCAATGGACGGGAAATCTCTCCGTACCATCCAACTTCACCCTGCCATTCAGCAATGGTAGACTTAGGGACGCTATCACGTATAGTCTAGAGCAGGTACTGCTTGTACACATGGTTGATACCCCAGAAAAGATAATCATCATGTCTGAAACTCACTGTCATCCCTTCTGCCCTGCGTTCCAGAGCTTCTCAACCCCCTGTGCTTTCTTCTGCGATGGACATGTACTTCGTACTCCGTACACATTTCCATTTTAATTGCCCCTGGCAGATCAAGCTGCCTCGTGTATATTAGCTCAATGTGCAGATACGCTGAGTTCGATGTCTGGACATGTTTTATTTTATCCAAAGATTCCACACAAACGATGGGCCTACTAATACCGTACGAGTCGCGATTCTTGTGGAAGTCCGGGAGAAAAGTACCTCATCCTCAATAGTGTCGGATCGTGGAATTCTCACCCGGCTCTTGGCGACTTTTTCAGCATCGAATCAATAGAGCACATTTCGATAACGCCAAATTGGCTCTGTTGCTAGGCTCGTGTGGCTTCCGTGCCCTTTAGCTGCTTGCCGCTCGTATCCCGCCCGGTGCCGTGCAGCAAAGATCGCCGTGCCTTTTGCCCCCAAAAGCTCGTGCCGGGAGCTCAGCTCAAATGCTGCAACCGACTCTTTCGTCTGCAAACAACGACATAGCAATAGGTACTATAGGTGCAGAGGTATTCAGTTGTCAGCATGTGCTCGCGTTCGGCTTTGCTCTTGCATCTGGAAACGTTCGACCAAAGCAGTTCATGCGACTGCCTGATCTTCTTCAAGAGATGTACAATCATCCCGAAGGATACATGATGCACCGTTGACAGCGGACTGCCCGGAAGATCAGAACACCACAATGCAGGGCACAGAGCGCTTTGCTGGTCGTGCTCTTATGCCCGCAGCGTCAAATCTGTAACCAAGCGCCTTATTTGGTACATGGAGCATTCCGAAGAGACAGCCAGCCACCATGTTCGACCGTCTATTCTAGTCGAGTTGATTCGGGGTCACCAAACGGGATGAACCCGTCAACATGTCGCTTCCTTGTGATTGCTTGGTAGGCTTGCCGCGCAGATGAGCCCGGCTGGGCGGTAGATTCCTGTCTGGCGTCACAAGTGCCCTACGTTCCAACTGAATCTGGCCAGTATCGCTCATCGATGTGCTCAAATGTGAGAAGAGAGCTTGGAATATGTGCGTAACCCACCGATTTCTTATCGATGTTTGATGGCTGAGTCAAGGGAGTCGACTAAACAGCACAGCTAGGTATTGAGAAGAGTCGAGACGAGAGTTGAGGCCTTCAGTGATATTGGTTATTGTCATGAGCCTCCATGCTTCACAACTGAAGTAGCAAAATTTTGGTTTGAGCTCCTGCTCTGTTGCTAACACTTGGTAATCGTTTTTCTGACATCGGACAACATATAGATTGCCGACTGAACTGAGCTATTCATTCGCACGGGGGATGTCGAAGACAGCCTTACAATGCAAACAATCTATAGACACTGACCTCTCAGTTGTCGAGATGAATCCAGCTCAATTTTATCCACAATATCAAGATGTTGACATTATCATGAGTGAAACAAGGTGAATGGTCAGTATAAAACAGATAAATACTGTTCACAGGATGCCTCAAGGCAGCATTCTAAACAAGGCTGCAGACATATCCACTTTTCAGTTTAATTCAAGAGATATTGACAGCAACCATCAGTGTGTGGCGGACTGTGAGTCTCCCAATTTTAAGCTTCCTACACAGTTGAACAAATCTAGACAGACCACAGAATCATTCCAGCCCGGACAAGTGTGATTGCATCACCTAGAAAGCAGGGTGCAGTTGATGATGGGTGTCACCCATCCAGATCCCTGGCTAGGACCCCTCTATCCACACTCGGCGAGCAAATACAGGCCACGATGACGAGAGGGGCTATCCCCAGGCCATCCCCCAAGCAGCCGGCGTATGACTAACCTTTCACGTGACTCCAGTCCTCCCAGCTAAGCTGTTCAAGCTTGCTCATTGGCTCGGAGTGAGCCATGTAGTGGGGTCCCAAGGCTCTCGAGCCTCAATTCCTCCCCACGGATGCGAATGGTGCATCACCACTTTGGCCATCGCAACCCAACCTCAGCGACGCGACTCTTTTTGCTTCCTTTCACGCTCCGAATCTCACCTGGCGCATTGTGTTCAACCTTGTGCTCTGGTGAATACCTTGTCTCTGGATGTCAATTCACTGAGCAGACCCGGCCACAGCACCCCTGTTTATGCCTTGTCGCTTTGCTCTCCGTTTTGGAATTTGTCTTTGACGACATCATGATAGTTTTGCGAGCTGCTACACCTAAATCCACAGATCTCTCGTTCTCTTAGTGGTAAGTCGCACAAACTCTCTTGTCTTTTTGATCTTGATTTTGAGTTACTGGGGGCTTCTTGTCACGATTTCTGTCCCTGCAGTCCATCTCTACAGCGGCAGCTGCGGCCACTGCCTGGACTCATGGAGGCGAGAGAGATGCCGGGCAGCTTCCTTGCCACACCACTCTAGCTACGATGATCCTATGAAGCGGGAGGGACCACTCACTCTTTCCCTTCTTGAGCTTCTCAGGCCCATCTCAGTCCTTGGGCTTCTCCCTTCTCTCACCCTACCTTGCTATCTCCAACATCTCTTCCTCAGCATCTATTTGCCTCACTTCATCAGAGACCCAACTCCGATGCTGACCACGACCTAGTATACAGCTATTTCTCTTATTTGAAACGAAGACGGACTAGTTGTTCAACATGTCTTTTTTCGGCTTCGACCCTACACGCCCTGCTGGCCATAACACGGCGGCGCCAGGCTTCTCTCAGACCCACGATCCTTTCGCCGGCCTTTCGCGCGGCGATGCCGAGGACGACGACGCTGTCGAATTCGACGATACGTATGATGGACTAGGCGATCAACTCGAGGAAAGCGGCGATGCTTTCAACGACGATACTTTCGGAGGTGGTGGCCCGACTACCATCTCGAATGCCCCTGTCGGAAAGGACTTCGACTTCTTTGGCCAAACGGCAAAGGTGTCTGACGCCATCGAAGAGGAGCAGGTCCGCTACAGCCGTCAAGTTCCTGCCGCAAAGCCTGCTCCTGCTCCTGCGCCCGTTCAGCAGCATTATCAGCAAGCCCAACATCCGCAGCAATACTACTACCCCCAAAGCCAGCAGGCCCCCAGACCTGTTCGCACTGGCTATGAGAAGTACAAGGATGCGGAACCCATTCCCGACCTGCACGTCGACGCGTCGCTTTGGGGCATGCCTTCCAAGAAGACCGCTATCCCCGAGCCTTCCCCGAAGCCGCAGGCTGTTCCGTCCGCCAGCAGGAAGGTCATGAGTCTGGAAGAGGTGGAGAAGGCAATGCGAGAGCAAGCCACCCAACGAACCCCTCAGCCAGCTTTCTCGGAATCCGCGCCGCCTCCTCAGGGCTACCCAGGGCCTGAGTACGGCTACGGACGGCCCGAGCCTGCCCAACAGCAGTCCTTCCATGGTGTTGAACATCATCAACAGCGCGGTGGCCAGCCTCAACAGCATCCTGGCCATGGACATCCCGTACAGATTCTGCAGAGACCTCAGTCTATTACCTCCAAGCCGACCCCGCCCGTTCAAGGAACTCCCAGCCCGCTTGCTCAGCCTCCTCACTCCCAGGCCCCACCTTCGCAGCCGACTCAGATTCTTCAGAACCCCAACAGACTCTCAGGTGATGCCGCACGGCTTGGCGCTCATGGCCCTCAAGCTCATCACCCGGCCCACGGCCACCAAGGACACCGTTCGCAAGGTTCCATGGGACGGGTTCCATCCGCTAATCAGCAGCAGCAGCAACAGCAGCAGCATCTTGCACACCTGTCAGAGGACGAGAAGGCCGCTTACCTTGACCAAGAAACCAAACGTGCTAAGCGCAATCACAAGATTTGGCTCCTGTCCAAGGATAATGGCCTTATGACACCTCAAGACAAGAATTTCGTTACCCGCATCCAGCTGCAGCAACTGGTCTCGGCCACTGGCAACCCTATTGACAACACCAACGACGATTCGTTGACTGAGGATTTCTACTACCAGGTCCTTAGCCAGATCCGTGGCGGCCAGCGTCAGAACCCCAACCAGCCGTTGAACAACTTTGCTCAAACCTACCTCTTCCAAACCGGCAGCCGCCAGGGCAACATGAGAAGACAGGGACGTGCGGCCGAAAACCATGTTCAGCGAATGGAGCAGCAAGTTCAACGTGCTGTCGAGGCTGCCAAGAACAAGCCGAAGAACCCCCAGCTGGTCATCGCTGGTAGTCTCGGAAAGATTTCCTTCAGCAACGCGAAGACGCCCAAGCCCCTCCTGAACATCAAGCGAACTGACAGCAGTGGAGATGCCAACCGTCCTGGTAACGGCAAGCGTCACGGCGAGTCGAACAGCCTGGACCGCAAGGCTATCTTGCGAAACATTGAGAAGGTCTACAACACCATTATGAAGATGGAAGATCATGCCCGCTTCATTCCCCCTCCTCCCACAAATGGAAACGACGAAGAGTTCCATGCCAAGCACCAGGAGTGGTTGGAGACGGCTCAAGCCTACAATGCGCAGCTCTGGAACGATCTTAAGGTCCATGAGCCTATTGGCGCTACTACCCTCCACCCCTTCATTGCATTCCTGTCCTTCCCCAAGGGCAAGAAGGCCATTCCCCGCGTCTTCCGCCACATCAGCTTCGAACAGCGCACCACGATTTTGACCATGATCATTATCCACCTGGACCAGCTTGATGTGGTTTATGGAGCTCAGACCACTGACGGCGAGGTCAGCCTCAACGCTGCTATGCGTGAGAGCATTGAGCTTTTCTCGGCAGCCGTCATGCCGAGCCTGTTTGCTTACTTCAACGAGACGGAGTTGGACATTGTGACGGGCGTTCTTGGTCTTATCAGCACCAAGTTGAACATTGATCTCATTGCCAAGACTCGGGTTGGATGCTCAATGCTGACTCTCATTTTGAGCCGAGCCGAGCTTCTGAAGCAAGGTGGCGGAGGTAGCCCTCAGCTGTGGGCTGAGTGGTAAGTAAAGCAACATCTAGTCAGCACCCACATGTATTAACACTTTTCCAGGGAACAAACCTTCAACATGTTCTTCAACAAGCTTGAGCCCACCCTCCACCACATCTTCCCCGGCAGCGTCAACACCGGAGAAGACGTTGTGGTTTGGCAGCTCCTCGCTGCGGTTGGTGTCAGTGCCAACCCTGAGCAGCAGCAACGCCTGGTCCTTGCTGTCAAGGACCGCGTCCTCGACACCGTTGCGCACGCAAAGACGCTCCCGGGCGCCATGGCAACTACTCGGTTGGCCACTGTCAACCTCTTCATGCACTCCATTGGTTTGGATGTCGAATTGCTTCAGTAAGGGGATATATTAGTGGAAGAGAACGTGCAATCGCGGCGTTCATTGCGCCATTCGCGGTTGGAGCGCATTACAATTGACTGAAGAAACGCGTTGGGATGCTTGGGATATAAAGGGTCTTACGACGCATGGCCCGTGATTTTTTGAGGGCTTTGGGGCCGCTGCTGGGCTGTAGTACTGGGACTGCAGTTTGATGGAGGCTTCAACATGCGACGATGGCTTGTCCCGTGGCAATATGCACAAACATATCTTGTGTACAATACGCACACGACTCTATGAGATGGCGCCGCCATATGAGTATCAGGGGTGGGTCGAGACCAGTCTTGCTAGTTAAAGCAAAATAAAATCTGCATTTGAAGTTTAAGCAAAATCTCATCTTTTCTGAGTGATCCCTTATCTATAACACTGTAACGCCTAAGCTATGCAAAACGAACCCTCCCGTCGAGTAGACTGACAGTTCATTATGTGAGATCCATGCTTGAGGATGCTTGCGCAGGCGCAGCTCTTGCTTTGCCTCCACGCCGTGCGCCCACAGCACCCCGGGCCTTGGGCTTCACCTTGCGCGCCTGCTCTTGAGCAGCGGCCACAGCTGCCGCCTCAGCTTCCAGTTCCGCCTTCGTCGGGACCTTTGGCTTCTTGATACCGCTGACAGCCTCCAAGAGCTCGTCATCGCCCCATTTGGTCTCCAACCTCGCCACCTTGTCAGCCAGATCCACCACTGGCTTCTCCTCCTCGGCCCCGTCAATGGCGGCCTTCTTCTTCTTTTCCTCGTCCTCTTCGTCGGCGATGGGCGCGGGCTTCTCCCCGGGAGCGCGCATGATGAGACTCTCCTGGTAAATCTCCCAGGCCGCCTCGTTGTCCTCGTCGGTGTACTTTAGCTTACGCCAGTTCTCCATCTGGACGGAGCGGAGGCGGTCGGCCATGGTTTCGCTCTTTGCGGTGGCGCCGTCCTGGGTCGTCTTGATGGTCATGTGGATCGCGCGCGCGGCGGCCGATTGGGGGCCCGCGCCGCCTGCGCCTCCGGGCCCGGCTGCTGCCGCGGCGGATTCCTTGGCCGCTGCGGCGGAGGCGTTGCGCTCTTGTTGGGCTACGGCGTCGACGTGGTGGAGTTGGGGGCGGAGGTGGACGAGGTTCGTCACGGGGGTGAGGTGGAGGTCCTCTGAGCAGGGGAAGTTGTAGTTAGTAGACTGGACATGTCGAGGGCTAGAAGGGGAGGCGAGAGGAGAAACTCACTTCCTTGGAAGACGCCAATCATGTACTGAACCTCCTTATGGTCAGGACATTGACCGCCGAGCGTCTGCGTGCGGAGGACCTTGTCCTGGCGCACCGCCTCGGGCCACTCGAGGTACAAGTCATCCTCCAAATCGACGTCGCCGCGTCTCTTCTGCCTAGGCGGCGGCGCGCCGACGCCGAAGCCGCCAGACAGGCCGTGTGTGCCGCCGTTCTTGGACTCGAGACTGGCTTTCAGCTGGCGGCCCCACTTCATGCCCTTCTCCTTGTCGTAGGACTGGGTGTAGTCGAGGGGCACGTCGACCTCGACCATGCCGGAGCGGCCCTTGAGGCGCATCTCGGTCGGGGCGGTGGTGCGCGGGTCGGTGCGGTTGGGCTGCTGGAGGACCCAGAGCTTGCGGCCCTGCGGGAGGGAGGGGTTGAAGAAGACATCGTAGGAGGCGACGACGGGGTCTGGGTCGAAGGATTCGTTGACCTCGGGCTCCATTGTTGCTGTTGGGGCGGTCATTGTTGTGGTTGTTGGTCACTTCGTGACTCTTGTTCCCCCGTGGATTGTGGTTTGCGGTTTGAAGTCGGGAAATTTTTGGATTGCGCCGGTGAGTCCTTACCCCACGGCGGGATGGACGTCAGTGCTTATCGATAAGAGTGCTGGAGCTCATCCTTGTCCGAGGTGGGGGACGACCTTCTCGTAGCTCCTTTCTTTGACTACACCCTCGTTTCCTCAAAGAAACACAAGTTGACCTAAGGCAATTGAGACCATTATTTTCTTTGCCAGTGTTTCATTTCAATGGACCACAGTACATGAAGTTCATCAACGTAGCGAAGTGTTCGCCAATCCTTAGATGGACGGAACTCAATTTGCCTGGGAACGACTTGGCTTGAGAAGTATAGCTCAGTTCCACCAATGTGGCTCCGCAGCCATTAACACCAGATGAGAGCAGCCGTTACATCGCCTTCACATTTGGTCTGTAACGAATGCTGCAAATCAAAACTCTCCAAAATGTTGTAAGCGGTCTCAACACTATGGGATCATCTGCCGCATGAGTAGTCTGAAGGATCTCTCTAGTTCCTACGCCCCGGCACATCACCTTGTGCTTTCAGCGTTGGACGTCCAAAGCTGTACGTCAGTCGCATTGGCTGTGGATAATAGGTTCATACCCGTATCAGCCGGTGCATTGGCTTGTGACTTCATGGCAAGCACACCCTTGCGTTGCTGTCGAAAGTGTTGCGCTCATCTCCTGTGGCGAGCTTAGGTTGAGGCGACTGGACATAACGTGCCGGCCTTATGAGAGGGATGCAGCCCATGCAGTCTACTTCCCATAGGTTGAGCTCTACAAACGAATCAACGGGTGAAATTCTGAGTTTTAGTTAACGGATAGCTCACGATCCTTGGACAACTGGCAACGCTATGTCGCCATCTAAACTGGTTCGGGCTAACAGCAAAGTAGCGCTGATGAGAGACACTAGCAACCACGTGAAGACTTACACGCAACCCAGCTTCATTCTTTCTTGTCTACCTTAAGACGCGAGCACAGCCCTTGGTTGCAAGTTGCAGAAATGAGACCCGAGATCATCATGATCTTGCATGGAAGCCATCGATAGCCCCAGATGGCGGCAGAAGTCCCCAACTCACTGAATTGGGTATCCTTCGTGACGGGCATTCTCTCATTCGCTCTCACAACTCTCAACTTGATAGCCCTTTACGGTAATTTCGTCGCAACAATAAGATCGGCGCCCAACGAAATACGAGACTCACTAGGGAACCTCAGACAACAACTCTGCGAAGAGAGACAAGCCCTACGACACCAGTCTCGAGAAATTCGCACAAAGACGAAGCTGCGCCAGCGCATCTACAACCTGAGCGACCGCCACGCCAGCCACGAAGCCCGCTCCGCTCTCTCCTACGCGGAACAGACGCTGCCGCTGCACTACCTCACCCTCCGCGACCTCTGGCGCACCTTCAAAGAGCTCGAGCGGCCGTTCCTCATCGCGAGCGGGTACCGCGCCGAGGCCATTCACAACGGCGCGCCGTGGGGCGAGGGGGATCTCGACGAGAAGGTCCGGGCCGATTTCGAGAAGCACGGTGAGCAAAACAGTTTTGCGGACTGGAGTGCGGTGTACAAATGTGATTTTGCGCACCGTTTCATTTGGTGGCAGATCAAGGACGATGTAAAGAAGCTTGGGGACGAGGTTATGCGGGTTATGGCGAGGCGGACGGAGAGAGAAGTGACTTATACGCGCATGATGGTGAAGCAGATCTTCCAGGGTGACGGGCCGGCGCAGATTGTTGACGTCCGTCCTCCAAGACGGCCTCCTGGTGGAGGGGGAGGTGGTGGTGGAGGAGCCAGGAGGCGTATGAGCTGGGGATCTGGGCCTGTGAGACGGAGTCCGATCCCGATGAGACGAAGTCCTGCTCCAGTCAGGAGAGCTCCTGTGCCTGTCACTGTGAGACCGCCACATCACGATCGATACAAGAAACACAACGAAAGAAGCTCGAGTTCTTCCTCCTCTACGAGTACAAGTAGCAACAGGGACAATCAGGCGACGAGGCGGGGTATGGATGTGCCGAGACGTAGTGGTTCGGTAATCAGCGAGCATAGACACAGTCACCCAAAGAGTGATGCCGCTACTATCGGAAAGCATCAGCATCGCCCGGACCATCAGCCACAGGCGGGAAGTAATCGATGGGAGCAGTTTCGCGGCAGGCCTTCGCGGCGATATGATCTTAGGGAGTACTTTGAGGGTCGGGGGCGGGATCATTCGAGGATCATAGAGGTTATTCCTGAGAGCGAGATTGACTACTTTTCACCCCGGTCGCGGCACAAGAACGATGGGAAATGAAGTAACTGCCTTGATAACTTGTAGATTAAAGACAACCTGAATAAATCATAGTCTATATTCTTGAGATTATCCCATAGACTGAATAAGCTGGCGTTCAACTGAGCCGTGGACAAGATGGGGCGATAGGTTCCAAGAGATGTAGGCTAGTAGTGCAGTCCCGATATTCGGTAGGATTCAAGGTGGAGAGGCGATGGTACGACCGCCACAGGCTAATTGGCCGATGTGTCTTGGCATTTGCAGACAAAGACCACTCGGTGAGTGTATTGATAAGTCTAATATCTAACTCCTGCCATATCTCGCTAGTTTCTCATTGTCTCCAAGATCTCCCGAGCATCCATTGTGGCAATATCACTTTGTGATCACGCTCAGAGCCAGCCGCCTTACTTTCTTCATTTCCAGAGCTTGGTTTCTGCTTCCCGTCTTGAGCAGCCAGCAGGCTCTTCCGAATGTCTTCGGCTCGCGCCAATAGGTTGTGTTTTCTTTCCGAGGACATGGCCTGAATTCCGTGCGACTGAATCCACAGCGCAAGTTCGTAAGAGGTCATCATTGTGAAATCGACCACATCTGCTGCAAGCTGACTTCTCGATCTGAGGTACGTCCTCTTGGCAGAACCGAAGGTCTTCCAGGGGCGGGCATGATCCCTTGGCACATGCATGCGCCTTTGGCTGCATTTGTTGCAGTGCTTCGACATGGCCAGGTAAACTCCTGATGACACTTCAAATAAGGGCTCCTCATCTAGTCGACCAGTCGATGCATCCCTACACTCCCCGCAGACGATGGGAAAAGTTTCCGAGTCGCCTTTCGAGATGTCCACATGCCTTCAGAACTCTTCATTAAGTTGAAGTCCAAGTCTCCCCATTTTGCTATTCTTGGAGCTCTTCGCGTATAACCTCGGACCGTTTATCAGCTGGTCCAAGGGATCACAGATATTGAGCCCAGCCCAAGGATAAGGCTGAAGTTCAATGTCTGGGGGCAGCCTAAGAGCTAGCTCGCTCAGTGGCAGTGTCCGGAAGATTAGGGCGGCGTACTCTTCGAGAATTGTCAAGAGTAGCTGTTGTCGATCTTTTTCAATCTCGGTGGCGGGTTGCCGTGGCAACTGTGCAAATCTGAGCCAGATATCATTCATTCCCCTCAGAACCCAAAAGGCAATATGACTGGAGGGCAACTTTTCATGATCCCCGATGTTTCTCTCGGCTTCGATTCTCTGCTGGAATTGGGACCGCTCCCGGGTGTGCTCTCTTATACGTCTTTTGAGGAGCTGCGACTGGCCGGCATATATACCGGCAGTATTATTCTGGTTGCAGATGACATGAAGATACACTGCCCAAGGGCAAGAGCCGTCGGTTGCATATTCGTACTCTTTCACCCGAAGGAGAGATTCCGACCTGATTTTCTCACCCTGCAGCATGGCAAGGATTTCAGGGTTGATAACCTCCAGTATCTTGGACCGAAGAAGGCCAGGGCCTCCTGATTCCCGGACAAAAACGTCGCCTCTTCGAGATTCTCTTAAGTGCTGAAACCTTGAAGGCTCCTGAAGGCCATGAAGAATGTGATCGAGGATTCGTAAGTATTCAGGCAATTTACTGCGGTTGGCTGGATACGACTATCATCAAGAGTCAGGCATCTAGACATGTTATGCGATTACTGTGACTAAGCCAACTTACGGACGATGATACCTGAGCCCTTTGCATCCATTTTCAAGGATGGCGATGATCCAAAGCGTTCTTCGATAAGCTACTACTAGACCTGTCTGACCAAAGGCGCAAGTATCTGTACCCAACATGTCGTATGAGTAGCATCCTTAACACAGAAAGTGTCGTCACCCAACGTGTTGATGGGCGAAAGAGTGGATTTGGCATAGCGGCAAGCTCGTGTTGTATCATCTCGGTCTATTGCAGTCCTGAAACTATCAATATTTGAAGAAAGTCCTCTACGGATATAGAGTCAAGACCCAAGGGCTGTTATTGGAACGACTGAGTAGACAACATAAGTCTGTAGCATAATTATCAAGCAATGGCACCCGACTTCGAGACTTCAATCTTTCTATTTCAAATCCGGCGGGTTGCCCTTCACTTCTGCTTTTAGTTTTCAATACGAGTTGCAGCATGAAGGAGAATTAATGCACTGGAAAGCCAAAGTATTGTATAGAAATCTTCGTCCTACGAGATCTAAGGAACTTGGTCTTGAATACTGAGTGTCAGGGAGACCCGTCTCAACGCTGAGAATAAAGTGGAAGGAACGCAAGGTCTTCACCGCGACAAAGAACCTTTCCCCTTACGCCGAAATAGAGAGACGAATATCTTTGTGCCGTTTTGAGTTGAATGCCCGGGGGTTAAGGGGGAAAGTAGCCTGAACTGCTTTGTATAAAGCTTAGATGGGACCATGGAACTTGAAAATTCATTGTGGATATAGGTCAATCACAATAATACTCTAGACAGCAGAGACATTGGAATAATGCCAGCAACAGCGGACAGAACTGGCGTCAGGGAGGTTTTCATATACTACGTGACCCCAATGCTGCAACGTTGAATGGGATGTATCTCGGTGCTCCTTTGGGAAGTTTTCGGCACAGAGGAGCATTCGTATCCCTACTTTGTTTTCGGCCATTTGAGTGCGAGGTTTCGACTTCAGTAGACCGAGCATCAAAGATCCTTCCATCATTTGTAAACTACACTCCGGCTCCTGTATTCCTCAGCAATCAGGGCTTGTCTTGAAACTTTCCCAAAGCCTCTTCACCAGCAACAGTGCTAGAAATCTCCCCACTATCTACAGACTTGACACCCGAATGCGCATTATCAGGCTCGCCAGTCGAACCTTCCTTGACCGCCTCCTTCGCCTTCTTTTTCTCCTCCCACTTGAAAGCAAAGTGAATCCCAACGAAAATGACAGCCGAAACCAAGGCAAAGGCGAGGTAGAGCTTCGCGCCGATACGCCAGTGCGGGGCCTCGGATGCCGGGAACGCGACAATGGGGATGAAGGCGCTCATGATGTAGGCGAGGACGGTTCCGCTGGCGAAGAGGACGGTACGCACCTCGGGCTCGCCTTGGAGGTGGGCGGACGCCCATGAGCAGAGAAGCATCGTGGAGACACTGATAGAGTTAGATTGGTTATTCAGGAGCTTTTGTGCAGGTCTTGCTTACGCTCCGATGTAGTTCATATACCAGCCAGCCATATAGGCTTGTTGGTTACTGGGTCGTATGATGAGGATGATCTGTGAAGTGATGTTGATGACCTGCGTGATATTAGCCAAGCAAGATGAAGTCTGAAGATCCAAGATGATTACTGAATGCAGAAGTAAGAATGGCAGTCGAACACCAAAGTAGTCACTGAGACCACTGAAGAGCAGCTCTGCCACGAGTTGGACGGCTTGGCCGATGATGGGCAAGTAGTTGAGCATGGCAACAGAGCTGGGGGATCCGTCAGTGTGTCCTTGAAGTTCTAAGAGCAAGGCCAGTACTCACTATTTGACCGATCCATCTGCGTTCTTCAAAGACTTGAGCCATAAGTTGAAGTAACTGGCTGGCGTAAAGTTGCCGCCGATGGGCCACGCGACTGTGGTGTGTAATGTCAGTATAGATGCTGAAGAGTAATAAGACTGTCAACACTCACTAGCGAAGGCCCATAGTTGCCAGAAGCTGAAACATCGAACGAAAGATTTGATCGTGATGCCAATCTGAGGCTTGCGGCCGACCCTGCGAGCACGGGCAAGGGCAATATCAATGTGCTTTTGCTTTAAGTAGAACTTTGCAAGGGGATTCGGGCGTTCGGGCTTTTCGTTGATCAGCGATTCTGTTTTCGGTACCCCATGGAAAACTAATGGGGAGCACAAAAGCACTCACGTAGCCGGGGAGAATGAAAAACGCAGCGAGAGCTACGGCTATGGTACAAACACCCTTGAAAGAAGTCAAGTCAGTCATACCAAGCATCGGCTTCAAGGACTACGCCGCAGCTTACATTGATTATGAACGCCCAGCGCCAGCCAGAACGTCCATGCAGACCCTCAAAGTTTGTTGAAAGCGCCCCTTGCATCGCGCCCGAAAGCATCGCCCCAGCTGGCTGAGCAATGTTGTAGAGACTCATGCGTAGGGCGACCTCGTGGGGCATGTACCACTGGCTGATGAGGGTAAAGTAACCGGGCCAAGCAGTGCCCTCAAAGAAGCCAATGAGGAAACGAAGGCCGTAAACCTGCTTCGGAGTCAGCGATACGCTGGATGCGATGCATTGGGCCGGGGGTGGATTACCTGCTTCGCGCTGGTGACAAGTGACAGGCAGCATGTGAGGATACCCCAGATGAGCTGTGATGTCACTTAGTATGTCGTCGCGTAAGGAGGTCTCTGTGAAAACTAACTTCGCATGCTGGCAGCCATTTCGAGGGGCCAAAGTGGGAGATGATGATGCATGAAGGATACAGCATGATCATGTACCCGATGCTGCATGGCACATCACTATTAGATTGCGACTCTGATGTCCAGTAGAAAGTGCAGGCTCACTTGAAGAATGTCGTAAAGTAGTTAAGCTCGTTCCCCAAGAGGTTGATGTCTTCTTTCATCCCTGAGACGTATGCATTGCTCTAAAGCACGTCGTGTCAGTATCTGTATTTGCCAGACTGTACAGAAACCGAGCTCATACGATATTTGTCTGGTCAATGTATCTATCAAGGGGTGTCAGTTTTCACCCTATTCGGCAGAAGCTCAGTCAACACTCACTTAAACATGTAACCCAAGAAACCAATTGTCAAGAAGAACAGATCCAGGCGCCAAAGCTGTACAATAGTTCAGTTACTGCATTGACCGCACAAAGCATGTCGGGAACCTACGAAAGCCCTCTCGTCTTTGGGATCAATATCATCCTTTCGATTGCTCGCGGCCGGTGTAATAACACTTTCAGATCCGGAGCCGTCGTCTTTTTGCTGGGCCGGAGGCAATTCAGCCGCAATTGGTATTGGGTTTTGCTCTGGAACGCCCATTTTGGTTCTGTTGCAGTCCAACGATAAGCTACAAAAACTCAAGTCTTTTAGGAGCAGGGTCTACGCAAGAGGATTCCACTTGGCGTCGAGAAAACTCGACAACCTTTTGCTGGTGTACTTATATGAACCAACAAGAAATACCTGCGGCAAAGACCCGCGAATCCTTCATGATGATATCAAATTAAGAGGCGAAGACGTGCTTCGCGTGGTGTGGTGTGCTGGTGGAGCATCCCGACGACCTCGGACTGAGGGGGTTGACTACGATTCACGACGTTGCATGCTATCCGTAAAGGGTTCGAGGGCTATTCCTTAGATGTGTATTGTACAGAATCCAGCTTTTTCGAAAGGCCTTCGTGGTTCTTGGTCGGAGACTGTCCGTCGGTCAAAGTAGCGCCGGCTATCTGTGCCGAAATCCAGAGGGGCGTTGACGGCGACCTTGCGACATTGACAGGGGAGAAGACGTAATACGCCCAACGCGAGCCACGGCCAGATAAGCACCAGCGACTCTCCGCACACGCCTCGTCGCCGGATTTTGTGGTTATTGAACATGCAGTTTTACTGTCGCAATTCCACCGCAATGTATTACTCCATGCGGCTTCTTGCATGTTCGTGTCGGCGAGAGCCCGACGCTCAAGGCTTGATGGGCAATAATCAAGCAAGCGTTCAGCTCGCATGCCCTTCTACTAGCAACAAGGCGCCACGCCCGTTGACTATTGGAATACTTTTTCACTTCCCCAGCCCTGCATGTTAAGAGGTGGTCTAGAAGGGGCCGCACGATGAGTTGAAAAGTCAACAACGTGAAAGTTTTCGGATGCCCATTTCCACCTCTTTCGCAGGAGTTGAGATTGACGTTAGAGTCTGTATGGCTCTCATAATTGAGAGGCTTTAGGAACTCTCAAATTTGTCCCAACAGTCGTCTATCGAACAATGGCCGCATAGAATTGAGTTTTGGCGGCCCTTGATACTTCAAGAGAGCGCGGCAAACTTGATACCCTTGATCCAGTGTTACTGCATTGATGTTGACTTTCACTGGGCACGGCATCGGGAAAGAACGTGAAGTGAGCATTATCCTCATGAAAAGTAAGAATCTTGAGTAGAAGGTGGCGAAGTTGGAGGTCTGCTTTCTTCAATCCAACACTCGAAGAAGAGTGGACCGGCTTCGACGGAACGAAGTGGTGTAGTAGAGGCGCCTCCGATACTTGGGCCTGGTACAGGGTTCGTCTTTGAGGCAGGCTGAAGCGCGGGTTCGGAAGGAATCCAAGGTTGAGGATGCTGATTCAGATGTCAGTCCACATGAAGCTGACGAGAATTAGGAGATATAATGCCTACCCCTATTGGCGCGGGTGCCTCGTCCCGGAGCTCAACAGCCATGGTAAAGGTACATCCCTCTGGCAATGGCCCCTTCATCTCGGCAGCATAGGCCAGACGCCTGAGGGCTCCTCTATAGGCCTCGTTCACATCAACCCAGTTTACCGAGCCGTCATCGTCGTCTTCCTCACGTCGCTGAAATCTCTGCGCCTGGCCGAGCTTCTCCTTGCCCTTGCCTGTAGCCCAGACCGGGAAGTTGGTGACGTCAAAGACCCATCTCTCGACGACAGCCATTGTCTCTGCGGCATGGATGACAACACAGACTTTTGAGACGGCACCAAGTGCAAGCTGGTCCTGTATGGCAGCTAGGGCCGAGTTGATCCATTCGCAGAGGGCTGGATGGCGGGATTGGGGTACTGGCAGGTTGTGGGCTTTGGTCATGAGAAAGGTCTGTTGCGGGTAAAGACGCCTGTAGTACAATATCGTATGTATCGTGAGCGTGAGAAATGTTGTAAACGAAGTCAGGATGGTGTTTGCTTGCGGTCGCGGGATGGCCACTGGTGGTGCTGAAGCCGAATCTGGTGGTCTTGAACTGGAAGACATGGCTTCTGGTGAATCGATCAAGCAGGATCACGCTTTCCCGCTAGACGAATATTTCTCTAATGGTAGAGCGATATGGAAGCTCGGTCTCATGTGTACGGATCACCGTGAATTGGTAGGGGCGCAGAGAAAGGGAAGAGTCGCGGTGGTGATGAGGGCCACGCGACGGGGAACGATGCGACCTCCACGCCATGTCACATGATTGTAGATTGCACGTGGTTTTGCCTTGCAAATCCAGGCAGCAGGGAGGCCGCCGACGATTGGTTGCAACGGTGCGGGGCTATCCACTTGTAGGGCTGAAGGCAGCGAGTCTCTGACGCCACTCTGCGAACCCCTCCAGCCCCCAGCTGCGACCCAAAGCTTGGGCTTAGCTCCCTCCTGTCCCCGGGACGTTTCTACACTTTGTCAATCGCTCAGCATCCGTCTGTAAAGCCCAACCCAACACCAAACAACGAAGCCCAACACCGTCTAAGCCCCATTCACAGTCTACATAAGCGTTGAAGCATCTCCCAGACCTCTCTTCGAACCTCACCATTTACAAACACAAAGACGTAGAACTCAGGAATCAACCCCGCATCAGCACATCCCCGCCATGGCGAATCCACTCACCTCGCAGTCTGTACTGCAACAAATGGCAGAAGCCCTGCCTACCCACCCCAAAGGCGACACCACCTCCGACATTAGCAGCGGCTATGAGCTCCCTGCCCTTCTTACGCATGCCTGCATGGCGTCCCTCAAGTTCCGTCTTCTGGGATTCGACGAGGAGAAGAGGATAGGTATGGCTACTGTCTTCGATAACTGTGCTCCAGGACCCCAGTTAACACCCACCGCAGAAGAAGAAGTCCAAAGCCTCGCCCCGCGTCTACCAGCATCATGGAACGCCGGCTATGGCTCTCTCCGCTTTGTTTACGCCCACAAGCAGTCGTCCATGACGTCCATTATTCGGATTAGCAAAGTTGGCGGCAAAGTCGAAATCAGCGGGCTCGCCGTCGGCCACGATGTTATCCACAGATTTGAAATCACGACGAAGGACGTCATCAACAACGCAAAGCTGCCTTTGCGCATCACACTCACCAAGGACGGCTCCGAGGACAGGAGCGATCTAATCGAGAAGCTCAAGGAAGCTTTTGCATCAGAGTCTGCCGTTACCAAGCTGATTGATCAATTCAAGACGGAGATTATCCAAAAGCTCATTCCCAAGCTGCAAGTTGAAGGCTATGAAGAGTCTCCCGATGACAGGGACGCAGCGGAGAACGCACAGAGAGAAGGCCGTGCCCAGGCCGGTCGTCCTGGACGGCCAGCACCCGGTGACCTGCCTGATCCCGCGCGCCCATACCCCATCAATGATCCTCTCGCCCAGCCTCCTAGACGACCCATTCCTGCCGGAGACTTCCCACCGCCTGGGTTTGAAGACGAGTATGAAATCAACAGACCCCCTCGCCCACTGGGGGTTCCCGGTCGATCACCCTACAACATCGGCCACGACGACCTCAACCCCCCTGGTCTTGGTCCTAACGACCCGCTGAGAGCATCTTTCATCGGTGGCGGCGGACTCCCCCGACCTGGAGGCGGCGGTGGAATGCATCCCACATTTGATGACCCCCTTTTCGGAGGGCCGGGTGCTCAGGGAGGTGGCGGCTACGACCCCCAAGCGCCGCCGGGTGCCAGATGGGACCCCCTTGGTCCGGGTGGCATGCCCAGACACGGCGGGGGACGCGGGAACCCCTTTGGAGGCTCCGGCGGGTTCGGGGGAGGGTTTGGTGGAGGATTCGGAGGAGACATTATCTAGTCAATGGCGCTTTCGGGAAGATTGATGATTAATTCAGATTGTCTCGAGTAGTTGTAATTGTACGCCCGTAATGAGTTATGACAAAATGCCCAAATTTGAACACAGTTCCCCTCTTCAAAACTCCTTTCATATATCTTAGTGATCATCTCGAACTATCGTAACTATGCCAGTGTCTATGCAGACAACCCCAAAGACGCCTCGGGTGCGCCCAAATACGTCCACCGCACCTTCTGCACATCGTAATCATCAACACACACAACCCTTTCCTCACCCGGCACCACATCGAACCCATTATCACTCAGCTTCATCCAGCGCTCTTCCTGAATGATAAACCCCTTGACTGGCCTCTCTGCAGAGACAACCAGCCTCCCATCCCTCACCTCCACACGCACCTTGCGGTCCGAAAAGTCGATATACTTCAACGGCTGCGGCCACGCCGTATCCTCCGCCACAGCCTTCCCATCAACAAACAGCGTTGCATGGATGACAAACGGGTCATCCTCCTCCAGATGAAACGGCACACTCGCGTCCCCAAAGTTCTCCTTCAAGGCCTCGACCTTATGCTTCTCAACAACCTCCGTCGTGGCGTTCCCCTCCGCAACAACCTTCTTCTCAATCCTGTCTCTAACCTCCTCACCCGTCTCGATAGAAATGAACCTCACCACGAGCTCCCCAGCAACAGCGTCAGTCTTCGCACTCGCAATCCACACGTCAAACTCCGTGCCCCTCGCAGCGAGCGTCGGATCAGCATGACACTTGGTCCACTCGTCAACCCTCCTCCCAACACCGACATCAACCCCCCTCAACGCCCTCCCAATCGCATAAAAAGCAGGCTTCCTCACGAGCCAGTAGTCCACAATCGCCCAGCTCACCGTCGGCCAGCAATCATTCAGCTGCCACACCAGCGCGCCGCCGCACCCCCTCTTTCCGGGCGTACCCCAATCCCGCCGCCAGGCTTTATACGCAAAGGTCATGGTCTCGGCCTGCATTAGCTGCGTGAGGTAGGTGAACCATTCGAGGTCGTAGCTCACGCGGAAGTTCTCGACAACGTACGTCATCATCCGCCGCTCGTGGTCGTAGGCTTTGTTGCGGAAGTCGAGGGCCATGGAGCCCGGGCGGCGCTGGGCGGGTGAGGTGAGCATTGCGGTCGTGGTGGTGAGGTGCGGGTAGCCTTCCATGCCGAACTCGGAGACGAAGCGGCCTGTTAGGAGGTGAGATTCCTGGTATTTGTTCATTGCGCCGTGCCAGACTGATTGTGTTAGCCTACGTGGTCCAGGAAAGGGGTTAAAGAAAACTTACTATTCCACTGATGAATATCCCCAACAGTCGGATCAGCCGTAGGCTTCCCATCACCCCACGGACTACTCGGATGATACACCGTATGCGGACTCTCCTCCTCCACAATCTTGGGCAACAAATACTCATACAGATACCTCGCTGGAAACCCGGACTTCAACCACGACTCCGGGTCCTTATCCTCCTCGAACCGGTACTCGAGCTTATATCTCTCCTGCACCTGATAATCCTCGTTATTCCCCGCCCATATCACAATACTCGGATGCCGCCTCAACCTCGCCAGGTTCTGCCGCGCCTCCGCCTCGACGCTGGCCAGGAAGCTAGGGTACGTCGGGTAACTCCCGCACGCGAAGCAGAAATCGTGCCAGACCAGCACCCCCAGCTCGTCGCACGCCTCCATTAGCGCGGAAGACTCGTAGACGCCGCCGCCCCATATCCTCAACATATTCTGGTTCGAGGCGACGAGCTGCGCGGCCCAGGCGCGGTACCGCGAGGGCGGGATAGAGGCGTGGAAGCTGTCTGCCGGGATCCAGCACGAGCCGCCGGCGAAGACGTCGGTGTTGTTGACGCGGAAGTAGAAGGATTTGCCGAGGGCGTCGGGTTCTTGGATAAGTTGCGCGCGGCGGAAGCCCGTTCTTTGGGTGTGCATTGCTAGTGGTTGCTCTCGCTCCGAGACGTCTGATGCGTGGTGGTGGAGGGTCGTCGTGATTGTGTAGAGTGTCTGCGGGCCGTTGTTGAGAGGATACCACAGCTTCGGCTGCTCAAGCTGAAAGTCTGCCTTTGCCGTCCCGTCCTCCGCAACAACCATACGCTTCTCCAAAACAACCTCGTCTCCGAGGCTAAACACCACCGCGACCTCCTCCGCGCCGGACCCCTGGGTCTTGACAATAACCTGCCCCGACACGCTCCCCAAATCCGGACTCACCTCGCTCTTGACCCAAACATCATCGATCCGCGCAACATACCGCTCCAAGTACACAGGCTTCCAGATCCCCGCGGTAACGAGGATCGGACCCCAGTCCCAGCCCCAGTGATACTGCGCTTTCCGGACGGGGATGCGGCCCTGCTCCGTCTGCCGGGCGATGAACCTGTGCTCGTTGGCGTGGTCCTCGACGAGCTGTCTCCCGCGGAGGAGAGCCGAGTCGAAGACGATTTCCAAGAGGTTGGTGCGGTCACCGTCTGTCTTGAGGTGCTGCGTGACGTTTACGCGGTGGGAGAGGAACATGTTGTCCGAGGTGAGGATTTGCGTGCCGTTGAGGGTGACGGTTGCGAAGGTGTCTAGACCTTCGAAGACGAGGTCTGTTACTACCGTGGTGCCTGGTACCTCTGCTTCTGCTTCTGCTGCGGGTGTGGTGAAGTCTGGCGGTGTTGGGAAGGCGAGGCGGTAGACCCAGGTTTTTTCTGCGACCCATTGGACGGCGAGTTCGTTCATGTCCAGGAAGGGGTCTGGGATTCTGTGTTTGGGATGTCAGGTTCGTCTTGTTTCTGGCTGTAAGTGTACGAGGCGAGGGGGCGAATTTACTTCTTGTTTGCCAGCAGAGCGACATGGACTTGGCTGGGAATACTAGGCACAGCGAGCCATGCCTCCTCCGAGGCGTCATCTTGCTGTTTGAACGTCCAGCCTTTGCTGAGCTCATACCAGATGAGGGATGCCATCTTGGATGTTGCGACTCAAAGGTTTCTATCATGTAAGATGTAGTAAACCCTTTCAGTCTGATATGCCACGCCTGCAAACAAGATCACTGAGACATCGTGAAACTAGGCAGTTGAACGACGTGACTTGCGCACTGTTATATATAAAACTCGCAAAGCTACGATGTTCCCTCTTACACGGTCCGGCTGAAGACCGGGGGAATCGGGGTCACCTTCCGGGGCAAGCTAACTCTCCACATTTTGAGGAGCTTCACGTCAACCGATTGGGTTACGGCGTCGAGACTGAGCTCGGGGTAGCACCGTCCGGAGCCGAGTGGATGAACGGGCTACCGTAGTACTGCTGAAATGTCCGGTTAATTGGTGGAAGGAGACGGAGGTTTAAAGTCCCCCGTGAGATCCACTTTTGACCTCTGATGCGGCGATTTGAAGTCCCGATGGCTTGGTTGGGGGTCTCGGGGGTATATGTGCCCGATCACCAGCTGCACTTCCAACTTCAGCATCGAAGCGTCGACTTAGATGGAGATATTTTCGGATGAGAGAAAGCGTCCATCTCACCTGACATCTTGGTACTTTGTCATGTTGGTCCATTCATTGTTGCTAACTGTCTCTCGCCGTATAACTTCATCGTATGTAGACTCCATCTCCGTCTCAGAAACACCCTTTCAAACCCTGTTCTCCCCTGTAAACCTCGCCATCCAGTCAAAAACAGTCTTGTGCCAAACCATCGAGTTCTCCGGGTTCAGCACCCAATGGCACTCATCATCAAACGTCAAGAACCTCGTCTTGACGCCCTGGCACATGAGCGTATTATACGCAGCGATCCCCTCCGTGATAGGACACCTATAATCCTTCTCGCTGTGAATGATCAACGTCGGCGGCGCGTGCCTCCAATTCCGCAACAGCTCCGGCCGCGCCGGGTTCCACCGCTCCATCTCCTCGGCATTATCCCACAAAAACGGCGGGCCGCCGAAATCGGGCCCGCCGTCGACGACGTCGCTCTGCAGCATGAACACGGGCAGACTGAAAATGCCGTCGTGCCAGACGGAGCAGGCGAAGCGGCGGATCAGGTCGTGGCCGTTCATCCAGGAGATCATGTACCCGCCGTACGAGGCGCCCGCGACGACGGCGCGGTCCTGGTCGAGGTAGGGGACTTGTTGCAGGTGGTCCATGAGGCGGACGAGGTCTTGGAAGGGGGCGCCGCCCCAGGAGCGGTAGATGCGGGCTGTGAAGTCGACGCCGTAGCCGGTGCTACCTGCGATGTTGGGCGCGATGAGGACGTAGCCTTGTTGGGCCCAGAGGGCCATGTTCCACTGGTGGTAGGTGTTAGTCGGGGGTTGGTATGAGAGAGAAATTGTGTGACTAACCCTTGTTGACCATGAATCCGTCCAAGATGATTCCGGCCCGCCGTGAGGTAAGAGAATCCAGGGATACTTCTTGGTCTTGTCAAAGTTGGCCGGCTTGATGATGAAGGAGTGCACAATGTTGTCGTCTTCGCCCTCGTACCAAAACTCAGAGACCATGCTGTGAGACAACCCGTACTTTGCGCCGTGTTTCGTAGCCGACGACACAATCTTTGGTGCCGTGTTCAAAGAGACATCGATAATCTGCCACAGACTGCTGTCAAGGAAGCTATTACTCGTCACTAGGACTTTATCATAGCTGCCCTCCTTGAGAGGATAGAAAGCCGAGACGACGCCGCTCGACGTCAGCGTCGTCGCTTCGGCACCGTGACGGAGCTCCACGTGCGACAGCTTCACCCGTCCGCAGTCTTCCGTCTGCAAAAAGATGGCGTCAGAGCTGCCTGCGAACTCAAAGCCCTTGGGCGGCAGATTCGGGCCCTTGCCAAAGATCATCTTGTGCACATCATAAGCGCCAAAGGACGCAGTGTGTCCCATATACAGCCTCGCGTCCGCGGGGTTTTCGAGCGGCTCGTGCAAAAACGCAATCTTGGAGCCGTCGGGCGAAAACCTCACGTTGGAGTAATACGCCTTGGCCTCCGATATGCCCATGACAAGCGGCCTCGGCTTGGCACTCGCGGCGGCCGAGAAGGATGTGAGCGGGACGTAGTAGACGTGAGAGGCGCCCGCGTCCTCCGGCTTCAGCCCGGCGTCCTCTGCGATGAAGGTGATGCCTTTCTCACTGACGTCGAATGCGTCCGTCGGGTCGCTGACGTCGTACATGCCCGACGGCGCCTCGAGACGGCTGCCCTTGATGGCGTTTTGGAGCTCGCCTGCGACGCCCCATTTGCCGTGCGCGTTGACGAGAGTCGAGTACCAGAGGGCGTATTTGTGAGGTTTGATCAATTCGTTCCACTAACACGATATTAGTCACGAAACATGTCACCGTTTTGCGCCCGCCAAACCCTTTCTCCCAACTTACACGCCTCATGTGGTAATCGTCAAAGATGCGCCCCGTGGATCTCTTCTCCTCGGTCTTGTCATTGAACAGAGACCCATCGGGCCCGACCAGCCCAGCAACGACGAACCCGACACTCCCATCACCCAGCGCCTTGACCTTGAGGGCGCTGATGGGCGCGTCGTACTCTGCAGCGACGTAGTGCTCCTTGGCCGGCTCGGCGCCGTTGGCGATCCAGATCTGGGTGGTGCCCTTGTCGCCAGACTTCAGGTAGACGATGTCGCTCGCTGTGCCGGGCAGCCAGAGGGCGTCGTGGACCTTGTCGTCGTCGGTGAGCTGATCGGAGGCGCCGGACTCGACGTGCATGAGGCGGACCTCCTTGAGGGTCTTGTTGTCGTCGAAGCTGTGGGTGGACTGGGTGTAGAGGATGAGCTTGCCGTCCGGGCTCGGGACGGCGGGGCCGCGGCGGGGTGCGCTCAGGAGCACCTCGGGGGTGAATTCCTTTGTCACGCGCATGTTGGACCGATTGACGGTTGTGAATTTGGAATGTAGATGGTATTCACAATTGGGGGACGAAATGCAACGCGATGGCCTCAATACGGTGAGATGAAGTCAATTGAAAAAAGCTATGATGCTGACACTTTGCTGCGAGAGGATCAGACGCGGTTGAAAAAGGCAGCGGTTTGACCAGACGTACGAATGAGGGTGACGCATGCTGTCTCCGGGGACGCGACAGCCCTTGTAGGTCGACACGTTAAGCTTCCAAAGTTCCCTTGAATTTGTCCGATTGCTTACCTTCCTCTTACCTTCCTGCTTGGGCCTCGGGGCGGTTTTGGAGACGGCGAATATCTTAGCCGGCTCTGGAAGTAGACCTAGGGACGAATTGGATGGCATGGGATGTGCGCTGTGTTGCCCATGCTGGTGCCTGTTTGGCCTAACGTATCTGCATTCGTATACCTAAGGTAGAGTTAGGTGAAGAGGGTCGTAGGTAAGCAAGCACGCAATTCTGTGTGAAATCGATCTTGGGTATCTTCAGAGGATTGCCGTGCTTCCTCCCATGTCTTTTTGTAGCGTCTTCAAGCTTGTTGATTCGGATTGAACGGCCTCTGAGCCCCGGAGCATTTCATGCTGGAGAGACATCCGCCAAGAGGAAAGGAAAGGTACAGAAATGGGTACGTACTCCAACCACGCGGCCCCCCGGCTTCTTGGGTGAAAGCTTAGCTAAGCCGCGGAACGTACTCTCACAAGTCCTAGGACCCACCGGTCGGGTCGGGTACGTAGCGTGAACCCAATCATCCAATCCTAGAGCCCCGAGGTTGGGTGGGTCAGTGTCGCTCCCCCGGAAGGAAACCGGACGGCCAACGGGAGAGTAGCCGACGAGGGGACCCACTCTTGGAGATGCCTCTAGGCGGGCGTCTTCTCTCGTTTGGTCATTTTAGGTGCATGTCCGAAGCGAACAAACACTTTCGACACTCAAAGTCATGCCATCATGCGATTTCTGGGCTGCCCACATGTTCATATGTCAGGACTCAGGACTCAGCCAACGCGGACGGTATCCGTGGACCGTTCAGTTGGTCAAATCACTTGGAGGCACTGGTCCCCATCAACAGGAGCCTCCACCAAGCGAGTGACCCCGTGTGACCCCCACCAATCACCAAAACGAGCGTCTCCCTTGGTGTTTACTGGTCCCGTCCCATGCTTCCCGAGTCCGACTCACGTCCCCCAGGGCCCCAGCTCTCCAAAAGTGCGCCAACCCCCCAAAAGACCCCCATTATTTACAGTGGCTCGGGATGGGTTCCTGCGATGGAGACATTAAAGAAAAATGCCATGTCCGTTCAATCCACGGAGTAGACTCTACAGAAACTCCTGGAAGAACCGTCACACGAACTGATAACGAGCCGGAGATCTGTATGGCATGTCTTGCTTAATTGCCCAAGGCAAAGTACCTTATCTTCAAATGTCAAAACATTGTCTCCCTGCACTTTACAATTACTTGACTCTTAGCTAAGGTAAAGGTACGAAGTAGATGTAGATACCTGTGGACATTCCTCGGGCCCCATCGTACCGACTATCTCCGACTTCGGTCTCCAGTAAGCTGAAATTTTCGAGCAACCATTCGTCCACCCTCATCCGTAGCACCATGGATGTGATACGGAACACCTTGCGGTAGTCCACTTTATTTTATCTCATGGGACTCTACGAGCCCAGGGCTCTGCTATTTTTTCCTTTCTGCCACGGACTACGGTCCCGTCCCGGGGGTCGCTTGCCTGACTCTGGGCTCCTCGAGACGGCCATAATTGGGCGCGTCGTGCCCGGCACCAAGGTCGCAAAAAAAGCTGCGTCCCGGGCTGGTCTGGTTTCTACTCTCTTCACTGCCCATGGGATTTGTGTCCATAGTGTAGCTCTGCCATTACCATAGCTCTTGTCCTTTTTCGTCCTGGTCTTCCCTTGTTCTCTCTCTCTCCCATCTTCTAGTAGACCACTTTCCCCATTACCTTTGGTTTTTCCCCCGCCTCATCCTTCCTCTTGAGGTCAACTCCCCCAAAAAGGAACCTCTTTCATCCCATTCGTGTGTGTCGTCCCGTCCTTGGAGAGAGCTTCCTTAGCTTCCCCAAAACTCCGACCTTCGCGACGTCACCCACGCCGATACGTCACCTCCTCCAACCCCGAACCAGTCTATTGACATCACCCGTCGCAAACCGAACGTCGGGAAACCACCCGGTACAGCGCAATCGCTGCCACCCCCCGCCGCCTGCGAAATCGATTACCAGGAAACCCAACCGAAGCATCGTGAGAGCTTCAACCTCCAACTCCTCCGAAGCTCCAACACACATACACACACAGCTACGCTCGCATGGCGGAACGAGACTCAAGACCACAAGGGCTTGCCGCCGCCGCTGCCGCATCCGCACCCGTCACCCCAGAGCTCAAGATCAAACCCCCAAGTCCGCTGGCGCTGGCCCAAAAAGTCGACATGGAGTCCAAAATGGGCGAGGCAAAGTCAGAATGGAACACCAAGAACCTGGGCTTCCGCCTCGGCACCGACTTCTTCAGCGCAGCGTGCGCCGGCACCTTGGTCGCGCCCCTGGTCTCCATCATTGACCGGTAAGCAGCCCTCTTCCCTCTCTTCCCAACTCTCCTACACCTTGGAGTTTGCTCCAGAAACTGACTCTTGAATAGTTCCATCATGGAAAACGCCTCCGGCCGCCGCCCCCTAGGCGAATGCGTCCGCTCCTGCCTAAAAGAACTCCTCCTCCGCCCCCACGCCGTCGTCTTCTCCAAACCCTTCGCCCTCATCTTCGCCCTCTACGGCGGCACCTACCTCACAGCAAACACCCTCGACACCGCCGCCTCCACCATCCACAACACGCCAGCCTCGTCCGTCACCTCGGGCACCGCCAAATTCGCCGCCTCGAGCACGGCAAACATCGGCATCTGCATGTACAAAGACCAAGTCTTTGCGCGCATGTTCGGTCCCCCCGGCGCCACGCCCCGCCCCGTACCGATGCTCACGTACGCGCTCTTCACGCTGCGCGACTGCATGACCATCTTCGCGAGCTTCAACGTCCCGCCGAGGCTGGGCCCCTGGCTGAACGAGCGGATGGGCGAGGAGATGAGGAAGAAGGTGAGCGGGTTGACCGTCGTGCAGTTCGCCGCGCCGGCCATGGTGCAGCTCGCCAGCACGCCGCTGCACTTGCTCGGGTTGGACGTGTATAACCGGCCCAACGCCGCTGCTACCCCTGTGTCGTGGCAGAACCGGTGGCAGTCCGTGGCTAAGAACTGGGGTATCAGCACCATGGCGAGAATCTGCCGTATCATCCCGGCGTATGGTGTTGGCGGTGTCGTGAACCGCAAGGTGAGGTTGAGTCTCATGGACAGAGCGGAGAAGTGAAAGGATCCGAGTACATGAGCCTGTGTCCCCTTTTACCTCCTTTGGAACGTGGTTTTCCCGATCAAGAGCTACCTGACGGGTGACCAGATGACTTGTTTCTATGTTTACTGAGAACCTCTCTCTTTAGCAATGGTTCACATGGGGCGGCGTTTCCGGGCTTTTCCTTTGGCATTAGATGGGTTCAAGACATTGGGAGGCGGTACCAAACCCAGACCGCCGGGTTCAAGGAAACTGGGCATCTTACATAGAGACGACAGACCGGGAGAAACCCCCAAAGCACACACACACACACACACACACACACACACACACACACACACAAAGACACACTTGTAGAATAGTAATGCGCGCTCTAATCGTCTGCAAATCGCGCCAGCCAGGTCGAACCTAGCACGGAGATAGATATATATATATCCAAGGTTCAGTGTCACACAAAACAGCTAGCTTTCCGCAATGTCACATCAACCCACTCTCTCTAAGCGCCTTCATGACCTCGTCCTCTTCGCGATGCTTCCTGCGCCGGCGGTGCTTAGCATCGCCAACGTCAATGTAATTCTTCCAAAACTTGAGCCCCTCGATGCCGTCCTCTCGACAGACCACGCCCCTTTCTTCAGCCATCTCCAGCTCCTCCTCCGCCACGCCGATGCTCCAGCCGAACCGCTCCGCCGCATCCCGCGCCGTCACCCCGCGGCCAAACTGTCGCCAGTCCCACGCCAGCTCCTTGTCCGGCGGGAACTCGTGCAAGTCGTCCAGCCAGGACACCAGCGCCTTGATCGTGGTCTCGTCGGTGCGATCGCTACTCTGTACGACCAGCACACCGCTCTTGAACTTTCGCAGCCGGACGGGCAGTTTGAGTGACTCCCACATCTGTGAGGCCTTTTCGAAATCCATGGGGCTCACGAGCTCGACGCCGCCCCGGGCGCGGTTGAACATGGCCCACAGGTCTACCAAGTTGATGATCCCGCCCGCCTTTTTCAAAACACCTCGCGCGTCGTCTGTGAGGAACTCTGCCAGATTCCTCGACAACTCGGACAGGTACAGCGTCTCGGAGCTGCTCCCGCCTACAATATCCTTGGTCGTCACGAGACCGAGCTGGCTCGCCGATTCGGCTAGCAGAGCGTTGGCCTCGGCGCCCGTCCCGCCGTTCTGTCGCGCAAACCTCTCCGCGAGGGCCACAATCTCTTTGGCAGAGGCCATTAGGGCATCCAGATCCTCGAACGCGCTGCCAATCATCACCTCGTTGTTCTTGCGCATGTCGAGCCCGCGCTGCTCCAGACCCGCGATGCCCACGCCCTTGGGACGCCCAGGGACCGCCGCGGGCGCGCGTACGAGGGCGCCGTTGTCGTCTATCGTGCGATTGCTCTTGGGTACGGGCGGCGCGCCCTGCAGAAGCCACTTACGCTGCGTCAACGCGCCCTTGAGTCGCTCGTAGAATATCTTCTCTCCGCCTCCGCGGAAGGAGATTTTAATGTTCTCGGCGGTATCCTGACCGGGAGAGGACGTTGTGAGGACTGGGCCTGGAGACTCTGTCCTTTGCGTCTGCGCCTGGGTAACGACTGCCTGGGGCAGGTCTTGCGATATTAGGGGCGCCCCGCACATCTCGCATGACAGCAGGGACGGGTGATTTGAGAACGTGCATCGAGGGCATTGGAACGTCGCGCTTGGATCTGATGGCTTCGGTGGGACGCCGCCGTTGATGTTCGAGGCCGCTGGCCAGGGAGGCGGAGGCCCCGCGTTGTCGTCGGGCCTGTTGGAGGTCGACCGAGGGCGCATCGCGAGGGGCGAGCTGACTGTTGGGCTCGAAGGGGTGGCCGGCGGGGCACGGCTGGTCGCATTCGATATAGAAGCCTTCAGAACGTGCGCCAACGTCGGCTTGATGCCGCAAGCAAGACATGGTGGCAGCGGGGTATGTATGTTTGCCGTCGTTGGGTCAAAGTTTGAAGGGACCGGGTTGGAGAAGCTGCAGATGGTGCAAACCCAGGTTGCTGCGCTTGCTGGTTCGGGTGGCGGTCGGTAGGGACCATCGGCTCGAGCTGGTGACCCCGCGCCATTTCTCCCAGGTGTAGATATCGCAGACGCTCTAGTCTGAAGCGACGAGCGTTTTATTGGCTTGGGAATCAGGGTGATCTTCGCAGAAGATTTCAGGAACCCCGCGTAGAACTCATATCGATCAATGTCTTTCAGATCTAGGGCAACGGAGTGCTTGCGCGGCTCGTCCTTGTCGACGTAGCAGATTCGGTGGGATGTCAAGTACACCTGGCCGTTTTGCTGTTGAGGTAATTTGAACTTTCTGGAGGAAGAGCATCTCTTGTTAGTGTACTAGATCATGACGAGAAGAGCGGAATAGGTTCAGAGCCATCGTACTTACCCTTCATAAAGCCCAACATTGTCCTGGACGAACAACAAGACTTCATCCGGTAGGTAGGAAGGCCGGAGAGCGGTCGTGAGGTCGATGTGTTTTAGAAACATCCGTCATATTACTCACGAGCGTACTGAGAATATTGAAGCTCGCGCAAAACTAGGGTTTGGTTGGGAGGTGTTGAAGTATGGCATGGGCTGTTTGCCGCGGTTTGTCGCATACGTCAGGGACAGTCTCGGGCTGGTTCGAGGAGTGGATCGGAAGCCGGATTCGCAGCTATTTCAAGGGTTGCGCATGATTCGAGGGTAGAAGAGAAGAACTCCACAGGTTTTGAAACACTGAACCAATTTCAGTAGAATGTTGTTGGGGCTGAAGAAACTCAACCAACAGCTTCTATGCCAGGCGTCAGTTTATCTCTCTCGCAACACAACTGCCCCATGGAGAAGCACCGGTCGAGTGGAGGGGGAACTGGACATTGAAGGTGGGATGTCGCCGACCCACTATAGCGATAGTCCCTTTTTGTTGCTAGCGGTGTGCATCAGGGTGCAGTGGTGCACCTAGGCATGATGCATTAGGTAATCACTGAGGTGGCGCCCTGTCATGCCTGTGCCAGTGACAACCAAAGTTTCTGGCCACAAGGCACAAGGGCACTGTTTGGCTCGGATCTCCACTATTATTACCTGAAATCCCGCACACGGGCCACCGTCATTTTGTTACCGCCCTCACCTTTCACGGCTTCTTCCCGACCTCACTTCATCCTTTCCCCCCCCTTCCACCACCACCGCGTCTTTGACTCTTCGACATTTCCACGCCTTTCTCGGTCGACTCAACCACGAAAGATCGATAGATATACTTGTTCTTACCGATCAAGACTAATTTCTGATCCAGAAATATTCAAGATCGATCCTCGCAGCCCTCACAATGATGCCAACTAGCTGGCCTCCGGCACCGCCTCCAGGCGTTGCCTACGGAGCACCTCCCGCCAACTATGCTTACCCTCCCAGTGAGTTTTTCCTCCTCTCAGACTGACTGTGTTCTGATCTGATTTACTGACCCTGATTTCCTAGATCCAGCATACACCGCAGTCCAGGCTCGACAAAGCTTCGGCCAGTATCCTCCCCCACCCGCTGCACCTGCCTACAGTACTTCGCCGCCTCCCTTGGCTGCTCCCTTCGACCAAGCTGCTCCTGTTGCTCCAGCCCCGGCTCCACGAAAGGTTGAATGGCCACCCTCCGTCCGCGATTACGTCCAACGGTCTTTCCTGCCTCACAACATGGACCCCTCCGTGCCACGCCCCGAGATTGAAGCCAAGTTGAAGGAGACCATTTCCCAGCACATGGAGAACGGCACTCTCGAGTCAACCGACTGGGAGAAGATGCCCTTTCCCTCCGATCTGATCCGAAACGAGCGCCAGTCCCAGCTCAACTCCGCTATGAACGTCTCATCTCCATTTGCATCGCGATATGATGGTTCAATGTCTGCCAACCCCAAGAGAAAGTCGTCTGATTTTACCCCGGATGAAAAGTCTTCTGCCGTGCCTTGGCGTACTACTAACAGCAACCGATCCAACGCACTGGAAGACCGAATCACCTTCGCCTCCCCCGACAAACGCGCCAACCTCGATGAGCCACTGCCCAAGTCAAGTAAGTTCCAGAAGCAGTTGGAGAAACGTCAACGCCGCTTCGATGGCGGCTACAAATCCTCGTACCGATCGCCCAGCCCTCCGCCCTCTGATGGACCCGTCGTCGGCACCAGCGAGACTCTGGAGAAGCGCTACTTGCGTCTGACCGCACCTCCCGTGGCCTCCATGGTTCGGCCCGAGCGCGTCCTTCACAAGACGATGGATCTCCTGAAGAAGAAGTGGAAGAAGGAGGGCAACTACTCTTACATCTGCGACCAGCTGAAATCTATGCGGCAAGATCTGACAGTGCAGCGGATCAAGAACGACTTTACAGTCACCGTTTACGAACTCCACGCTCGAATTGCGTTGGAGAAGGGGGACCTTGGTGAGTATAATCAGTGCCAAACCCAGCTGCGTACTCTGTACGCAAAGGGACTGAAAGGAAACCCCATCGAGTTCAAGGCCTATCGCATTTTGTACTTTATTCACACTGCCAACCGTACCGGCCTGAATGATGCCTTGGCAGATCTAACCACAGCAGAGAAGGAGGAGCGACCCATCAAGCATGCGCTCCAGGTGCGGTCCGCTCTTGCCTTGGGCAACTACCACAAGTTCTTCCAGCTTTACCTGGACACCCCCAACATGGGTGCGTACCTCATGGACATGTTCGTCGTTCGTGAGCGTCTAGCCGCTCTGTGCAACATTTGCAAAGCGTAAGTCCAAATCCCTATCCACAGTATGGCATCACCTTACTAACTTGGACATAGATACAAGCCAGACGTAAAGTTACGGTTCATCACTGAGGAACTCGGCTTCGAGTCCGACGTTGATGCGGCTCAATTCATTGTCGACTACAATGGTCAGCATCTGCTCGAGGAACGACAAGAGTCTATTGCTCTCTTGACCGGCAAAGCCGGAGCCCTCTTCGACTCCGCCAGAAGCGAGGCTTTCCGCAAAGTTGACATCAAAGGACAGATATGAATTCCTCGTCATCTCTGTTCTCATCACAAATTGCTCTACACAACTTCTAACCACCCCTACCGCCGACCCCAAAGCCATTCGCGAGGTCTTGCTTCCACTCCTCCCTCCGGTTCTCATTTCAAAGTCCACAGGCTTCGATCTGTGGACTCGTTCCTCCTCGTTTCCTCTTTCTTCTCTTGTTTTCCTACCGACAGTTTCACAACATTGGCGTGTCGTTTTACCTTGCATCACTTGCGCCCTTCGAAGACGTCTAATACCAGTTCTTGGTTACGAGCTTACGAATTATCGATTCCTACCTCGCTGCCCGCCCCCCTTCTGATGGCATTGACGCTTACGCACAGCTCCACGCAGCGGGGACATCTTCGGTTGTTTCTCGAAGACAGCGCTGGATGAGGGGTGCGATGCATGCGCAACAGTGGCTCCGCCGCTGATGATGACCGATACTACCGGCTTGGTGCTGGTCTTGGGCTCTGGGGGCTTTATAGGCATGATACCCGTTCGCCCTGCTTTAGCAGAGGCAACAGGATGGCGTTTGAGCGGAAAATACATGGGATCTGTCTCCATGACGGCTAGATGGCGACTGGAGTTTGTTCTGGACGTTTGCATATACGTCACTCAGCTTTAATGGAAATGTTGCAGGCTGCCTTATGTAGCCTGGTAGCAGTCCGGTCTACAGACCTTTTGGAATCCATACATTTGCTACTTTTCCTCTATGACGTGCAAGATGGTCCTTATTTTTCGTTCTTGATGGCTTCAACGGCGGTTCTCATACGTCTTGATGGCAATCCCAATCTTGTCCTCGGTGCTTTCCTACCATTGGCTGTATAGGGTATAGCTGCAGCGAAAGCAGAGTTGATGGATCTCACTCATCCATGAACAGTCGGCGCCACAAATACGCGATCCATTTCCCAACAGGCCCCCGTGCTGGAAGAAGACTTGACATCTCGCGGCCTCGGGTTCCATACACATCGGCCAAGGTCTCGTCGAGACCACCTGGACAACGTTCATCGCCGCCGAACCAGTATCTGGCGGGTTTCAGAAACACTTGTGGTTCTTGCTGGGTTGTCTATTGCCTTATAATGAGCAGATGAACAGGTCCTGGCGCTGTAGATTTGTATACTGGAAAGATCTGCAGGACGTCCTCGTCACCACTCACCTCTACCTTGACAAGATTTGCAAAACCGGGGGGCTGAGGAGGAAAGGAGTCACGTACTACCTATACTGCAGGTATGATCTTCGTAGAAGATGAGGAGAGCAGGCTTGATCCTAAATATTGTCCTCTTTGTTGGATGGACGTAATACGGGTGACTAGAAGGAAACGGATCAGAGAAAGCCACTTCTGAAGGGGTGGTTTGTACCATAGTCAAGACCGTAAAGAGTACTCATGAATTTCCCTCTGGTTAGGACATTGAGACCGCGATGTCAGGAAACGATGCACCACCACCCCCGTGTCATATCCTAGGTCACGAAGGAAAGACTAACAAGGTCACATTCTAGTAAAAGTTCCACCAAGCATTACGGGACCGTGACGCCGGAAAGACGTACAAGGCTCAACTTCAACCTTGACCTCAATCTCCAGCATGCCCGCACATTACCAACTGCCCGATCAGGGCCGAGGAAGATAGCCTACCTACCCTACCAACCTACTTACCTACCTGCCTACTAATCTACCTACCTACTGACCTGCCTGCCCACTTCCACCTCCACCGAGTTCCTCCACAGATATGGCCTACACCCCAGCGACTCTCGCATAGACATCTCCAAGTACAACTAGCTGCAGACGGGATAAACTCATCCGAACCGGGCATAGGTTCAGGCGAACCACGGGCATCTCATTCCCGGTCTAAAAGGGAGAAAGGGAACAGACGTTCATTGGAGATGGTCTAAGGGAGAGCCGTGCTGGAGCTCCTGGTGTAAGCTCACGATAGCAGCAGCAGTAAGATATTGGAAATCCACACAATCATGAGGCCAAACTCTGCCCTCGTCTCTCAATCTTTCGAGCTTTCCGCCCTCAGATGTTGGGTTTTCTCCCTGCGGCTTGTCGTCGGTTCAAAGAAAACAACAGCTCGAAGCAGAAATCCCCTCGCGCGGCATGACATCCCCCGGCCGTGCACTTGCAGACGCACGCACAACCCGCACGGGGTCCCGGGCGTCTGTCCACCCATCTCACCACGCCATTCATCCCGGGCTTAGATGGTCAGGCACATTGAGGGAGTGATGGATGGTATTAGCTGCATGGGAAACCAAAAGGGTGAAAGGTTAAGAAGCTATAGCATCGTCTGAGCAAGCTTTCAAGCTAGGGAGAGGGGGCCGAATGGAAACAACAAGGTGATAGGGGTGTTTGCTAAAGGATACTTTGGATTGAGTTTCGGTGAAGCTTCAAGCCCAAGAGTAGAGCGCCGAAGAAGGTCCTATTGGTGGTGTAAGACAACTTTACATGTCTCGCGGTACTGCTCTGTGTTCATGGTGGAGAAGAGAACTTGCAATCTCTTGCTTGTTATGATAGAGGCCAGGCTTGCGGAAGACGTCACTAGAAATCGACAAGTATCACCAGCATGGCCGAGCTGGCTTAGATCCTCGTTGAGAAGGCGACAGATCCTCTTCACTGGATGCTCGTACACGCGTATAAATCACGACGAATCCTGTTCGGGATACGGCAAGCGAAAGGCAGCCGATTGATACTCCACATCGACGGCAGTTCTCATGTCGCATACCGGGCCTCTTGAAAATGCAATGCTCCGTGAAGCCACTCGAACAGGTGTGATCTCTTAAACTGAGAGCAGGGTTCCGAGAGCATTCTGTAACCCCAGCTACCTTATACTATGCTTGGTCGTCGAAGGGGACTGCGTATGCTATTTCTGGACGGGCAGACTGTTGGTCCGTACAATCCATTGGCCCGCAAGACCGCGTGCCGTGTGCCGAATCCGAGTCCAAGATACCTGATTGACCGGGGACAGTAGTGTCCCGCGGGAAGGGCCGCCACGGTTTGCCACTCCGAGGAAGGCCGACAAAGACTAAAAGAAGGGCGCCTTCTGCAAGGGCCGAGGAGGACGCGTCCTGGTGTTCTGGCGTTGCATCGTGGACCAAGGCCATGCGAGAGATCCCTTCCCCTTACGCCAAGTCAACCGTTCGCTACCAAGAGTCGACCATCGAACGGCAGTGGCACTTGATGTCCTTCCTAGAGCCCGCGAGTCGGCGGCGGAAGATCGGCGCTACGGAATGGTGTGAACGGGACTTTGCATGCCGGCTGTCTTTCTGTGGTTGTTTCGGCCTGATTTCGAGGTGTGAGTATGGGTGGTGAAGAGGTGTAGCCTGTCTTTCCGAAATTGCTTTTTCAAGGCACTGTTGAGAGCACAATTGGCGTCCATTGGCTGGATACAGCTTGTTCTACTGAGTCTGTCCGTTCACTCTGATACTGTTGGCGCAGCTGACGACTCGTGATAGTAGAAGCAGACTAGAGACATCGTCACTGCAAGTGATCGCCCGTCGTCTCAACAGAGCATTCGATCCTTGGCCTAATAAGCCATTCTCGTCGGGCGTTCAGGGTCAACGCTACGTATTTGATGCTCAAGAATCTGGTACTGCACTTCCGTTTCTCTCAGTCACCCCGCGATTGGGGCTGACAGGTCTCACTTTCTGGCCAGGGCATCCCGATGTGAGGCAACCCTGACTTGAAGATCATCAACCAGGGACGGGCCAGGGTTCTTCTCCTTCCTATTTGGAACTCTGAAAGCACTCGAAATCGCAAAGAATGAGTGCGTTTTCCTGGCCTTCCATTGGTGATGGTGCCGTTCTCTGCCCCGTTTCAGGCGACATGGGACGTCGAGTTTCAAGTTGTGTCGTGCCCGCGAACGGGACGGGCTGGATCCGAACACAACTGCGGCACGAGGTTAAAGCTAGACCTTGCTCCGCAAGCTCAATAGAGTAGCAGTAGCTAAGATAAATGCAAAAGTGTGGGTTGACGTGACCCAGGGTATTTGGAATGCGAGTCTCGCTATCGGGCTTGACATGCCTGGCGCATTGTCTTGCTTGGATATCAGCGGGTTTCGCATGCCATGGATGGCACTGGACGTACGACGCGCTGTTGCAGATGCGATTTACGGGGAGCTGTGAATGTGAGAAGCTTCTAGAGTCGACGACAATTAGCATAGTCGGGAGACATGTCAGGCCAACTTGATCAACTGTGTATCGGTGCGCATGAGAACGGGGAATATGGTGCCATGGGGCCGGCAGAAGACGCGGCTCTGCTGCCAATATTTCGGCCTACGTCACGCCCATTAAAGTGCTTCGATATGCTGCTGCTTTGGTTATACCAAGCATTGGTGTAAGAGCCAAATGGGGCCGGCGCAAGTTGCAGTGCAGAGTGTCCGTACCGTAGGCTTGGTAATCCCAAATGAGCCCCTGCAACGTCAACTCGATCCGCGTGTATCTCGAGCGCCAGCCGCGTTCCGTGAATGCTGTACAGAAACTAACACCGGTAGCGATCGACAGCAGCGGCAGAGAGATGCGGACAAAAAGCATCCAGCTTGTCTCCAGCCAGCCCTGCCACATCCGTCAAGCAGTGGAAAGGCCAAGAGGGGGCCAGGATACCGTTCCTGAACCGTCCCACTGAAACGGGTCGTCGGCGGGGTTTCTCTCTGCAACGGCCATTTAGCGCACCTGGAACCTGGACAAGACCAAGGCGCCATCAAGAGCACCACGGGTGGGGGAATGGAGAACGTAGCAATCTATTCGAGGCGTCGGAAACCTGGGACGGATTGGGAAGAGTAGTGTTGCCAGGGAATTCGGTAGATGAAGTCATTCTGATGAGGCGTGCATGGGCAACGTCTATGCACGGTACAACGCCGTTGGCCTTGACATGTAGTTCGCAGAAAGGCCCGGTAGGTACTCTGACGGCACCAATGGAAGAAAATGCACTTTGACAACGGCGGAATGCGATTCGACATTGTTGGTTCACTTGGTTGACAATGGCTGCAAGTCTGTTTTGTGGATGCGCGCGCCAATTTCAGGAAGCCTGAACCGACGCGTCGGCGCGTAAGCTGGTCCTCCATTCATTGCTGATCAATTGGCTAAGACGCATTCTGGCCTGGCCTAGACTTTTGAATCCTCGCAAGCGTATTTTGCTAGCGTGAAGACCAGTGTACCCTCACTCCGCAGGCTTTGAACCTCCAACGGTAGGGCAAGATCGCCATGTCGTTCAGACAAAAAGCCGATTAGGTTTTGAGCCGTCTCGACGGTGGAGGCCATTGTAAGAAGGGTTGGAATGTGCATAAGGAGTCGAATGTGTGCCATTACCCATATTGACCTGTCGATGTCCGCATGACCAGTATGTATTAACAGACGATATCAAAAAGATTCGCGATGCCAGCTTGGCGTGGATCGCACTGGATCCACGAGACCCTTGTAATAAACGTCGGGATATTTGCCATGCAATTGCTTGCTAGCATTTTTTGGTGGGATATGCTGCGTCATCCGCGGCGTTCCAGGCCGCCCGGAAGCCGCATGGCAACCGATGAGATCTGTGACAATGTCGTAGTCTGCGCAAGACTTTTAAGCCTACCGCCTGGCCGTAGATGTGCAGCTTTTTCGATGAGACTAATCGCGACATTAACAGGCCGTACGGGTAGACGCCGCAATCTCACGTTATACCGGAGAGGTCTAAGGTACGGATAGGCCGTGATGTCTCGGCCTGGTGGCCGGGGAAAGATTCCGTGTGACAGGGCTCGACCGTAGGTTGGGTTGAGGCCGAAGTGGCGTCCAGGCCGTTGAACTTATTAGGCTGGAACTCAATGGGTCCCAAAGAGATAATTACCGTCCGGGCCCGCCGCGTACAGGGGTCCTAACCAAGAGGCATTTGTTCAAGTGAGCTGTCCCTGATTGAGAAAAAGGAAGAACTCTGCTAGAGTGTGGCCGATAGATGGGGGGCACAGGATACCCCTTCTTCCTGCATTGCTCGGGATCACAAGGGAGCGAAGGAGTCTTTGCGTTAATCGATAAGGTGCCGCCATGAGTTTCCATCTCTTGACCAGTCCCCTGCGTCGCACTGCCATCCGGGGGAGCTCATCCAACTCTGCCAGAGACGGGATAAGCTGTTCAAGAGCGAGGTCGGTTCATGCAAAAGCAAGTGTCAAAAGCTCTTTGCTCTTGTCATTGGTTGTAAACTGATGTTTCGTATGGGGGCGTGCAAAGCTCAATCTAGCTTGAGGAGGTGTGTTTGCGAAAATCCAAAAAAGGTCTGTGTTTGAGTGGAGGTTTTGCCATGTGCGCGCCCAGGGAGACAGTGGCAAAGGCTGAGCAACCGCGGGGGAGGATGCCCTCAGGGGATGAGTCCAGGGTATGACAGTATTGACGGAAAGCGGCCCAACCGCCAGCCAGGCCTCTCGATGTGCGATGTCGACTACTGCGGCAGATTGGCTTGTTGACGGTTGAACAGCTCCAGCCCTTCTTGCGGTAAGCTGGAGAGAAGGACAAGACTATTGGAAAGCTGAGTGCTATACGCTAAACGAGGGCGTCTTGGACGATAGCTGAAAAAGAAGGTGAATTCTAGTTTGTCGTCGGAGGGTAAAAGTCATGCTCGCTGACTGGTAACTAGCTGTCTTGTATCCCCATTGCTTGCTGCTCTAGCGCCCTTGGACGAAATCCAGTGCCGTCGTCATAGGCACTACGCACCGAGTCTTGTGCTGCTACAGCTGGCCTGTCGCAACCCTTCACTGTCGTCCAAGGATTCGAGCTAGGTATGGTGCTTCGGCTCAGAGCCGGTGGCTGCCTCCAGCATGAGGCTTAGGGAGCAGAAGGGCGAGACATGCAGCTGCAAGATGCGACTGGTACTCGAGCTGCTAGTCCCTGGGTCCTGAAATGACTATGCCGCACAAAGAATGCGACCAAAGGCATCCATCGGGCGTTGACAACTGGACGTCCAATGTACCGAGAGCTGGCTCTCTGTGGTTCCGCTGAGTGGAAGGAGGACTGTATGGCATAGAATCGGCTCTCGTGACAGTTCCCGACTGCTATCTCCATGGTAGACTTGGGGGGTGATTTAAGCTTTCCATCCGAGGGTTGCTGCTGCTGGACCACCACGCCCGCTGTGGTTTCGCGCAATGCCCGGTCCGTACGTAAGACGGTTTTAGTCTCCGTGCTCGTAGGCGACCGCTTCCATGTCTTCGGACTGGTCTGTCAGTCAACTGTCACCGGGTGCCTCCCGAACTTGCTGTTGCTGCGTTACCACACGGAGCGATCTCTGACGGTGGCTGCTGTTCTAGCTGTGATGGTGTAAGTGTACTGCCAAGTGACGGTTGTCGGAGACTTGGTGCGCCAAAGGCTGAAGCAAATGTAGACGAAGGTTGAAGAAGAAACATTCTCCCATGGATGGCATCCATGAACTTGAAGCACTGTTGATGGTCAGTAGCATTGTCTCGCAGACTCGCACAGCCTGGCAGCAGAGCATGCAAAAGGCAGGCGGCGCGGCACACAAGGTGACAGACACGGCGCACGAGGGCCTTTGCCCACATACTCCCGTGGCGAGACGCATGCCACCATCCATAGCAATCTGCAAGTTGACACCCTCGTTGGAGGGCAGGACACCCACCCGTAACCCTAGCGCAATTTACCCACCCACGCCCAGTGGGCAGACTGGACAGACGGGTACAGACCGGGGTGTCGGCGACCCTCGTCGGCGAGTCCCACCAGTCAAGCCCTCTCCAACCGTCTCCCCCTCGATTCGTCTGGTCTGGTGGAATTTGGGCCATGGGAGTCCATCCCGGGCGTGGGAGTGTGGTCATAGTGTGTGTGTGTCTAGGTATGTGTGTGTGCCGCAGCGCTCCGTAATGTAAAGTGAGTAAAGTAGGTGGTAGTGAGTACGGGGTACCCAGGCACCTTGGGCAGATGCTTGGTTGGGCGAACGAGCCTTTTCTACCCTCGTCTGTCCGCGCCGCTTTCTCTCGAGTCGTTTCCCTCACCTCCCCTCAACCCTCCAGGTCGCTCGCAGCAAGTCCGCCGCACGCCGCACTTCAGCGCAATCTTTGCACTTGGTCGCGCATTCGAAAAGCTCAAATTTGGAGTCTTGGACGACAGTCATTGATCGAGGAACGACGAGAAGTTGTGCATCTGCCAACCTCACATCCGACCCCTGCGACCCCGCCGAGTACCGTGTAGCCCGAGTTGAGTCGCGGGTCACCCTGTTTCGGAGGCCGAGAAAGAGAGAAAGATACAGCCGTCTTCCGAGTCCGAATAAGAAAGCAGAGGAGAGACACTCCCACGAAGTACTGCGCCAGCCCGATATTCAGTGGACAAGAGTTTTCTTTTCTTATTTTTGCTCCGTGTGAAGTAAGAAAATTTAAAAACGAAGCGGAAAACTCGGAAGGACATTGTCGAAACTGATCGCGTGGTAAAAGCGTATTGGAGAGACACTCGCACAAACGGGCAGACGAGAGAAAGATCGAAAAGTCGCACGGACAGAGCAGAAAGGAGCTGTGTAAGAAAAGAGAAAAGGGAAGGCAAGGAAAGCAAAGCAAAGCAAACCAACGCCAAACACCGAGGCCGACGACGTCGAACAAGAAGACTTGGGAGGATAAAGAACATTCTCAAGAAGGAACGAACGACTTTTACCCGTCGATCTTTCCGCCTGCCGCACCATTTCTCAGCCCGTCGCTTTCCTTTTCAGAGAAAGCCCAACGGTCCACGGCAAGCACCACCACCACCACCACCACCACCACCAACCGCACCTCCCCCACGACTCAAGTAAGGAACGCAATCCGAAGGGAAAGTGCGACCCAGTCATCATCGCCCCTCCTTCCTTCCCGTTCGCACTGGCATCAGCGTGGTCCCGGTGACCTACCAGTCCCAATCAATCAATTTCCCCCCCTCTCTCCTTCCCTCCGTCGAAGGGAAGAAAAAAAAGGGAAAAAAAAAAAAGAAAACAAACCATCGTTGGAAGGAACAACACTCTCAACTCAAACCCAACCTACCTAGCAAACACCTTTCCTCCTTCACCTCTTGGAGAGAATCCCGCCTGGTATACGCACAAGAACAGCAACTGCAACACTCATACTTGCACCACTTACTTTGCACCTTCAACGGACATCGACATTTAGGTCTCCTCTTGTCGCAGTGTCGCTTATAGTTGCACACTGATCCACGTAATCCACGCCCACCCCCTACCTACCAAGACCCCCTGGTTTGCGCCCAATCACGCCTTGCCTTCCTTACTTTGCCTTGCCTTGCCTGGCGGAAGGAGCATTTCCCACCCAATTATCCCTATCTTCCCTCTCTCGACCTGACCTGCCTGCACCTGCACCTGCCTTACATCAGTCAGTAGTCAGTCCGTTACTCACTCAGTACCTGACCACTTCGTACTTTCCCGTGTGGTGCAACAGGGCCCCCGTCACCACTCCCACTTCAACTTCCTTTTCGCAACAGCATCGCACTTTATTCTCGCCAGAATCTGCAGCTGTCCTCTCCTCCCCAAAGTGAGGGAGCGTCACACAAGATGAAGGTTCGTCATCCTTCACCCTCCTGCCTCCTGGCACCTGCTGTCGTGCAATCCTCTCTCTCTCTCTGCCTCTTGCATCGCATTTTCATCTTCTTTCCCCCTCTTCCCACCCCTATCAACAGTTTCTCTCCCTCTTTCCAGAAACCCAGTCGTGTGCGGGCGCATGTCACCACCACCACTACCAACACCAAACAACACTTTTGTGTTCTTGCGATTCCTTCTCACAACTTCACATCCTCTCCAAAAAGAAATTGGTGCACAATCTTACATGCGCTCCGTTTCTGCCTCTCAGTACCTCTGCCCTCAGCCCTTTTGCGACATTTTGCGCTCCCTTTCTCCCACTTTCCGCCGTATATGAACAACCCCGCATGCGCCCATGCTCATACCCACGATGAATCGCGAATCAATGTCCAGAAATCGGTTTTCCGATCACTTACTGACAGTCCCTCACCTTATGCAGGCCCTCCGTCGGTCCATCAAGGGCGAAAAGGACAATGCCAAAGTCAACATTGCCCCCAAGTCTGCCGTTGCTATTGTCCCCCCAAAGAAGGTATGTGCTGATAGATGCCTCAATCCCCATGCTGCCACATGCGCCTGGGCCCCCACCACGCGCGTATGCGTATGGTGGGGGGAAAGCTGACAACTACGCAATCGCATTTACTCCGTATGCTGACCGCTCGAATCCACCTACCAGGTTATCCGAGCCCTATACGATTATGAAGCCCAGTCCAACCAAGAGCTGAGCTTTTCGCGCGGTGACTTCTTCCACGTCATCGGCAGAGAGAACGACCCCGACTGGTACGAAGCCTGCAACCCAGCACTGCCCGACGCCCGCGGCCTCGTACCTGTAGCCTTTTTCCAAGCATTAGGCCGAACCGAAAGAGATAGTGGCCAGTCCGACGGTGCTATGCCCCGACCACCGACCATGTCTCCTACAATTTCAAAGAACCCCGATCACGATTCTGGCTATGCCGAGGCTGCGCCGCCCCCCGGCGCAATGCAATCACCACCCGCAACTCAGCCGACGCAGCGTATGTCCAGGTCCGGCAGCAGATCCGGCGCGATGGTCTATGGTATCGTCATGTACGACTTTGTTGCAGAGCGCGCCGACGAGCTGGAGGCTAAGGCTGGTGAGGCCATCATCGTCATTGCTCAATCAAACCCCGAGTGGTTTGTCGCCAAGCCTATCGGCAGATTGGGAGGACCCGGCTTGATACCCGTATCTTTTGTCGAAATACGCGATATGGCGACTGACACAGCTGTCGGAGACGCTTCCGGGGCAATCAAGAAGGCCGGCATCCCTAAGGTCGAAGAATGGAAGAAGATGGCGGCCGACTACAAGAATAGCAGCATCACACTGGGCAAGTTCGACAACGGTGCACCGCAACAGGGCTCCATCGAGCAAGGAATGGAACGCATGAGTCTTCAACAAGGCGGGCGCACCAGTTCACAGAACGGTGCCAACTATGTACGTTTATCTTCGTTCTATCATTGAAACCTTGAGGCTAATGCAGGCTACACAGCAACAGCAGCAGCAACAACAAGCTGGCTACCAGCAATCACGCAACTCTCAGCAAGCTGCCCAACCCAGTCCCTACGCCAAACCAGCGTCGCAGCTTTACGCCCCCATCTCAGCCCGCATCCCGAGGTATTGTTTTGCGGAAGACAAGTACTGGTTCGTTATCGAAGCAGTGCTGGAGGACGGCCGTCACTGGGAACTGTCCAGATACTACGAAGACTTCTACGACTTCCAGATTGCCTTGCTCACCGAATTCCCGGCCGAGGCAGGAAACACCGGCACGCAAAAGCGTACACTTCCATACATGCCTGGTCCGGTAAACTATGTGACAGATCAAATCACGGAAGGCCGGCTACACAACCTAGATGCCTACGTTAAGAATCTCCTTGCACAGCCTGCCTACATTGCAAGGTGTACCCTCGTCAAGCAATTCTTCGCCCCCAGAGAAGGCGACTACGAGATGGACCCCAATGCGCCGAGCGACGAATATCGACTATCGGGCGGCTCGCAGCCTTCATCGAACGAATCACCAGCAGATGCAGCTTCACGACAATCCTCCAAGAATAATCTAAACGGCAATGGTTACGGTGCTCAGCAACGAGCGATGGGCCAACCCGGAATGAACCGGCAGCCATCGTCTCTGTCGCAGTCACAGCCTTCTCCTGCCATCGGTCAGGGTCAAGTTCAAGCCATGAAGATCAAGCTCTACTTCAACGGCGATCTCATTGCGATTCGGGTTGCAACAGACATTTCCTTCCAGCAGCTGTACGACAAGATTGTGGACAGGCTCAAGATCCCAGTAGGCGAGGAAATCCAGCTCTTCTACAAGGACGAACCCACCGGCGACAAGCCCAACCTCATGAGCGACAACGACTTGGACTACGCCTTGCAAAGGAACGAGAAGCTCCTCCTCTACGTCGAACAGGTCTAAGGCTCGACAAGGTGCTACTCGGCTCGGACTTTTTCCTAGATGGTTTTCACGACTACTTGAGAGACAAAAGCATACCCCCCACCCGCCATTGCATTCTCACTTCATGATTCCCAGCGCACGCGACGCGTTGCTATCTACTGTCTTATTACACAGGCGATAGCTGATTTTCACTTCTATATTGTTTTCTCTTAGTAGCTGGACTCGATATACGACCATGATGCGCCAGTGGATCGACTCTCCTTCGCGCAAGCGGCTACGCTCCCTTTTTTCTTACACTTCTTTGGCCCTCGAGAGGGTCCCCACTTACGATTTTCTTTTTGATGGTATTGACGTTGATGATGGGGAAAAAGAAGTATTGATACAGCCCTCGAGGGTTTATATCTGTCCAAGAGTTTCTCAAAAAGACGCAAGACGGATTTGTTTCCACCACGAGGACCACGGAGAGAGGACATTGGCGGGCGTTTATTGGTTAGACGGCTGACTTGAGCTGTCACAATTCTTTTTATTTTAGCACGAAACCCTTTCTCAACTGGATTTCCCCTCGGTGGCCTGGTCCTCAGTACTCGGGCAAAGTGCACGGGAAGGAAGACCGGTTCTGGGGTTTCCTCTGACGATGAGCGAACGAACGTGAAGACGAATGAGGATGAGGTTCGGACAGATGGGCAAGGGACGGACCCTATACCCGTATTTTAGCCAGAGATGAATCAAGACGAGCCTGTTCAATGAGCCCTACCTAGTCTTCAAATGCGTGTGGACGTCAACCATATACACAAGCCATAGACGTGTATCTAAACAACCTGCTGTCCGCGCCACGCCCCACTGATGAATATATATCAGAACCTACCCGTCTCCAGCGTACTCCAACCTCCCATCCGCCCCCTCGATACCCTCTATAATGAAATGGCAATACTTCATTCCATCACCAAGGCCCGTAGCGTAGCGTGGAAAGTCAGCTCTGTTTCTGAATTGCGCCGCACCTACGAGTCACTGGTTCGAGTCCCGTTTCTTGTAAAAGGTCTTTGCTTCATTTCACATGACGGCAGAGGTCGGTATGGGCCTCCAAGGATTTTTTCGTAGGCCCCCTCTTGTAGGGGGCTGAGCTTTTTGCCTTTTGCATGTCATAAAAGGTAAAAAAAATTGGCATTGCATGATTCTCAAGATACAGACATGACAGGTAATAATAGTTAGATTAGCTGCATGGTAGGTCGAAGAGTAAATGGCGTTCCTACGATTCATCATTAAGGTACCTTGTGTAATAATAGGTTACAAAAGGTAGCAACTCCCTTAGGCATCCGCGCTCATACACCTATATACACGACTACACACGCACAACGTGACTGTGCCTTTTCTCTCTGTGCCTTTTCTCTCTGTGCTTTTTTCCTCCCTTGATACCTGCATTCCCATATCTGACAGTAAAGAGCCTTTTTTTCGTTTTGTGAAAGTGGTGACTGGGCCATCGCCTTCTAATAACCCTCCTGATATACGCCGGCCAGCCCGAAATATGGATTGCCAACTCCTGCAATAACCCTCGCTGGGGATTTTCCATTTTCCGTTCAATAATCATTTTGCTCCCTTTTGCTAGAACACCACACCTTTAATACCCTTCCCAGTCTTCTGCAATCGAATCTCCCTAGACAACAACGTGCGTAGACATGTGCTCGACAGCCTCCTTAATCGTCCTAAGCATACGCTGATTCACACAAAACGGGCAGCGCAGCGGCCGCTCGTTGGCCGAGACCGGGTCGTCGTTCTTGATGGGCGTCAGGTTCAGCTCCGGCGTAGACGGCATGAACCGGTTCGACGCAGATACGACCCTCTGCACGGCGGGCGTCGCGAGTGCCGCCGCAGCAGTCCCCTGCGCGCGCTCCCGCTGCTCGCGCTCCTCTCTCGCCGCGGCCGCCGTGGCCTCGGCCTCGGCCTCCTCCTGCTGCAGCTGGCGCAGCGCGTTCTGCAGGACAATGTCCGGGTCCTCGTCGCCGTACATGGGCGTGTCGCTCCCCGGCGGGGGTGGTGGCGGCGGCGGGCCGACGAGGCTTGTGTCGGCGCTGTGCGGGTCGGGGGTATGTTGGACGGCCGAGGTTGGGGACATGGGATTCGTCGTGGCGGGTCCGCCGGCGCTCAGGCGGCGCAGGACCTCGTCGCGGACAAGGGCGCAGACTTGGAGACTCGCTTCGACGCCGAGGGCGCGGAGGATGGCTTCGCGGATGGCGGCGGGAGAGGTTTCGGCGGAGAGGGCCATGAGGCGGGGCACGCAATCGGCGAGGTAGGCGATGTCTTCGGCCGGGTTGATGCCGCCGTCGCCGTGGCGGCGCTGGCGGCGTATGAGCAGGCCGTAGCGTTTCTTGAAGCGGTGGATCCAGCCGGGGGAGAACTCGGGGGGCGTCTCGTCCTTGTAGCGCGGGAGGGCGGTGAAGATTGCTTTGGCCTTCTCGCCGAGCTCCTCGTTGGTCGGGTGGCGGCCGGTGGCCTGGACCTGCTGGTACCATCGCAGGACGAGCTTCTCGACGTCGGGCCAATTGCCGAAGCGCAGGCGGCTGCCGCTCAGCTGGGGGTTGTCGCCATCGAGGCGGGAGTATTTGGGACTCAGGGAGTGGGAGACGGTGGACTGGGAAATGTGCTGGCCATACTGGGCGTAGAACCAGTCGATGCAGGCCTTGTGGCTGGGGCGGATCGTCTGGGCATTGGCCCAGCGGCGGAGGGCGCGTCGTTGATCGAGGGTGAGGGAGTGACGCTCCTTGGGTGTGCCGCCGACGGGGCTGCCGGTGACGTCCGGGTCCGGGCCGCCAGGGAGGACGTCGGGTTGTTGGGAGGCGTGGTGGAGTTCGTGGGCGGCGTCGTGGTGGGCGTCTTGGGTGTGGTCGTGGTCCGACATGGTGGATGAAAGAACTTCTCTCTTTTCCGTTTTGGTAACTATCCTCCCGATGCTCGACGCGCGCGTCCACCACCACCGAAAACCGCGATTTGCGACGAACGGGGGTTTCGCTCGGTGGACAAAAGCCCGTGTATTGAGGTAATGTGAATATGTGCAAGACGCGGCGGGGAGGATGTTTAATCGGATGAAGGGGGGGCCGAGGGGGCCGCCAGTGGTGGTCTGGGTGTCGTGGTGTGGTTTGGAAGAATCGTTGTATCCGTGTACGAAGTGGTTGAAAGGGGGGGAGTTTTGGTTAAGGAAGAGGAGGGAGCAAGCTGGGAGAGGGAAAATGTGGGAAAGCGCAAGTGTTTAGCTGCAAGCGAAGCGAGGGCCGTACGAATTGGGATTGTAACACGGCTTATTCAGCCAGCACATGCGGTTCGAGGGAGATCCGCCAAGGTTGCATGTCACTTGTTTATGCATCCAATGGGCTCCTGGTACGGTACCACAGTTGCCCTCCATTGTCTCTACCACCATGAGGTATCTTCCGAAGTACCTATCCTTGGGTTACGTTTCTTCCTCAGCGCCCGGATATTTAGGGTGCCTGGCCCAAGCTTCTCTGCGTGGGTTGCATCAACTCGCAGCTGTCATTGACGGATAAGTTTCATATCCGTTTTGCAATTGGATCACTCTGTTGAATCCGACATGCATTCGGCGTAATGCCAGTAAACGAAGTTGATGATCCAACGCGAATCAATTCCAATGTACTTCAGTCACCACAGAAATGGCCTGTTATTCCGTCAAGCAAGCTTGCCGTTCAATGCTGATTGATATTCTCACAAGTCTATTTACCTCGGACAAGAAAATACGCTACCTACTTTTCCTTCAATGCTGACAGCTTCTCCCTCATATTCATGCCACATGCTGAAGGTGTGTCGCACTTCATTAATGCAAGTTCCGATCCCAACTCCCAATGCCAAGCCAACCAAAGAGCCAAAATCCAGACCCCTCCTCCCTCCCTAAACATTAAAACGAAAAAACAAAAACTGTCATCCACCTTCCCCCGCGCGCGCGCCGCGACGCATTGGCCTCGTCGCTCTCTCACACAGACATCTTCATGGCAATCGTCTTATGCGGCTCATACCCCTTGACCACAAAGTCCTCAACCTTCCACCCGTCAATGCTGCACCCCGGCTCCCTGTTGTTGATCTCCAGCAGCGGGAAGTCTCTCGGCTCCCGCTCCAGCTGCACCTTGAGCGCGTCCACGTGGTCCGCGTAGACGTGCGCGTCGCCCATGACGTGCGTGAGGCTTCCCGGTACCAAATCGCACGCCCGCGCAATCATGTGCGTGAGGAGCGCGTAGCTGGCAATGTTGAAGGGCACCCCGAGTCCCATGTCGCAAGACCGCTGGTACAACTGGCAGTGGAGGTGGCCCTTTGGCTTCTCCTCGTTTGCGGGCGTGGCACCGCGGGCTCGCGGGTACGAGACATAAAACTGCGCAAACATGTGGCACGGCGGGAGCGCCATCTTCTTCAGATCCGCTGGGTTCCATGCGCTGAGGAGGATGCGGCGGTCGTAAGGGTTCGTCTTGAGCTTGTGGATGACCTCGGCCAGTTGGTCGACGCCCTGGCCCGTGTAATCCGTCTTGGAGTCGACGTACTCGGCGCCAAAGTGGCGCCATTGGAAGCCGTACACGGGGCCGAGGTCGCCGACTTCGCGGTGGGAGAGGCCGACGCTGTCGAGGAACTCGCGCGATCCGTTGCCGTCCCAGATCTTGACGCCGGCTTCGCTCAGGGCGAGCGATGATGTGTTGCCCTCGACGAACCACAGGAGTTCGGCAATGACTGCGCGGAGGAAGACACGCTTGGTTGTGAGGAGGGGCAGGAGGGGCTCGCCGTTCTTGTTGAGGGAGAACTTAAGAGGAGTCGGGGCGAAGATTGAGTAGGTGCCGGTGCCAGTTCTGGTAATTGTGTCAAATCATGGTGCTCGTTACTTTGGGTTGCTTTCCCTTCTACTTACCTGTCCGGACGGTGCTCGCCCTCCTCGAGGATCTCGCGAACGAGATCGAGGTACTGGTATTCCTCGTGGCGCTTGGCGGGGGCAGCGCCATTCTGCTTCGTAGGGTTCTCGGGAGTAGACATGATTGCGGATTCGACAGCTGCGGGTGCCATTGTTGCGTCCAAGATGTTGGGAAAGCAAATTTCTGTGGTTTCTCTGGATTGAGATGTCTCCTCGAAATTGATCCTCGAAATTGATCCTCGAAATGGAATGCCCCACGGAAGACGCGTCAGGACGCGTCTCATTAAAGTGCATTTCTGCTGACTAAGGGGGCTCGCAACTGATAAGATAAGCCCTCCCGGGGAGCAAGGGTCTTGCCGGCTGCAGCGTCTCCATGCGCCGGAGCTTGTTCCATCTCTGCTGAACTTCGGGCGAATGGGAGCAGCCAATCCGACGAGTCTGAGCTGAGAAGTCGTTTCAACATCATCTCGGTAGACTCAGCCGTCGAATCTTTCCTATTCGCCCCTGACGTTCATGTGTGATGGAAATTCGGGATTTTGGCATGTCCATTTGCTTGAGACTTACTCGCTGACGATGTGTTTTCCTTTCCTCCTAGTACAGGTCACTGCCTGGTGTGACGGGTTTACAAGATACACGGACAGATGAGCTCTGTCGACTTACAACGTTAACCCGTATTGGCAAAGACTTTGATTCTACGAGTTGTTTCTGAAGAGAGCTGAGCTTTCTTCTTAACGGACGTAGACACTCTCTATACTGGACCTCGGTGTCCGGGGACTCGAAACCTTTACTCAGTCATTTGCCGTTTCTCCGTTTCCTTTGAGATATTCTTCCAATTCGAGCAGCTTGCTCAAGTTGCACTTTCATGGATATGCGTCTGAATTCTACAAAACCTCAGGGCCGACGATGAACATCACCATCACGGTCCCGCCGGGGACCGTCAACCATGGCGACCCGAGACTCATTTGCACGCCTCCCATCTGGACCGATTTTGTCATCTTTTACGCAACAAACTACTTTGTCCACGCCCTCACTCTCCCCAGCCGTCCCGGCGAATCCATCCTCGAGACTTGCTTCACCGTCCTGACAGCCCTCTTCCTACCCAGCACCGGCTCCCTGCGCGCCGCCCGCTGGCTGCTCTCTCACGCCGGCACGGTCAGGCGCGACGAGCTCAGCCGGGCCATCAGGGCCGGGGCGCTGTGCATGGTCGTCGACGAGACGGAGAGGTCCAAGGTCTCGTGGATAGAAACGTCCCTGAGGCGGATGAACTTTGAGAGGGCGCGAAGCTGGTAAGTGTTGAACAGAATCCGCTTTAGAATATTGAAGCATTTCAAATCAATACGCATTTGCTTGTGACTAACTTTGTTCATGCTGAAAGGTACGATATTCCCACCCCCCAATGGTATCGCTCTCGCTTTCGCGGCGCCGGTCGGTGGGTGCACTCTTCCCGGACCATCCACGGGACCTGCGTCCTACCCAAGGGCTTCATCTTGGTAGAGGTGCCCGTAGGCACGCCGCTGATGCCGCCGCCGGGCTCGGGGGCCGCCTACCTCGACCGCTCCAACATCCAGCTGGGCAGCACATACAACATCCCCAAGGCGTTGTTCGCCCTGGGCCAAGCCGCGTGGGGCGTGACGACCGTCTACCGCACGCAGGGCGACCAGCTCCAGCGGTATGGTTATGCTGCCTTTGGCGTGACTGTGGCGCCGTATGCGTTCATGTCTCTCGTCAATCTCATTGCGCTTCTTGTTACGCCAGAGTATAACTGCATTTACCTCGTACATACCCCCGATCTCGACAAGGCAAAGAGGTTGGGGGGCAGATTCTCCGGCATGGTTGCCAGCGTCGACCTCGACAGCATCAAGGAGCCCTTGCGGACCTTTTGGCCCTCTCAAGCGGCTCATGCGTCGTACTTTGCCGTCACGACGGTACTTCTCCTGATGCCGGCCATCCTCGTCGCAGGCGTGACTGGGTTCAGCCCCGGGCACAGCACCATCTACCAGCAAGTTTGGATTCTCAGCTGGCTCATCTTTGGTATCGTCATGGGTCCAGTCATTAGGATGCTCACTGTGTTTCCCTCCGAGATCCACGGCGTTTACAAGATTCGTGCCAACGACGCGATAGCGTATGCTCTTGATAGGGCGACGTTTATGCAGCGGGCGATAGACTGGTTGGTTGCAAAGTATTTTCGCATCATTGAGACGTCGTTCTATCTGTATGTCATTATTGGCGCGGCGATTTGCTTTACCCCTGCGATAGGGGGCATGGTTGTCGTCGGACAGATGTTGCAGGAGTTTGGTGTGTGTAGACGGCTCGATACGACAGGGCAGGGAGGTTTTTAGACTATTACTGCTGGAAGTAGTCCTTGTTGAAACAAATACAATGATCTGGGCCTTGAGGCCTACATATTAACGGTTGTTGAATTTGCTGACCCACTGTGATCTTTCGACCACCGTCGCCCACCATCAGATCTGGTGATGCAAACGATAAAAAATCAAAAACATACAACACCAGGTATTCGCTGATCGTCACCGACTCAACTACTAATCTGGCCCTCATCGGCTTGTCTATGGGAGAGCGGACGGGATCCCGAATTTTCCGATGGGTATGGTCGTATGTGCTTGTTCTCGAAGGTAAAGTCCATCATATCTATTGTGGGCTTGCTCCTCGTGCGTATAGCATTCATCCCATTGACGTAAACAACTCCTCTGCCGAAGACTCCTGCACTCATCAAAGTTTCTCGAGGTTTACAGCATAAGTTTCATACCCTTTGGGTCATTAGGCTAGGAGTTGGGATGCGATACGATAGGTTGGAACAGGAGAAGCGCACACCTAGTCATCTCTATTGGTACGTAAATGAAGAGAGGTATGCAACTGATTGCGACAAGAAAAGATTCTTCATGGTAAACGAAATGATCATTGTCAATGTTTAACGATGGCGACGGTCTCCCCTGACTTGTACGCAGTTACCAATGACATACTCATATAATCAATTTCAGTCCCCAATATGTCCCGATCTAGCTATGATGACCGTCTAGAGCGAGCCCTTTACACAAGTGCGCCCTCCAGGTGGAACGATAGAACTGGATTCTGTGATCAAAGTGAGAAATCTTTGAACCATCTGATTCACTGCGATCTTGTATGAAGAAAACCTCGGGATAAAGTTGAGATTTGGCCCTTCACAACGACTAGATTGTGCCACTGTCTAAATGTCGCTTTCCGAAGCCCGCACATGAAGCAGAAATCGGCTTTGACCTTTATTACTGTTTTACACGTAGCTCGACTCCTATTTCGTTTATAAAATGGTGCGTCTGTTCAAGGATAAACGTACAACGATGAGAAGAAGAGGTCAGTCGCGCAGGCAGGCTCCCGCGTGTGTGTAAACTACCAGTTTTCATATGACTGTATTACTCAAGAAGCACCGTGAGCAGGTTCAATACGTCTAGTTTTTGGGACCTCCAGAGAACCAATGAATATTATTGTGCTTGGTTTAGGTTGAGGTTTGGCTGCGGTCACATCGACTTCCAAAGGCAGTCACGGACATCCAAAATCTTCCCCATCTCCCAGCCTACTATCTTGCAGTCAAGTGCCTCGTCTTTCGATTTGAAGACACCACGGGCCGAGTAAATAATTGTCTAACGATGCTACAGGAATTCCACGCTACTTTCTAGGCCCACTGCACACCCATGCTTCCGACAACTCCCTCACCCCCTTGAAAATAAGCGTGGTTATGAGGAAGACTTTGATAGCCATACCCTCATGTCAGTCTTCAAAGTTATATCACTGTAGCTCAAAGTAACTCTGGGCTAGCAACTGAATGATCACCAGAAAGCTGGAGCCTCCACAACCTCTGCTCGGCGCAGATAAATACCGTGTCATCTGGCCCACGACAGAAGCTCATGACACCACCTATCAGAGAGGCCATGTTAGCATCCTTAGGAGCACATGAATCGAAAATCTCAGATCCAGAGCGGTCAAACTTGCCTGGAACTAGAATCGCGCCAAGTAATGAACCGCCATTACTCCAAATCTCGATGCCGTCGCTACAGGCCGTCCACACATTGCCATTCTCGCACATGAGGTGCATGGGAGCACCCCTCCTAGCCAGGGCAAACAGCCGCCTATTCGCCAAGAAGACGGAACCACTCCGCTTCACAATATCAAAAGCGTAGATACTCCGCGGTCTAGAATACTTAGTCACAGCTGAAGGGGAACAAGACGAGGAAACAAGGCAACAAGGAACTCACTCAGTCAAGTCAAGACTCCCATCAACACGCACACCCCCAGCATCCGCAACATACACCGTCTCAAACTCCTCGTCAATCGCGATCCCAGTCGGCCGCTTGAACCCATCCGCCATAGCTCTCACCTCCCCGGTCTTCGGCTCGCACCGATACACCTGCGGCGGCAGTTGAGGACGCGCCCTAAAGTCCTGCTCGTGCCCGCAGCACGGGTCCGTGAACCAGATGCCGTTGTCCAGCGGCGAGACGGCGGCACTGTGCGGCGAGTTGAAGTCGTGGCCGTAGTAGCCGGACGCCACGCGCTGCGGGTGCCTACCCGCCTGCATCATCAGCACGCCGCCCGTCTGCGAGGCCATGTTTCCTTGGGAACACCACACGGCGACATCGTCTCCGACTAAGCAGCCGCCCGCCGGCATGGGCATGGTTGGGGGTGGGCGCATCTTGGCCCATTTTACGGCGAGCGTGTCGTTGGTTTTGCTGGGCTCGACGTTGACTTTGGACATGAGGATTGTCGGGGGCCGCGTGGGGTCGGTTGCTGCGAGGGGGGCGGAGGTCGTCCATAGCTCTTTCCGGGAAGGGATGTAGACGCATCCGCGGTGGAAAAAGGCGTTGGCTGAGGCGTCTAGGGAGGAGAGGAGGAGGGCGTGAGTTGGGCTTGGGCCGATTATGGACGTAAGAGCGGGGTCGTATTGGATGATTGATATGCCCGCCTGCAAGATATCCCTTTAGAAGCTTAAAGAAGATTCCATCGGAATCTGGGGTTCTCACCTTGTTTGAGTTGGGACGTGATGCTGGCGTTGGAGTGAGACGATCGCCTTTCTACTCGACAGTTAGTATGTAGATCTGAGTGGGTAGTTGACTCTCATTACGAGCCGTAGATGATAGTCTCTTACCTCGACTGGAGTCGCCACGGACTTGATATTCTTCTCTTCAATGGTTGTCATGGTGAAGATGCTCTGTTTGCACACATATTATCTGGGTTGTTGTTTGTGGTGAGTTGGTTATCATTGACACTCCTTGGCTGAGCTAAATTACTAACCCCTACGGCCCCAGTTGAACCGGGAAGCACGTTTGCAGCAAACACCTGTAAACCCCCCCAATTCGCCTTCCCTCTCTTAGTCGTAATACTCCATTACTTTCAGTTGAGAGATAAACCGCAAAAGTCCGGATCAGTCCCCGCGTCTAATGATGGATCGGCCTGCCATGAGCTCCGGCACGGGGTATTGCCGTGACTGGGGCCGAAACGGGCTCGGGCGATGTGGGTAGGGTTTACTGGCGCCGTATCGGGCTTATACAACATGCTCCGGCGCCAACATCGGGTTTATGGCCATACGACTTACTAAGTCCGGTGATCGACACGCAGCGAGCTTCACCATAAAGCACGGTGTGATGATATAAAAGCAATTGTAGAGTCTATCGAAAGATTTCTGGTGCCAAGCATTTTGTATTTCAGTGCAGTCATCATGACCATCATTCTTGTCACTGGCGCGAACAGAGGAATTGGGTTTGGTATTGTCCAGGCGATCGCCGGTCGAGTTAGCAACTCCACCATCCTTGTCGGATGTCGCACTCATGAGTCTGGCGAAGAGGCCGTTCGCAAATGGAGAGACATTGGTATCAAAGAAGCTCTAGATGTACTCCCCTTTGACATCGAGGATGATGCAAGCGTTATAGCTGCTGCTACCATCGTTGAAGAGAAGTATGGCAAACTTGATGGTGAGTTACCACGTATCTTCTCATTGCGAACCCGGGTAGCTAATACTGGTAGTTCTGATCAACAATGCTGCCAGAGTCACTGTCGCAGAATCCCTTAACCTCGTCGATGTTCGGTCTGCGACCAACTCCGTGCTCGCAAACTGTGTCACTTCGAATCTCATCGTCACTCAAGGATTCCTCCCGCTTCTTCGCAAATCCGAATATCCCCGCGTCATCATGACCTCGAGTGCTCGAGGCAGCATGACAAGAACAGCAAATGGGGAGGTAAGTACACATCACTTTCCGCACTTTTCGGTAGCAGGTTTGTCTCACACAACACACAGCTTCCGCCAGCAGCCTCCATCAACTATTGCATGGCAAAAGCTGCGTTGAACATGCTGACCCTGCAGTTCCACCTGGCCGAAGAACGAAGGACATCTGATGACAAAGTCGTCTTCTGGGCAACTAGCCCCGGGCATTGCAAGACAGCTTTCAACGGGTTTCGCGGCACCAAAGAGCCGGTGGATGGAGCTGAAGTCTTTGTACGATTAGTAGAGTCAGAAAAGGGCGTCATTGCCTCGGGAACGTTTTGGGAGTTTGAAGACGGCGAGTTCAGATTGGTCCCCTGGTAACCCCTCCTATCAATTGGATCATCCGTCTTGCGTCCAGACCATTTGTTGCTGGATAAAGATCGTGAAAAAATTGCGTATTGATATCGATTTCCGAGTCACCCTCGCGGTACATGTCGTCGTCGCGTTTTGCTGGTTAGAAAATGTCTTCATTCCCATCAACCAAGCCCTCTATGAATACACTAGGTCGCAAGGAGACCATTGACTTCGCCCGGAATATCGCCCGTCTAGTGTTTCGCCTTCTCGTCCTTGTCCGCGCTGTCCAGGAACTTCCTGTTACGTCTCCTCGTCAGCAAATGGGGAAGGGATTCCTGTCCGTCCAGGGGGAAATGACGCACTTGATGAAGTCGGCCTCGTCGGAGCTGGATGCGTTGATGGGGGGAGTGGCAGTAGCCTTGGGCTTGCTGCCGCTGAGGCCGTAGGAAGCGCCGCCGAAGAGGGTCGCGAGGACGCCCATGGCCAGCTGCGCGGAACGAGAGGTTAGCCTTTGGATGATGCTCGGGGGCCGGGTTCGGGAGTTGCAGGGAGCAGCGGAGGCACGGAGGCGCGCTCGGGATAGCGACATACGTAGTGGGAGCCGATCTGACGGCCGGCGATAGTGTACATCTGAACCATTTTGGCGGTATTAGGGGGTTTGCAAGCCTTCGGGGGTGAATTGGTTCGATGGGGTGGAGGCAATTGGAGATGGATGAGATTCGTCGTGGATGTCGATACTCGGAGCTCGAAATTCGTTCGGAAGCTGGAGAATCAAATGCCTGGATTGTCAGGCCATCATGTTCGGCTCTAAGCCTCTGGCCAGTACCTTATCGGGAGAGCGGGGATTTCCAGCCACCAGCATGTACCTCCGTATCGCTGCTGCGCCACAGGCGGATAAGTTTATGCAAGTGAACTCAGTGGCTGAAGCTCCCCGATGCACCTTTCTTAACCAAGCAGCAGCCGACGTCACAACCGACATCAGAAGATTCATGCCGCGGGCGTTTCCGGCGCGCGCTGGCGCAGGGCGACTACACTACCCTTTAGGCTCCCCTCCCCCAGCACTGCCGCCATCCATGCACACATAAAGCTGTCAACCCCCCAGAAGCGAACTCGAGTGGTAATAGCTCAGATTCAGACGAAGTAATCCGTACATCAACACCAAAAGCATACAACATGTGGGGAAGAAGCCAGGACAAGACACCGGAACAACCGAAAGAGTCGCCAAAGGAAGATGGCGCCAAGACGTTCGACCCCAACAAGCTGCCGGCACGCGAGAAGCTGCCAGCGGCGCTGCAGAAGATAGTCGACAAGTCAGACAGAGAGGATAACTTCTTCGACGAGCTGGTGGACGGGTAGTGAGTGCCGACCGTTGCGACTGAACTAGAGTGCTGAGTTGACTTGCGACAGTGCGCCTGAGTCCACCGAATCCAACGTCCGTTATGCCGCCTACGTGACGCGCATCCGCACCATCATGATGTCCGCCCATCGATACGTCGCCTACACCTCTGATATTGGCGAATCCTTCCGGCCCGTCGCGCATCCCGGTCTCGTCCGCACCGCCTACGGAATCTCGTGGCTCTACATCCTCGGCGATGTCAGTTACGAGGGCTACAAGGCGTACTGGGCTAACCAGCGCGTCCTCAACCCGCACCTCCAGCTTACGGCACGGCAAGCAAAGATCACGGGACTGCCGGATGCCGTGTCAGATGCGACGCACCCCAGCGAAGTGGTTCCGGGTGGCAAGGTTGCGCCGCTGGACGACTACAGGACTGTCATGATCCAGCGAGGCATCTTCCAGAGCATTGCCAGTATGGGTCTCCCTGCTTTCACCATCCACAGCGTTGTGAGGTACTCTGGCCGAGCCCTCAAGAACGCAAAGAACCCGAAAATTAGAACCTGGGGCCCCATTGGTCTAGGTCTTGCCGTCGTACCCTTCCTGCCCAGCCTCTTCGACGAGCCGGTCGAGAACGCCGTGGAGTGGATCTTCCACAAGGGCTTCGAGTCGTACGGTGGCAAGGAGTTTGTTGGCAATGCACCAGCCACCGGTCGTGAAGACCTATTGGCGAAGAGACCAAAGGAAAAGGAATTGTAGGCGTGGCGTTTAGGATGATTTTGATCACAACTCAATCGGATTTGGCTCGGCGCATGAAGGAAATCTCCAATTCACGGAGTTTGGCACTGAAGGGAAGCGATTGGCACGGCCTTTGATTTGGCGGCGTGTGGTGTGTAATTGAGGGTATATACGGAAAATGCCACTATGAACATATTCATCAAGTCATCATCATTCGCTAAACCTCCATGAGATCAGGCGGCGGCCCAACACCGCGGAGCAATACGACAGTGTTGCCGCTGACAAGCGAAGCTCCAACCTTTTCGTTGAATTCTAGAAGTCGCCCTCCCTCCACGTGAAACACCCGTAGCTTATCTTGCTCATTCGATGATCGGTTGTTGAGGTTCTCCACCTGTAATCGTTTCGCAGCTTCGTCCAGTACCCTGCCCACCACCCAGTCTTTGGAGAAGAAGAATTCGCCCTTGGGGAACTTTGCTTTTGCGGTTGCGGCTTCTGCTTCAACGTATAGGTAGACTCTCTTCTCTTGCGCCAGCTTATCGTCGCCCTTTGCCGTCTTCTTGAGGTTGTTCACAGCGATCAGGCGCGCAGATGCGGATGTAGGTTTCGGTTTGGGTAGTGCTCTGCCAGCTTGTTCCTTCTTTGCAGATCCCCATGCCTTTAACTTGTCGAATGCGCTCTTCGTCCGCGCCGCGACGTCGATTTGTGATCCTGGCCGCGCGCCGAGCGGAACAAGGTTCTTGCAATCGTGGTCCTCTTTCAGGCGGTGCTTGAGACAGTAGTCGCGATTGCAGCCCGGGCAGTGGACGCCGGTCACGAGCGAGGTGCCGATGGTGGTCTTGCAGGTCGGTGATGCACAGGGCTTCTGGGTGACGGTGTCGCGCAGTTGGCGGCCTTGGCCGTAGGAGGGTTTCGCGAGCTCCGCCTTTCGCCGGCGTTCGGCCCAGGCGCCGGCGTTGGCGCACTTGTGTGTGGTTTCGGATCGGTGGTCGAGGCAAAATGTGTGTTTGCAGCTCTGGCAGAAGAAGGGGAGGAAGTCGAGCTGGTTGCAGTACTCGTATTCGCAGTGTTTGCCGACGAGGGTCTCGTCGAAGCCGTCTTTGGATTCGTCCATCTTGACGTAGCTCGTCTCTTCGGGGGTGGATGAGGATGCCATTGCGATGACGTGTTTGTCGTCTCCGTCTGTTTATCTATAATACTGAACAGTCTTCGGAGATTTGTTGAGCTTGCGTAGACCTCAAGGTGGGCGCAGTGGGTGGCACGAGGCTGAGAGTGGCAGTATCGGAGATGGCGATGTCGGGTTGATGAGAAATAGCGGCGGAAGGGTCTGGAAGGCGCCAGTTGGCGGGTTTCGCTCAGTTAAGTTGACTCAGTCCACGGGTCGCTGTCAGCGGGGCAACCGCTGAGAGTTGGCGCCAAGTACAGCGTGTGCGTGGCCATTGGCAGCCTGAAAGGGTAAGATCCATAATGGGCCATGGCTCACTAACCAAAGTCGCAACTTTACCATGATGTGAGCTAATTTGACATACCGAATCACAAAGTCAATGAAGCTTCCGCAATGTGCCGAGGGAAGTCAAATGTCTCTGTGGATATTGGTCATCCAAACTGCTCTCCTTGAGAGACATGGAAATAACGGCGAAGAGCCGGAGCTAATGGAGGGGCGACCCAGGCGATCCCCGGATGTGACCCAGTATTTAATCGGATCCGATCTAGCGGGTCTCCGGACCCCTAAAGTGGGTCGCGTACCTGCGCGTTTCTCGCGAATCAATGACGTTGTTAACGGTCCTGTCGCATCTCCCCTGCAAAGCTTCTCAGAGCTTGCGCTTCTGAACTACCGCCATGTTTCTTTCCTGACACCAACGCGACATAATGCCTCCTCATGTACCGCGGAAGCGGTTGCGCGAGGAGTCGCCGGTCAAGCAGACCCCCAAACGCCAACAGGTAGCGAAAGGGCAAGGAAAGACTCCCGCCAGCTCCGGCCGCAGAAAGCCGACGTTGTACGACGATTTGGATGCTACCACCACGTCTGAGTCATCCAAGGTCGGCCGCGCTGCGCTTGATACCATCAGCGACAGTGACGAGACCAGTTCCTTGAGCGATTTATCCGACGGTGATTTTGAGGATGTGCCTCTTGCAAACGGTCGCAAGACGGAGGAAGCTTCCGAAGATGACGATAACGACGACATCGAGTTTGAGGATGTTCCTGCGCCGAGAACTACTTTGGCAGTGGCACCGACTACTTCCAAAGACTTGCAACTCACACTTGATGCCGGGCTCGGTACCGCTATGACTGATCCCTACGGCGACAAGAAGGGACCTACGAAGCGTGAGAAGAAGGTTCGCAATGTAACGCACTGCATTCACGTTCAGTACCTTCTTTGGCACAACGCCATTAGGAACTCATGGATATCCGACCAGGAAGTCCAGGCGATCATGATGTCTCATGTGCCCCCTCGTTTGTGGGAAGAAGTAGAGCGATGGAGAAGGACCAGCGGCTTAGACACCGAGCCAAAGCAAATACCGACGAAAGTGGCCAAACCAGCGAAGAAGACCAGAGGAAAGGGCAAAGGAAAGAAGACCGAAAACGAGGACTCTCGGGATTGGGGCGCTGCCGCTGAAAGGCTGGAGGCAGGTGCTGTCGACATGAGCCACGGCGATCCACTCTTCAGACTTATGAGGGCTCTCGCGGCGTGGTGGAGGCAACGCTTCCGCGTCACGGCACCCGGGATTCGAAAGTGGGGATACATGCCGCCTGAACGACTTGGCCGGTTGCGAAAAGCCTGGGAGAAGGAAGGGAAAGACGAGGAAAAGTACGGAGAGCGGATTAATGGACTTGAAGGGTTTCGCAAATGCGCTCAGGACTGCACAGGAAGCCGAGATGTGGGATCGCAACTATTCACCGCGCTTATGAGGGCTTTGGGGTTGCATGCACGGATGGTCGCGAATCTCCAGCCAGTTGGTTTCGGCTGGACGAAGCTGGAGGAGGCAGATCCTGAGACGGAACAGACTGCAACTTCGGCACCAAAAAGCAGTGACGAAGCAAGCGAGGCGGGAGATGGCACACGCGGTAAGGCGAAAAGGGGGCCGAAGACGACTACTACAACTAAGAATACCCCGGTGAAGAAGACATCAAAGCAGGCACCAAAAACAGCGTCAGGACGAAAAACTGGCACGAGACAAGCCAGCAATAAGAGCGCCGTCATTGAGATAGATGACTCGGATGATGAGCTTGGCTTGGAGCATCCGGACAGCGATGATGCTTCGGTCATAGAATTAGCAGTGACCCCACGAAAGTCAAAAGCGGTGTCTAAGAAGTTTGACAAGGACCTGGAGTTTCCACATTATTGGACGGAAGTGCTTTCGCCGGTCACGAAGAAATATCTGCCGGCAGATCCAATCGTCAAGAACATTGTCGGTACGAATCGAGAATTGGTAGAGTCTCTGGAGCCGCGTGGAGCAAAGGCAGAAAAAGCGAAACAAGTCATGGCATATGTTGTTGGATTCTCTCCGGATGGCACAGCTAAGGACGTAACGGTTCGCTATTTACGAAAGCAACTGTGGCCAGGTCGTACAAAAGGGGCGAGGATGCCACTGGAAAAGGTACCGATCTACAACAGACACGGGAAGGTAAAACGATACGACCAATTCGACTGGTTCAAGTCAGCCATGAAGGGCTATGTCAAGGGCAGTCGAAAGCACCCACTCACCGAGGAGGACGACCTTGAGGATTCGACAGACCTCAAACCCGCCCAACCAGAGAAGAAAGAGGTCAAGGAAGGTAGCGAAACTATGGCGTACTACAAGCAGTCTAAAGAGTTCTGTCTCGAGCGTCACATGAAGCGCGAGGAGGCCCTGCTACCTACAGCAAAGCCTGTCAAGACTTTCCTCCACAAAGGAAAGGGCGGAGAATTCTCTCCAGAACCAGTCTACTCGAGGAAGGACGTGGTCTACGTCAAGAGCGCAGAGACATGGCACAAGCAAGGCAGGGCACCCAAACCTGGCGAGATGCCCCTGAAGAAGGTACCATATCGTGCGGCTACGACCAACAGGAGACGAGAGATCGCCGAGGCCGAGGCTGCCAGCGGCGAAAAGGTTCTTCAAGGGTTGTACAGCTTTGAGCAGACGGATTGGATTATTCCGCCGCCTATCAAAGATGGAGTCATCCCGAAGAACAATTATGGGTATGTCTGCGTGCTTGTTAACCGACATCAAATGCTAACACCTCCCAGTAACATCGATCTCTTTGCCGAGCACATGTGCCCCGAAGGCGCCGCACACGTCCCGTTCCGAGGAGCCGTCAAGGTCTGCAAGAGGCTCGGGATCGACTATGCCGAAGCCGTTGTGGACTTTGAGTTTGGCAATCGAATGGCCGTCCCAGTCATCCAAGGGGTTGTCATAGCCGAGGAGTATCACGACCAAGTTATGGAAGAGATCCGCAAGGACGAGGCAGAGAGAGCGCGGAAGGAGGACGAAAAGCGACGCAAAGCAGCGCTGAGCATGTGGAGCAAATTCTTGAAGGGCCTCAGGATCGTCGAGCGCATTCGCCAGGACTACGGCCATGTCGACGATAGTGTGCCAGTGTTCCAGAAACACGGGGCAACCAAGGCTACCAAAATCGCTCACGCCGAAGAAGAAGAAGACGACAAGAATCAGATGGACGCGGAAGCGATGCAGATGAGAGAAGAAGAGATGGCAGGCGGGTTCTTTCCCGAAGGGCACGACGAGGAAGAGGTTGAACAACCCAAGAGATTCACCTCTGGCTTCTTCCCAGTGGTGGATGAGAACGACGAAGATGAAGACATGGATGACGCCCTGCAAGTGGATCACGGCCACGTTGAGAAGGAGCATGCTGTCAACCGCTCGGATGGCGCGGAAGACGCGGAAGATGCAGAGGATCAGATGGAAGCTTCACCCGAACCCGAGCCTCTGCCTGCACCAGTGAAAGCCAAACCGAAGCCCAAGAAGAAGGCAGTGGCGAGACGATCATCTAGGCGCCGGCGGAGGCCCATATCTGAGAGCGAGGACGAGGAAGAGGACGACGATGACGACTTCGTGGCCTCGGACGATGATTACGAGTAGTGCATCAGCATCTAGGCTCGAAGGAGATCATGCAAGACGGGAAACCGCCTGAGGATTTTCATCACTGTGCGTCGGGATTTGAGAGTCGTGGACAAAACTGGGCAGCTGGCAGGCGGCTGTAGTACAATAGGTGTGCCACCATCCTTATTCGTCGCAAGATGCATAGATGGGGGCATTATTAGCTATAGCCACCAATGGAGGACTATTCCTTCTTCAGCTCGTATGCCGAGATGCGCTGGCCCGACTGAAAGGGTTTGATTCTGCGACTCTGCTAGTGTATGTACGGGTCGATTCGAGAGCACCTGATCATCCTCAGAAGTGGACATTGTATCCAATAGAAGAGAGGGTGTCAGCGTGTGAATTACCTATCTACTTTCTTACACAGCCTGATACTTGGAGTCGCAAGAGAAACCGATGATAGCCTTTGTTTGATAGAAGATACCATAGCATGAATGTGAAACCTTCCGCATCCCAAGAAGCGTATGGCCATTGGCCATCGTCGTCTGTTCGTCTGTCTACTCAAAGTACTCATTAATACGAGCGGTCGCCATGTCAGTGACAGTAAGTGAGACAAGAGGCACCCAATGACACCTTCGGCATGGGAATGCGCACCCGTTCGAGCCACCTCCCAGGGACCTCCCCTGCTGAAGATTTGCGCTAACGAGAGGCCGGGGGTGATGTCCAACTTCCCGGGGCCATCTGACGATCCACCGATCGGTTTAAGTCAGGTCCAGATGATTCTCCCAACGTCACCTCATGCTCCCCTTTCACCTTTGACCGACGATGCGGATCGCAACTTCGTGGGCGCCAAGTTGCGTGTCACCGTTTTTTCGAAGCCTTATAGCTCAGCGACAGGGCTAAAACGGAAAAACTCTAGAAAATACCAGTAGGTGAGGTGAGACAGGCAGCGAAAGAAGCGCGGCAAGGCGAAGCGCACCGGGAGCGAGGGGTAAAATCGTCCGGTCAGACGGGGTCAGGCGATTCCCAGGCTGTCGAACGACGGTGAGGATTTTTTTTTCTCATGTAGGCAGATGAGAAGGTGAAGGCCGTTTGGAAGGCTGCGAGGCTCCAGGTTACTCTTTCCTTCAGTATTGGGGCATCCTAGTGGTGAAGTTTGTTTATTTATTTTCATAAGCCACATGCACACAGGTGTTTGGCGATCCGCCTCCGGAGGGCAAAAACAGAAGAGAGGTCAAATAAAAGAGAGGAGTAAGCAAAAGGAACAAGGGAAAAAAAATCATCTTTGGAACCAAAAGGGTCCTCGGGAAGGCGCAAGGCACGACGGTTCTGGTCTTGCCCGTACCTGCCTATCGTCAAGGACGTCGAGGACGGCATCTCACCACCCACCTCGACCCGCTACCGCCTCTCTCTCCCTCTCTCTCTCTCTCTCATCTTCAACCCTCCAGTCTTTTGACCCTTCCACCTCCCACTTCCCACTTCCCGTCTGATTGCTCGGCGCAATCCCATATCTCACCACCTCACCTCCTACGGCGAATATCGATTTTCTTCCGAACATCACGCGCTTCCAGAGTCTCGGTCAGACCGTCAACATTAGATCACTCACACCTCCTTCGTTTCGCATCAAGGAGGCAAATCCAAGACGAAAAGGTCCGCAGTGGCATCTCCTTCCCGCAGGTAAGTATGCAGCACTTTGTTGTCATTTTTCTCCTCCTTCTCATTTCGAGGCTTGGTGGCGCTTCCGTTTTGTGCTATTTTTCGCGAATAGCCTCTTTGGTTGCTCATTTACCCTGAACCTTCCTTCCTACCTACGTGTCCAATCCTTCCCATACACTCCTGGGGACTCTTCACATTCACAAGCTTTATGGGCGGGCGCACAGAGAAATTTCGCAGGCGAGGTGTGAGTGGCTCCCGATATTCAATGCAAGTGTGTTGAGCTCATGTCTCGTTTCCTTCTATTACCCTTCATGCGCCTCCATCGGCGAGCTCACGTTTACCCACAAGATTCCTGTTCATTCGGTTGTGTTGTACTCATTGCTCTACGATGAGCCTGCTGGGCTGGTTTTTGGTCCAATTTCAACGCTGCTTCTCTAGCTTGCCTATCATGTTTGCCTTGCTGAGCAAATGGTATCAAAGTAAAAAGATTGCTGACCATGAAAAGCATAGTCGACTTCGAAGAGTCCAGGCACATCAACCAATCGCTCGAGCCTCAAACGACATTGTTGCCCGAAGGAACTCTAGATTTCTGCCAAGGGTCGCGCAGCACGTCAAAACTGTTCTCGCTCATGGACTTGTGATACATCACCGGTTGAAAGAGCCTCCTAGCGCAGCAATGGAGCAAGTCAACCACGACAAGGACGCCTGTGCGGCTACAGTTCTCAGCGTCTTCCCAGACATATGCCTTCAGTACCTGGAGGAGACAGCCGCCAAGGTCAACCATAACGCCGACCAAACCATCGATACCATTTTGGGTTCCACTGAGAAAAGCGGATCGTACCCCAAAGCATCCCGCCGCCAGAAAAGTCTTAAGCGGAAGCGTGAAGGATCGGCTGAAGAAGATGATGATGATGATGAGAAGGAGAAGGAAAACCTCCTCCGCCTCTATGCTTACCCTGGCCGAGAGCGGGAAAGGGGAAAGCAGTACATCTCCAGGTCGTAAGTCTAGTTCATTCCTTTCGTTAGCCCAGCTTCCACGGTTAAGGCCATCAAAATTGGCCACTACCTTGTTGCTATATGCTCATTACATAGATGAGACTGACACTGGACGTAGGGAGGAGATTTTGAAGCATGAATTCCCTCATGTTATTCAGAAGTGCGTCATGAAGATCTTTTACGACAATGCCTGCAAACTACTGCCTACGTACCTTGCCGTGGATAAAGCTGTTGAGGATCTGAAGAACGGTGTTCAAGAAGGTCTCCCTTACGGCTTTGCACTCAAGAAGAGACCAACCCCACCATCGGATCGTATATTCGAGGGTACGAAAATGCATGAACTTCTCGAAAGGGCGACTCACGACGACAAGAGAGTTTTGGAAGAACTGGTGGCCGCCCGTCAAGTGCTGATGGTTACCCGTAACAGGCTGGAAGCAGCTAGATTCGAGGCTGCCAGAGAAGCTGCCAACTTTGAGGAAGCAAAAGTGACTGGCAGTTTTACGGACTGTGGCTGCTGTTATAGCGAGTTCGCTCTCAATCGCATGGTCCGTTGCGAGAATGACAACCATGTAAGCTTATGACACTCCATTCTTTCAGACCTTTGCTAACCCTTCCAAGTACTTCTGTCTCGAATGCGCACGCCGCAACGCTGAAACAGTGGTTGGCCTCTCAAAGTATGAGATTACCTGCATGTCCATAGATGGATGCGATTCTGGTTTCACTCACAATGAACGCTCCAAGTTCATCAATAACCAACTTAGTCAAGCCCTAGATCGCATCGAATCCGAGGCTAATCTCCGCATGGCTGGCATTGACGGCCTGGAGACCTGTCCTTTCTGCCCTTATGCCGCCGAGTATCCACCGGTCGATATCAACAAGGAGTTCAAGTGCGAGAATCCCGACTGCCAGGTGGTCAGCTGCCGGCTTTGCAGAGAAGAGACCCATATACCCAGAACATGTGATGAAGCTGCTGGGGACAGCGCAGAAGGTGCTCGGCGTCAAATTGAGGAGGCTATGTCCAGTGCGCTCATCCGCAAGTGCAACAAGTGTGAGTATCCTTGCTTCTTTGGCGACTGAACCAAGACAATTGATTAGATTGCACATGATACTGACGTCTAACCCAGGTGGCATGGCGTTTGTCAAAGAATCAGGGTGCAACAAGATGACCTGTACAAAGCGTGGATGTAGGAACGTCCAGTGTTACGTTTGTTCCAAGTCATGCGACTATGCCCACTTTGACGACCAGGCAAGAGGTGGACAGAAGGGCAATTGTCCCCTCTTTGACGATGTCAATACACGCCACAATGAGGAAGTGCAACAGGCCGAGGCAAAAGCCCGTCAAGATATTCTCGAGCGACACCCCTCGATGAAGGCAAAGGAAGACCTTCTCAAAGTCAACTCGGGAGAACTGGCATCGGCGGTCTCCAAGAACCCCCCAGCAGTGCGAGCTGCCTACGGACAACAGCTTCCACCGCAAAATCCTCAGGCCCAGATTGTCCCACCCGGGATGAATCCAGTCGTTGGCATGCCCCTCGCCAACGCGGTCAGGCCTTTTCAACCTCAGCCGATGATGCCACAGCCACAGGCTCATGCGATAGTTCCGCCGGTTCCGCCGGCAAATATTGCTGCTGGAGTCGCGAATCTGCAGTTGCAAAGGGGTCCGGTACAGGCTCAATACCCTCAGGGCCATAATCCCAACCTGATGCTCAATCGGCAGCACCGCCCAATCATTGGACCCGCTTTCCCAAATGCGCAACATCCCAGATTTCCCTACTTGCAACCAATCCCAGTACCACCGCCGCCGGCGGGTCAACAGGGTCGGCCAGCGGTGTTCCACAATCCTAACCCGCCTCGCGTGCTTTACCAGCCCGCAGCCCAAGCAGTGCCGATGATTGCGCCTCAGCCGCCGATGATCGCTCCTCAGCCTGCGAAGCAAGTAGTGCCAGCCATCGCGCCACCCGGCCAGGCCAGACTCAATGATCCTAACTACTTGGGTTTCGAAGAGGAATGGGGTCCAGAGTACGGAGAGCCTAGAGAGTTGAAGAGGCAGAAGTTTTGCGATAAGAACGCCCAGCCGCTTCCCGACATCTTGGCGAGACCGAACATTGATAAGAAAGCCGGGGAGCAACAGGCACCGCAACAAGCCGAGCAACCGCCTCAGCTGGAACGCGAAGCCATGCGGCAGAGCCTGGTCGTTCTCCGAGGTCAACCTTACCGTGAAGAGCCCGTGCAGCAGGCCGGGGCCAATTTGATTGCAGCTCGAATCGCAGCCGGCCCCAATCACGGACTTGCAGAACTTGTGGCCAGCGTAGCGAATCGAGATAATCAGCATCCGGCACCCGTGAGTGAAGCCGCCCAACGGGCTATAGACGCAGGTCGCGAATTTCAACGACAGATGTCTATTCACCGTGCTTTTTACCGTGGCGGGGCGAATCTTCCCGGAGGAAGCAGAGAACATCCTATCAAGATGGACTGATTGCCGTCTTCCGGGGTTCTTCCTATTTCCGCTCTTACACATTTTTCTTTACAGGACGATGAAGCGATGAGAAGCCAGCATTGTTGGGTGGTCGTTACCACATCACAGGAAGGAGGAAGCGTGGTCTTGTTTGGTTCGTGGAAGGCAGGATACGAGTTTGTTATCTTGCGTTTTCCTTTTCTTAATACTTTCTTTACTTTTCAGGTGGTTTTCATCAGGGTGATTACCGGATGACATTTGAGCACGGCGTTGGAGGGCATCTCCATCTCATTACCCTAGCATTCATCGAGGACTCATGGTGGAGGGAGAGGGGGGGAAGCGAGTGCCATGCCAGCATGGTATACATCATTTAAGATACCATCAATAAAAGTGGTTTTTTTGTGAAGCAGATACATGGCATGTGAAACGTGGGTGTGTGAACTACGGAGCATCTCACGCTCCAGGTACTTAAAAAGCAGAGAGTTCTCCATATCTTGTGTGAATCGCAAAGAATTGATTAGTGAGATGTATGATGTGCGCGTGTAAGTGTAAGTGTGTGTATGTCCAGGATTTTCACCGCCCCCGGCCAAACTTCTCGTGCCATTTTCCCTTGCTCCCAGTGTTTTTGAGATTTGATATCGTCTGCGGCTCAGTCTGGGCGACGAGCTCGATGGTTTCGTGGATGGTGGCGATGGCGGCTAGGCCAGCGACGGGGATCTCGTCCGAGGAGTCTGGTGAGGGTGTGGCGGAGTGAGGGGCGAGGAGGATGAGAGAGTTTGAAGTGTTTTTCTGGAGAAGTTTGTAGGTTTTGTCTGGGGTTTTGAGGAGGGCTGTTGTTGGGGTTGAGGTGAGGGTTATGCTGTTGTGTGTTAGTGAGTGATATGTGACTGAGTGACTGAGATAGCCAGTAAATGAGTGATGAGTGAGTGAGAGAGGTGACGTGGATTATAGATTAGGGGATGGATAAGAGGGAATGGCTATACGGTGAAGGCGAGTGAGACCTGGAGAAGGAGAGTGTGGTTCAAGTAAGGTGAGGTGAAGTGAGATGTCGTGATTGAGGCTCAGAGTGGACTGAGGCACGGCCGGGGGGTTGACTTACACCGGAGCATCTTCGGCAGTGAGCAGGGCCTCTAGGTCGGGGGGCAGCTCCATGAGCTTGTAGCCTCTGGCGTCTGGGGCATGGGTCAAGGGGATACCGGGGTCTTGGGTAGACATGTTTTTGAGTATCGAGATATGGTGCTTGACTCGGAGGTATCGTCTTTGATCTATGGGAAATACGACGTTGTTGATGGAGTGAGATGTAATAGCCCGGTGAAACTTTGATAGGGAATGTGAGGTCGAATCAGCAGTCGCGTAATCGGTGCGGGGTGGGAAAAGAGACGTCTTTTGGAGATTTTGGGACGGAGGGCCGATTAGATTGGACGGAATGCGATGGGATTCATGGGAGGAAGGAGGAGGGGTTCGCGGGGAGCTCCTGTCATTGGCTGCATCGACTCTGGCAGGGGATCTGGTGGGGCTCAGAGATCGAAAGATGCATGATTGGGCAGAATCGAATATCCGAGCTTTTTCGATACCTACGTGTACGTACCGTGGGCCCGAGTGCCTTGTTTTAGTGCGGCTGTTGCTGGTCCGGCAAGGTTACGGGTGGGGAACCTGAGTGCACCTTTTGACAGCTCTGAGTGGACGCGTTTTGGGCGATGGGCGGGGCGCGTTGGATCTGTTTATGTTGACGTTTCGAGACCACTTTTTTTTCTGGTGGAAAGCGAGAGAGGGGAGGAGCGATGCGATGCTGAAAGTCCGAACCTGCCTGCACCTGCATCTTGCTGTTTGTGAGCATCCAGTCACAGAAGCAATGGACGAAAAATTCTCTATCACGGACTTGCGGTAAGATGCATTTTTGGTACATTCGAGATGTAGACAGGATCAGGGAGAAGGTATCTTAATTAAAGTCAGCCAATAGATCCAAGGCGGTCGGCATAGCACGCGACTCCCAGTCAATAGTGGGTGTTTATTCCGTCGTCTAGGACTCTTTTCTTTTTTGACTTTTTAGTCCGGATAGTATATGGTTTGTTGATGTACTGTTGTTGTCCATAGAGATCTTGAAATTATCAGTGTGTTCTCTTATCAACAAGGTAAAGAGTCTAGCCCGAGTCCAGGACTGAGGCGTTCGTCGCTTAATTCCCTCCCCTTGTCTGGCGTTTTCGTCATCCTCCCTCTCCCGCTCTCTCGCCCCCCGTCACATCTCTAACCCTCTTTGTTCTCGTCCACTTACTTGCATTTGCATGGGAGTGTCGGTGAAGAGGCACAGAGGGAAGCCAGCCCAAGAAAATCCTAGTCAGGAAGAAAAAAAAAGGACACAACCACTAGGAAGCTGACGGAGGACAAGAGGCTGGTTTCCTGGTTTCACTGCTTCTTTGGCCTGCTTCAGAAGTTGAGGATCAACAAAGGGTTCAACAAAGTTGCTTGAGAGGGCAGGCAGACTGAGCCAGGATCTCATTGTTGCGGTACTGCTGTTTAATCATTGATGGGGCCATCTTCCTGACCCCGACCAGGACCCCTCTGCCTTACGGTATTACACTCCATCAACCTTGGATTGGGCTTCACCTCTCTTGCTTGCAGCTCCATCGCAATCACAACAAACAACAACACACACAGCATACAGCGCCCCACGGACCACAGACCGCCCAGCCCAGCCCGGTGCATCCAGGCCTTGACCTCCAAACTACGGGATACACTGCTACCTTACCTTACCTTACCTTACTTTACATTGCCTACCTTACCTATCTGACGGATACCCACCGCTGCTGTCGCTGTCGCTGTATACCTGGGCTCTGTTGCTGCTGCCGTTGCTGAGGTCCCCCGTTGCTGCCCGCTGCTTTCTCCAAGTCCCAAGGTCAACCAAACCCACGGACTCGACTCGACCCCGGCTGCGCTCAACGCCAGCCAACTCACACCGACACCGACACCACCACCACCACCACTCCCACCACACGATAATTATCGCTGCGCTTGCAATCTTCATCTGTCCAACTTTGGTCGCGCTAGCCAACCTGGCAATTTGCCAACTTTTTTCCTCACGCTCTTTTGCCCCCTGATTCTTTTTTTTCTTCCCTTTGCCGGCACGTCGAAAGCCTTATTTCCATTTTGTCGACAGTCGCATCGCGAATGCCCGTTGCTACCCTTGGCCTTCAGTCATCGACTCAGCCGCCACTCGACTCGGCTCGACCACCACCACCACCTTGCGCCTGACGCGGTCGACACACACACCATACGCACACACACCACAGCATACCGAACCCGATACACTCGTTTGCCGACTTCCTACACCCCTGACGGCTCTTTACTTTCCTTTGCTTTGCGTGTTTCGGTCAGCGCCCAGTCAGCAATGACCTTGGCCCATTAAACGAGCCCACGCGACCGACCGACCGATCGACCGTATCGCCAGCCCCGACAATGGTTCGTGTCACCGAGGAGCTGGCTCTGTCCGCAGAGCAGCTCACTCTATACCATGCCTCCGACCCCCTCCTCGGACACCTGCCTGTCCTCATCTTCCACGGCGCCTCTACTACTGCCAACTACACCCTCAACAGCTCCCGCGTTCAGATCCACGTCTACAGCCCCGCCGGCTATCAGTCGTTCCCGCGCCTGACCATCCAACCCAACTCGCCCTTCTACGCCGTCGTCAACCACCTGCCGCGCGAATGGCAGGGCGACGAGATCTACCGAGGCCTCGCCTTTGGCCTCTACAAGTACTTCCAGGAGCTGCCCGAGGTCGTCAAGAACCACCTCAAGAACACATACCCGACCACGAGGGGGCGCCGCCCGGGGAGTGGGCCGGCCCTCTTTGGCGAGCAGCACGCCGCTGACCTCGCCAAGAACATGATCAAGAGCGAAAACACCGTCGAAGTTCTCGAGACGTTACAGACGGCCCTGCAGACCCAACACCTAAGCAACGTGGACGTCGATTTTGTCCTGCCTCCCGGCTCCATTGTGCCGCTGCAACCCGAAGATCTCGACGACGCGCCCGAGGATGACGACGAGTTCCTGGACCCGACTCTACGGCAATATGGAGGGTACACATCACTGGTGAAGCTTCTCGGCGAGCCTCTCTTCCTGCCCACCTCCAGATTACGGCGGGCGCCTTCTAAGCCGACATCGCTGAATCGCAGCAAGTCCTTCTCCAAGGATCAAAAGGTGGATCTGAGAATGAAGCTCGGGGAGCTGGTCGACACTGAGGAGAGATACGTGCTGAAGCTGAATGAGCTGGTGAAGCACATCGCCGACGACTTTAGACAATCTGCGAAACAGCGTGACCCGAGCAGTTTGAGCCCTTCCGAAGAAGAGCTCGAGAAGCTTTTCCCCCGGTCGGCGGATAGGATATTACAGGTCAACTCCGCCTTCATGGAGGAGCTGCGCAAGATTATGGACGACACGGAGGAGGAGGCCGTCAGGGATATGGAGGTGACAACGGTTGCACTGACGGGATCCAGGCTGGGGTCGCCATCCAAGATGAAGGATCCCACAGGCGCACTGGCGATCGCGAGGGTATTCCTTGAGTGGTTCCCGAAGTTCACAGACTGCTACCAGGAGTACATTCGCGCCAGCCAGCACTTTCCCACGCTCCTCAACTCGTTCCTGGACCAACAGTCGAGCTTCCGCCAACGGGTTCTGCAGACAGGCGAGCAGACCGTTCGCTCGATTCTCATCGAACCTGTTCAACGTCTTCCCCGATACAGTCTGCTCATCGACCAGATTGTGAGCTGTCTTCCCATGACACATCCGGCGCTGCAATCGATGCTCAAAGCCCGCGACATCATCACAAATATCTGCTCCATGGATGAGCCTATCCCAGATAAGCCGCAAGTGACGAACCGCCTGCGCAACATGGTTGAGAGTTGGCCCCTTGACCTCGAGCCCCAAGGAAGACTCATCCTTGCAGCCGACTTTGTGGAGCTCCCGGCACCCTACCGTGTGCTTGATCCGCCGGAGGCGGCGGAGCGCGCCGGTATTTTCGTCTTGTTTTCAGATTGCCTGGTCATTTTGAAGAAATTAGGGCCGAAGCCCATGTCTGGCAAGGACCTGTTGCGCGAAATTGACAAGCCTTCAGCAGCGGGTCTTCTCTTGTCCATGACGAATGCCGCCGGTGGCCAGCCATCTTACGAGCTTGCATTCACAGGCTGGCATAATTTGGCAGACGTGCGCTTCACAGAGTCGACAGACGGCAAGCTTATTTGGATGGCTTCAACCCAGGAGATGAAGGGAGCGCATGCAGGAGAGTGGGTGACGGGCACCGCTGTCACGTCGCGGTGCTTCTTGCTGGAGGAGACCTTTACGAGAGCGTCAAAGTGGACGGAAGACATTGTAAAGGCCCGTGTGGAGGGTCGGTTCTCGGAAAAGGAGCGCGAGGACCCTTCGTGGACCCTGCGTTCTATCAAAATGTCGGATAACAACCTCGGTTTCTTCGCTGCCGTCTTCCAGGAAGGTGCTGACCAGCTCATTGATGGCCGGAGGGAGCCTGCGCCAATTCGCATTGTCATCGACCACGAAAAGGGCACCAAGGGTGCGCCGATTGGACATTACGGCGTTGAGATCACGGTCAACGTCAACAGCGGCGACCTGAAGAAGGTCAAGATGGTGACAGCTGGCTTGAACGGCAAACAGTTCACAGACGATGTAGCGCTGGACGACTTCTTGCCGACGCTCACACGACGAAGTAAGATTGTGCATATCTGCTATATTGAAGTAAAATGCTAACGTTGAGCACAGTCATCCAATTGCTGGGCACGCAGTTCAGTGTGTCAAATATGCGACTGGCACCCGCGTTGGTATCATACTACACCAAGATTCTTAAAGGCCTGCCGCTCATGACGAGGGCAGAGAAGACGAGGTCGTTCCTTGCTTCTTCCCCAGTGAAGGGACTCTTCTCCAGCATCTGGGGTGGCTCAACCAACACTGAAGCACATAGCCCGCCTAAGCACAGCAGAACACCCGTGACGAATGTGTTTCCTCCACCAATTTCACGAGCAAATAGCGAAGCAGGGTCCATCTACGGCTCGGCCAGGGGCAAAGACGGGATCAAAATGGGCGGCGACGACCGCCCCGAGAACCCCCTCGTAAGACTCGAGCAGACCTTTACAGGATACGTCGCCAGTCTCCAGGCCCGCAAAGGTAGTATCATCGGGCGGATGCTGCTGAACCGATCCCTTGCCGACGAACTCTTGGTTAATGATCTCTACAACCGGCTGATTGAGAGTCCGTTTGATCTCGACGCCTCGTCCGAGTGTAGCGCAGATGTCATCTTTGTTGCCTTTGAGAAGTTTATTCGCATCGCTTGGGGCGAGCAGATGGGGCCAATTATGACGAAGCAGACCCTGGATACGTTGCTGGAACGTATGAACCGACAAGTACCAGGAAACTTTGCCGATTTTGTCAACTTCATCTTCAAGGAAATGGCGCCACAGAACCAAAGGGCATTTACGGCTCTAATCAAGTTGCTTGCTGACTTGCTCGATGGCTGTGGCAATGATGGCGACAGAGGCATCCTGACGGTTTCGTTTGCAGAACTTCTCGTTTCGGACGGTACAGCGCAAGCCTACATCAACCTGCTGGACCGTCTTGTCGAAGACTGCGATAGAATCTTTGACGATGCCGGGTTCGGCGTCAACCTGACTGTTCAACAAGCCTTCGAGTCTATGAACTCTCGTAGCGGCAAGTCGCATTCGGGATCGCTGACTTCAAATACGTCTTCAATCAGACGCAAATTCGGGTTCGACACTTTGCTGCGGCAGAACAGCAAGAACGACTCGGAGCGGCCATCCGTCTGGCGCACGCTCAGTAAACATGGTCGGCATCCTGCCTCTGCAGATGCAGCCTCGAGTTCTAGTCTATCCAAGATGACATCGTCACGGGCAAGGTCAATCGATTCGGGAACACAACCGGGGCCTAATAAGCTGAGAAGACCCGGCTCCAGGGACAGACCACCGATTGCTGGTGCTTTTGACGAGCTTCCCAGACCGAGCAGCTCGCAACGGCCTGACATGCGCCTGGAGACGATTGGTGAGCCCGACGTCGAGTCAACGCCTCCTGTCAAGTCATCAAAGAAGAAGCGGCGTAGCTCTTTATCTGATCTGCGCAGCCTTATGGAGGCGGCGACGATCACGGATCCCAGGGAGAAGATTGAGGAAGCAATGATGCCGTTGCGCATCAACAAGCAGACATCAGAAAAGTTTAACTCGACGCCCCGGATACCCTCGCCATCTAGGATACCGATAAGCCCGACATCCCAGAGCCTGCGGTCTCCTCGCATGATCTCACCGCGCCAAAAGGAGAACCCCATGTCGCCTGAAGCGTTATTTTCGTCGCCGCCAGCGCCCCCCGATCGCGAAAATACTCCCAGCCGCACACCAAAGGGACATGCTAGAGGCCTGTCCACTTCCAATATCCCAACACTCAGACCGACTCGCCCGATAGGCCCAGTCTCTCAATCGACCGACTCGATCCCCAGACCATCTACGAGTCCTGGCAAGCCACCGGGAAGCGGCAAGCTCCGCCTGCAGTCGCCGCAGAAACTTCGGGAGCGGCTGCAGACAGAGAAGAAGGCGGTTGAGGATGTCGACGCATCACTTCAGTCGGAGCTGTCTAAGATTGCCGAAGAGATGTCACGAGTCAACTCTGGTCTCGGTGGACGCACCAACACGCTGGACCTGCGCAAGCTGACAGCTTCGGTCAAGACGCTCGAGGAACGTATCCCGACGATGATGTCGGAGCTGACGGACCGACAGACGGCGATCCAACGCGACATGGAGAGCACGCTGAGAGCATCCGAGACAAAAGTCAAGAGCATCGATCAGCTGTACAGAGAATCGACGGCCGAGAACGAGCTCATGTACGAAAAGTTCAACAGCGAGCTGGGCAAGATTGTCAAGGCGCTCAAGGGCAAGGGCCGAGAAGACAAGGAAGAGCTCATCCGAAGCCTACGCGAGCACAGCGAGGAGACGGCGAGGGTGAAGAAGGAGAATGCGCGGTTGAAGAGGGAGATTGTCAGTTTGCGGACGGTCATGAAGGGTGCCGACTGAAGAAACATCTGGTCGAGCTCAAAATTGGTGTCAGAACTGCGATGCGGTACTTCACGGTACAGAGAGAGAACGAGAAAAGAGTGTGTGTATAAGATTGGACAGGGGGCTTGCGGCGTTCATTTTTTGCGGATTAGTTGCGTTGCGAGCGAGTCCATGGTTTTCTTTAACAGGTACGGGGTGTACCACTACTACAACTTGCTTACTGGTTTGATTTACTGGTATATGCAAAAAAAGAAGCCCGGCATTCGAGAACAAGCCTGAGAAACGGGTTTGATGCGGGCCTCTATTTTTCTCTTTTTCCTTTACCCGTCCAGTTGCGTCTGAGCAGGCAGGTGGGCATCAGGCAGACAAGGCAAGATGGACGGGGTAGATTACGGACAGTTTAGGGATGGTGATGGGGATTGAATGGAACGGGATGGAATAGGGACACTGGACTCTTTGGCTTTTTGGCGGATGGTTTGGACGGGTTGGATGGGATTGAATGAAGGAACGGAATGTGGGATGTGGGATGTTCTTTTTTTTCTGGTTGGTGTGTGGAGGGGAATAGGGTCTGCGGCGGTCTAGATGTTGTAGGTATTGAGAGAAGACTGAGAGCAGTGTGTGTGAGTGCGTATCCCGGATAGACTGGGTTGAATCGAAAGCATCAAGATGAAAAAAAAAAAAAAAAAAAAGGTTGTGAGCATTGAGTGAGGAGTGTGAGGAGTGTGAGGAGTGAGGATTGAGGGGGATGGAAATGTGAGAAGTGACGCCCTCTTGGCAAGTAGAGGGGGAGATGATGATTCTTGGCAAAAATCTAATGCCGTGAAGCCCAAGCTTAGGGTGGAATCGTCCTTTGGGCTGAGAGAGGATGGACCCTTTTTTTTTTCCACCGTCGTACCAACCGCTGTCCCAAGGTCACGGATCGGAAGACGGTGAACAGATGTTTCTTATTTCTTTCCCTTCTAGGTACTTTACGTCAGAGACACATTGGGCTGGCTGAAATGCCATAAGTTGAGGTGCTTGGGTACAAAGAAAGCCAGGCGTGGTACACCGCCCAGACCTCCGACTAAAGATACTCTTACATTGCGGTCCGACCCCGCGCTACCTTCCCTAGAGTGCATTTGAGGTACCTAGTGGCATCCCTCGTGAAGAATTGGGATATTTCGAGTGCTTGGTGGCATCCAATGTTTGTACCTACTTGCTGTGTAATTACCTAAGCACTGCTCGAGTTGGGGAAAGTAGGGTTTGCTAAAGGCGCAAGACGGCCCGTGCCCTTCCCTTTTCATGTTTACCTGTGTTTTTTCGCACTTGGAACTTGTAAGATTAATTCCATGGGAAGGTACCTATCTTTTAGTATCTTGCAGTGTGGTGTGGTGTGGTACCTGCCACTCTGAAAATTGCCGAGCGAACCCCTCCTTCCAAGTTCTCTCTCTCTCCATCGGGTGCCTCCCTCTTTTTGCGGGCACCGGGTTCCACTAGCAGTAGCGAGCAAGAGGTGCGGCGTTGGCTCTGGCGCTGGTCGGGGGTTTTGTTTCAATGGTGGGCTGTTCCGTCTGCTGCTGGCTGACTGCCCTGCTCTCACCACTTGTTTCCTTGTATTCGTGCCTACCTTAGGGACCTAACGAGACAAAAGCCTGTGAGGAGGTAGGTACTTTGCGCCAAGTACTTGTAAACAACCCCTCCAAAGGCAGGCACCCTGGACCTTTGCTGCCCTGGACGTACGGATACTTTGTAGAAACGTCTGGCCTGTGAGAGTGCCCGAGAAACGTGCAAGTGGGCTGTGGCACGTCCCAAGGCTCCACTCGCGCGTCTAGCTAAGGTAAACGGTAAACCAAACCACCCCGCCAAAAAGAAAGTGAGAAACATCACCAGAGAACCACCACCACCACCGCCACCACCGCCCGCCATCGCACACACACACACACACACACAATCTACCTACTCCCACAACACCTCTCCTTCCTCACACTCTCACATAACCCACGGAGTCCACTCTTCCTCACGACCACCACTTTTTAGTCTCTTTCCCCAAACCCACCGCCTTCTCTTCCCTTACCCGTCTACCTTGGGTTGAGTCAGCCACAGGGCCCCCTGCTCTACACCGCACCTCTCTTTCTTCATTCTCTCCTTCCTGGACAATATCCCGTGGGGGTCGCGCTAAGCATTTCACCTGCTTTCCTTCTCGCCTCCGAATCTCCTGGGGACGAAAGACCACCGACCCGGCGCATAACAACCCACAACGAGAAGCCCGACGCAGTCCAACAACGGACACACGCACGTCGCTCCCGACCGTCGCAACCATCATACCCAAGAGCGTATGAAGCACGGGTTATAACACACATACACACATACAGTTACGAACCCTCGAAACCGCGCCCAACATGGAGGACCAGCTGGTTTCGCTGCTGGCCAACACCCAGAGCTCCGATCAGGGTCCCCGCCAGCAGGCCGAGATCGAGCTCAAGCACGCTCGTGCGAACCCGGCCTTCCCTACCTCGTTGGCCAACATCGCCAACCACAACTCCATCGACGTGGCAATCCGCCAGGCCGCCCTCAGCACTCTGCGCCTCTTTATCGAGAAGAACTGGAACACAGAGGACAGGGGCTTTGATGAGCCCCCCGTCGACATTTCCGATACGTCACGCGAGCAGCTGCGGAATACTCTGCTCGAGATCGCCCTCAGCGATGAGGACAAGAGACCTGTCAAGGTTGCTGCTAGGTATGGTGGTGCGCTCGTCTCTGCCTAGGAGTTCCCAATTCGACGTCGCCCGAAGTATTTCGAACCCAATCGTCGTCTACAGGAAAACCCAAAGAGAGAACAACCGCCTTGCTGACTTGTGCTTTTCTCCCCATCTCTAGCTATGCTATCGGCAAGATTGCGTCGGCCGACTTCCCCGAGCGATGGCCCAGCCTACTGCCCACCGTCTTGGGCGTTATTCCCACGAGCACCGATGTCCAACTTCACGGCGCCCTGCGAGTCCTGGGCGACATTATTGATGAGAGCTTGAGTGAGGACCAATTCTTCACCATGGCGCGGGATATTGTCAAGGCAGTCACCGAAGTCGCCCTCAACGAGAACCGGAAACCCAACCTGCGCGCTCTCGCCATCTCCGTCTTCCGATCGTGCTTCGACCTCATGGATATCGTCAAGGAGGACCACATGAAGGAAGTTAGGGGCTTTGCCGAGGAGGCGCTCAAGGACTGGTACCCCTTTTTCGCCCAGGTGCTCAAGTCCCGCCTCCCCGAAGCCGCTGGCGAGCTCACCAGCAACGGCCAGCCCCCAAGCTGGAACCACATTATTGCACTCAAGCTGCAGGTGGTCAAGACTCTATTGAAGGTCAAGTCTGTCTTCCCGCACCTGCTCCTGCCGCACAGCACGAGCCTGTTTACTGCCGTCTGGGAGGAGCTCTCCCTCTTGCAGAAGCCCCACGAGGACCTCTACATCGGACACGAGGCCCAGGGCCGTCTCGAGGACTCGGACAGCCTGCCGTACACTCTGGACTTTTTGATTCTCGAGGAGCTCGACTTCCTCAACCAGTGCTTCCGCGCGCCGCCCGTCCAGGCCGAGCTCGAGGCCCAGCTGTCTGCCCACGCTTCGGCAGGGGAGACGCCCTGGATGGTCGACGTCATGAAGATGGTTGTCGGATACTCTCGCATCAGCCGCGAGGAGGAGGAGCTATGGGATATCGACTGCTCTCTGTACCTTGCCGAGGAGACTAGCGTTACGGCAAACTACACTGCGCGCACGGCATCCGGCGACTTGCTCATCAAGCTTGGCGAGTGGTACAGCGAAAAGGCAGTCGAGGGCCTGTTTGGCTACACCAAGACTCTTTTCCCCGGCGATGGGTCCACGTGGAGAAGCCAGGAGGCGTCACTTTACCTTTTCAATATGCTCCTGAGCGACTTCCAGGATATGGAGAAGCCCATCCCCGAGGCGTTGTCTGAGGCCTACCTCGGCCTGGTCGATTACGCTGTCAACCAAAACGAGCAGCCCCTCCTGAGAGCCCGAGGCTACCTCGTTGGAGGCACCCTTGCCCGTGGTTTCCAGACTCCTCCCGCTCTCTTCGACCGCATCATCCAATGCATCACCTCCGAAGAGTCCGAGGTTGTTCAGGTTGCCTGCATCAAGGCCGTCGAGGGCTTCATCCGCTCCGGCAGGGTCACGTCTGACCGCCAAGTTCCCATCATCAACGCTATTGCGCAGTACATGCAGAACAAGGACCCCGAGGAGATGGAGGATGCCGACGAGCTCCTCGTTACCCTCGCCGAGTCTCTGCGTGCTGCCATCAACATGGACACCAGAATTGTCCTCTCCCAGGATGTCCCTTCCGTCGACCTTCTCTTCATGGTTGCCAAGCTTGGCGCTTCCAACTTCCAGGCTACCATGTTGATTTGCGAGGCCTTTGAGGAGATTGTTCGCGCCCTCTCCGATACCGCTTCCTACACTGCGCTTTGCGCCAAGATTCTGCCCACGCTTACTGCGGCCTTCAACACCGCCAACGTCACCCAGGACGATCCTCTCGTCACCGTTGCTACCGAATTGCTTACTGCGCTTGTCGAGCACGGCTCCGAGCCCCTGCCTGCTGGTTTCGTCGCCGCCACGCTTCCTAAGCTCAACCGTCTGTTGATGGAGTCGAATGAGGGCGAGGTCCTCCGTCCTGGTGCCGAGTCTGTCAAGTACCTGTTGATGCATGACCACCACCAAGTTTTCGGCTGGCACGACGAGAACAACCGCTCGGGCTTGGAAGTGTGCCTTCACATCATCGACCGCTTGTTGGGACCTTCTGTCGAGGACAACTCTGCTTCTGAGGTTGGTGGACTCGCGGCAGAGCTCGTCGAGAAGGCTGGACAAGAGCGTCTCGGCCCCTTTTTGCCTCAGCTATTGCAAGCTGTTGCTACCAGATTGGCGTCTGCTGAGGCTGCTCCCTTCATCCAGTCTCTGATCCTTGTCTTTGCTCGTCTGTCTCTCGTCGGCGCTAGCGATGTTGTCGAATTCCTCAGCCAGATTCAGATCCATGGAAACACCGGTTTGCAGGTCGTTTTGAGCAAGTGGCTTGAGAACTCAGTCAGCTTTGCAGGCTATGATGAGATCCGCCAAAAGTAAGTGTCTTAGGATCAGCCTTGTGAACCAATACTGATATCTTGCAGTGTCATTGCTTTGTCTAAGCTTTACTCTCTGAACGACCCCCGTCTCGCTCAGACAATGGTCAAGGGCGACCTCATCGTGAATAGCAACAACGATGGCAGGATTATGACGCGCTCACGCGCCAAAGCCAGTGGGTAAACTGCTGAATGAGTGGACTGCCTGATTGCTAACGTCACCAATAGACCCTGACCAATACACCGTCATTCCCGCCTCCTTGAAGATTCTCAAGGTTCTCATCGAGGAGCTTCTTTCCGCGTCTGGAGCCAATGCCGCTGCAAATGCCGCAGCAGTAGCCGCCGCAGCAGAGTTCGCCGATGAGGAGAATGAAGACGACGGATGGGAGGATGAGCCCGAGACGCTCGACCTTAGCCTGGGCGGCACTAAGGCGGATCTGATGTCCTTCATCGAAGGCTCGGGTGCCCGCCAACGCGACGACGAGACGCAAGCGTACCTGACCGAGTTCTTCATGCGCGCGGCGCGCGAGAACGTGGCTAACTTCCAGGAATGGTACGGCATGCTCACCGAGGAGGAGCGAGGAAAGCTTAACGAGCTGGCTAGCGCTGCGGGCCAGTAGGAAAGCGCTGCGGCCGAGCCGGACAGCGAAGAGGAGACATGGACGGCCAGTGAAGATGAGACGACGCCTACTCCTGAGGATTATGGATGGAGGACCACGGACACGGATTCGGGTCTGCTGCGGTTCCCGCCGAAATCCGCTCGGAAGCGGTATTTGCGAAGAAAGTTATACTCTTAATGCGCGCGACGAATGCTATCAACCGCGGAAAGTTGCTAACTCTCTTGTCGTCGGCCTTTGAACACGGCGGTATATAAATAGCAGACCGACTTTACATAGTTGGATGGAAAGCACCTGCGGGTTTGGCGCGATGAAGGGAGACTGCACCAAAAAAGAAAAAGACGGGAAAACACGGAGGCCTCGGAACGGACAAACGAACTGGAACGAAACACCCTTTTGTAGATAGATGCCACAACAACCACTAGAAGACGGATGGCAAGCCCCCATGAGGAAGGCGAAGAAAAAAAAGATGAGCGATACGCTTTGGCTGTGGCTATTGTCAGTCAGTGGCTGTAGGCGCTGTGCGAGTCCGGCATGATTAGCTTAGGATCATGGTGGGTAATGGCGCAACGCTGTCGTAGATATAATGTTAGATAAAGTATTGATTGCATTTGATACCATCCTTGGTGTGCTTGTGTCTCGTTTCTGATGGCCGGCTGTGAGTAGGTTTTGCTGTGTTTTTTAAGGATCGCGAAGAGGGAACTCCATGACAGTTGAGGAATGGTGACGAAGATAGGTAGGATCCAGCCAAGTGGGCTTCGTTTAGCTGAGTGCGGTGGTTAAGCCTTTACTTCTCCGCGTCCTACGATTGCTCCGGTTTCATAGACGATCGTCCCCCTTGGAGTTTAATATTTACTTCTTTCATCTTTTAGGTCCTACTCGAGGTATAGAAGTGATTTAGTAGTTAGCGTCTTCGTAGGTGACTCAGGTATGTATATAAAAGTAATGTCCCGAGAGGAAGAAGAAGAGGAAGAGCCAAGCATTGCGTATGCTCCGGCTTGTTGTACTTGTTGTCGCACGTTGCTGCTAGCGATGAGGTAGGGGTCCAGCCTGAGCCTGGGGTCAGATTTTAGGATTCATGCTGTGGCATTACAATGGCAGATTCTATGAGGAACTGTCGGTCTCTGGCTGTTGATTGATGTGTATTCGGGTGCGTATATCCAGGGAACGTAGGATGGTGAAGTGCTTGAATGGGGGTTGGTGATTTGCCTTTTAAGTGAAGTATAGCAGAGCGGCGTTTATGCCAACGTAGGACTTCGCAACACAGCTCTGCCTCTATCGTCTACACCGATGTATCTTGCCCCTTGTCCAGGACAATGACTGGTTTCGATCTTAGGTGGCTGCTTGAGGTGCACTAAGAGGATATATATACGTATGGAAAAAGACAAAGGAGGTATAGACTCTCTCACGTATGCTGAGATTGCGGTGGCGGGCGTAGGGATTAGATGCGTCTTTTGTGAATGAGATTTACTTGCTGAGGAGGTGGGATTGGTGTATTGAACGACACCTCCTGTATCAACAGAAACGAGGCACTTGATCACCGCTATCGTTGGTGGAAGCTTGGTACGACCCTTATGACGAAGCTGTCGACATCTCATAGAGCGGCCGTTGACGACTTGAATCATACTGGTCGCCTCACATGCTCAGCTTGGCCTATCTTACATCTGACAGTGAGATCAAGCACTTGACGATGGTCAGTTCATATGTCTGGTACGCCGGCATCGGCATTGGTGAATAACACCAGGCCTGGGTTCCTTCGTCCATGTCGGTATCCAACTCTATACCTCGATACTCTAGAGCGTTTCCATGATGCTCCGTATTAAGTTCCTTTTGCAAGTGAAGTATTGTACGTCTTAGCTACCAGAGGGATAGTCTCTCTGCAATGAATAGCCTCAGTCGTTTCTACTCCCAGGATACGTAGGCCTGCGTACTGCTTTTTAATTGAAATTCTTGGCTTTTAATGTGATCGAAAAGTTCGTTATTCATGGTAGCGTGTCGCCCATATCTAGGCCCGTCCCCCGTGTACTAGTCGAACCTTAGTTTGTCTCAAGTAGGACTGTTCGATAGCTTCTTACTTCACGACACACCATAATCTACTTCTGAGAGGATCGCGGCGGTATCTAGCTGTGGAGAAGTGTCCCTTCCGTTGTAGACAGTCCTCCTCCTGGATGTGCCTCTCCATTCATCGTGTCTACGATGAGACGGATGAGGCAGCCCGGGTCATTTTCAGCTCGATGGATGACAAGGTTGTCTCATAGCACCCCATGCCCTTGTAGAAGGCGTGGTGCAGGTTTAGTCTAGATCTTCCGCGTCAACGTGATGATGCGACACGATCTCCTCTATATTTAAACACGCGTCGCTGAAACCGAAGGCTACAACAGAGCACCCCGTGGGCGGCCTGGTCCATCAATATGCGAAGAGCCGGTGGCGCCCTTCTTGCTAAGGGCGTCGGGTTTGGGAGCTTGTGGGTCTGGGGAGGTGGAAGCCGGAGTAGGATGCTGGCCAGTTAGGGGGGGGGGGGGTCAGTGTATGTATGAGAGAGGTTAGATTGCTAGCTAAGGTTTTTGTGGCACAGGGCCAATGTATACACTCCATCCAAGTCCTCTCGGAGCTTCCAAATTGGACCAGTGTGTCTCACCCACCCACAGCCGGAGCCGGAGGGCGAGGCGCAGCGGGTTCGGGAGGATAGGCGACCATTGCCTCCAGATTTCCTTGCCCGGCATACGGTGAGTATTCATCACACAATATACGCGTAGAGGTATCTTACATGTGAGAGTGGCAGATCGAGGATTGCTGTGGTTAAGCTTAGGAGCGTCATCTTGGGCATGATTATCCTTATGAGAAATTCATCCACGAATTTCGCAGAACTGAGGGATACGTTATAGCTGCGCTCGTTGCCAGTCGCTTTCGCAGCCAGCAATGACGTGCAAAGTAGACTACCAAACAGGAGCTCTAGTGAGCTTGTCTATGATATCTAAGCGTTTCCATGGCTATTCTCGAGTCCAGTGGCTTGACGTTAAAGAAATGGAAGAACAGAAGTCACGGGACATAAGTAGATTGAAGAGTAACCTTAACTTGAAACTGCCACAAGCATGATGGGTGGTGCGTCCGCTAGCTTTGCTGCTTTGCAGAATTCTCTCCCATCCTCACGCTGCGTGGTTTATACATAGTTCTCATGATTCAAATGGGTTCAGCTTGACCCCACGGGATGAACAAGCGCGCCTTGGGAATCGACACCAAGAGGGTGGAGGGTCCAGCGCCGTAATTGCACCCTGTAGCCTAGGAAAGCAACGTAAATGGAACGTATTTGTTGCAATGGCCCTTGCCGCCTCGAAGCATTGATGCATACGATGAAGTGGGTGCGGTTTTCAAGACACATTTGAGAGACTTGATCAAGGTCCCCTGGGGTGTTCCAACGTTTAGCATGGCTGCGTATACTTTGAGAGCCAGCTCTTGCGTCCCATTGATACAATGACATCAGAAGACGAAGCCAAATTCGATCAGATTGCCCCCCCCCCCCCCTCCCAGTAGGCTTCCATCGCTGTCCGAACCCATCTTTATGGCTGCGAGGTCGAAATCTTCCGTCAAGGTGCCATCGCCACTACTACCGCCGCTGTTATTAGAACTCTTTCATGCGAGAATGGCCGTGCGACTGTAGTCAGGTGACATTGATCACGCGGAAAGATCAAACTTAATCTCGACAACCCACCTGCAACATTTTTGTATTGCGTGTAAGGTAGCCAGCGAGGTGCCAAGGACGTCGGAGTTTGGTCCGATCCAACGGCGAAGCGGGGTTCGAAGATCGGCACTGAACCGGCCGGGTACCGATTCCAACTGAAAAAACGCTCACTTCCCCGAAAAGAAAACGCTCGTGCCACACGTCCGTGGAAACTGTTTCCCTGCCCGCAAATCCGACGTCTGCAACACCTGCCAAAGGGCTTCCTTCCTGACTGGGACAACAACGCCCTCGCATGACACTCCCGCCCCACTACGTCGTCTGCCGCCCACCCGCCACCCACTCACGCACGCAACTTGAGCCTTTGCCCGGCAGAAATTGACAACAATTCATCAAGGCAAGATGGCCGAGCGGTCTAAGGCGCTAGCTTCAGGTGCTAGTCAAGTAATTGGCGTGGGTTCGAATCCCACTCTTGTCACAACACGAGGCGCAAGCCTTTCCTTTTGCATTTTTATTGACTAGAGCCTTTTGGTTGTTGGAGAATCGCAGTATGAAAACCTCTTTTCGTTTTTTCTTTCTTTTTCTGTGCTAATTTGGGTGGCGTTGGCGGGGTAAATTTTTGGGTTGTGGCTGTGGATAGTGGGGGTGGCTTTGCGATACCCTTCCTCGAACCTCACTTCTTGAATTCATGGACTTGAGATTTTTCCAGAAATGGTGGGAAAAGAGGCTTTTCTCTGGGAAGAAGATCCTGCATGGTGGATTACTGTGTATCTTCATCGTGTTCAGTGGGCCCATTTCTTCAAAAGCGAAGGAAATGTGTCTGCAATTCCCTGCGTGCCTCCGCCTACAGGCAAGCTTACACCGCAGATATTGAGTGCAGCCATGTTTAGATTCTGGCACGTCACGTCCGAGAAGAAGATGCACGTTTCCATATGAAATCATAGCAAGACCAAATTTGATTCGCTAACGTACTACAACACCAGCGCTACTCGAAACACAATTGTCCCAAAATTAACAAGTTGCTCGCTTATAACTGCAAGGACCAACAGGTGAACAACCAACTCAAAAGACGTCCAATGATCACGAGAAAGCGTTAGCATCAGCATGACTACATCCAAGTCCCACATACTTTCATCTCATCCAGAAAAGAGCAAAACGCATATGCACATCGAGCTGAAACCAAAACCAAAACCAAAAACAGAAAGACAGGCACCGAAAATGCACCGGGCAATGCAGATAGATCCAACCGAGATTCTCACTGATCGACGAGACACATACACACATACACAGACGCACATGCGCGCGTGACACACACAACATCTTGACATCAATCCAACGTTGGGAGAAAGCCAGATTCAGGTAAGGCCGAACCTTACCTATCTAGACCAAAATGGGTGGACCATTGTAGTCCAGCTTTCAAGAGGAGGTAGAGGGGGAGGTACCGGGCTGCGTCTGCGACTGCAGAGCCTCGACGAGCGCGGTGAGCTTATCAATCTTGTCAGTGAGCTCCGAGATGCGCACCTCGACCACGGAGGGCGCGTCCATGTCGTCGGCTTCCGCAGCGCGGGTCTGCGGGCGCGACGAGTGGTGCGAGGAAGGGTGATTGTTGCGCTCCGCGGGGCGTGGCGACCTCCCACTAGCGCGGTATCCCGACGAAGGGCGGTTCGCCTGGAAGACACCGAGGGAGCGCTGCTTCGTGGCGCCGGTGAGGCCGCGCGGGCCCTTGAAGCCAGCGTACTCGTCCGAGTGGACGCGGCTGCGGATGCTCTCGTAGAGCTGGATCATGCCGACGATGGGGAGGTGGGTGGCCTTGAGGAGGATGATGCGGCCGTGGCGGAACTTGTCGTCCGAGGGGAGGAAGAGGCGGAGGGGGCGGAAGATGACGAGGGCGATGAGGTTGAAGGGCGGGTAGAAGTGGGTGAGGCGGTTGCTGGTCGAGGCCTCGAGGACGTAGACGCTGTAGACGTAGAGGTACTCCTCGCGGGCGTGGGTGATTACGCGGGAGAAGGAGTTGGAGAGCATACCGGTCAGGGAGCCCATGAGGAGGAAGGAGGAGAGGATGATGAACATGATCATGAGAGGGGGGCCAAAGACTTTGTCAATGTCGTCCATGATTTCGATGCCGACGTAGGAGGAGCCGAAGAAGATCTTTGTGAGGATCATGGTCATGTGAGAAAACGTGTAGGCGTCCTGGCCGATGAGGGAGAAGGTGGTGAGGAAGCCGAGGTAGATGATGACCACGAGAACCATGAACTTGATGAAATCCTTGCTCATTTCTTTCAGGCAGGGGATGAGGGTTCCCCAGTAGGGTGACAAGCTGAGGAGGGAGAACACGCGCGGGACCATGAAGAGAGCCTCCAGAGCAAAGACGTTGAAGGCGGTGTCGGTCATCTTCATGTCGTGGTTGGCAATACCGATAACGCCTGTGATGCTGTGTTAGTTCGTTGCGGGAGGGATGATCATGGGAGCAAGGAGTTGCTTACGCAGAACGGCAAAGGTGATGCCGATGCCTATCATGATCATGTCAAACAAATTCCAGATATCCGTGGCATAGAAGATGGTTCCGGCATCGGCCCACTCGCTGAGCTCATCGTAGAGGAAGGCCGCAAGCCAGACGTACAGGACGATTTCGTTGTGGGTGATGCGTTCGGTGTTCTGGGTGACGAGGACGGAGTAGTACAGGCACAGAAAGATGAAGAAGAAGAAGGCCTCCCAGAACTTGAGGTACTTGGGCACGCGCAGGCGGGAAAAGATGTCGGTCGTGTGGGCGTTGTAGAAGCGGGGCTTCTTCTCGGCGTGGACCGAGAGGCTGTCCCAGAAGATGATGTCGCCGTTCCAGATGCCCGTGACAATCTTCTGCACAACGTGCTGGCTGAGGAAGCGCTTGGCGTCGGCGACGGCGGCGATCTCGAGGGCGTTGAGGTTGGTGAAGGGCGAGGTCGGGTCGTCTTCCTCTTCCTCGTCCTGGTCGGCGTGCATGCTCATGGTGAGCCTGGAGAGGGAGGACAAGAGCTGGTAGCGCTTGGCGCTGCTTCCCGGGCGGACGGAGGCGCGGCGGCTGCCGCTGCGGTTGGACCAGCTGCCGCCGGAGAGCAGAGGGGAGTTTTCATTGCTCTCAAGATCCGCGTTGGGCGGCGGGGTGGCCGGCTCCTTTGGGTCGGGGATCTCGTAGAGGCAGAAGTCGACGGCCTCGCGCTCCGAGAGGCGGGTGAGGAAGCGCCAGGCGACAATCTCACAGGCGTTGGCGCGGGCTTCGCAAAGGCCTTTGTTGGACTCGGCCTCATCGACGGCATAGTGCCATTTCAGTGCGCTGGAATGTGTTAGATACTGAGCTGGTGTGTGGTCGGTTTATTGCTTAATCCTCTCGGGAGACTCTCGGGACAGCATAGTGAATGAGAGGCATGGGGAGATTGACTTACAGAAGGGCATTGACAATGGCCCGGTTGGTGCAGGTGGCATTCAAGTGATCGACCAAGACTCGCAACGGCTCACCGGCCTGGGTGGTACGCAGCTGCTCAAAGGTGCTCGGCAGGACAATGACATCGGTGAAGTATCTAGACCGGATCCGTCAAGTCAGCAAAAACTCGAACAACCGTTTTCCGTCCAGGGGCGGCGGGCAGCGGGAGAGCATCGCCGCTCTCAACGGGGCCTAGATCTTATGAGACGAAGGGGCGCAAAACTTACACGGAGAGCTTCTTGACGACCTCGCGGAAGGTATCGTCCGTGTCAATGTCGGGCAGCTCAAACGTGTCAAAGTGCATGGACACGGGGCTCATGTCCCGGGACTTTGGCATTTTCTTGGACTTGACGCGGATAGGCATCTTGGCTGGTGCTTACTCGGTGCCTCTCTTTCGTGTGTGTGCAACGCGATCCTGCAGCAGAGGAATGCAACTCGGATTGGCCAATTGGGAATAGCCGTGAGAAAAGATGTCTCCTTTCTTGCGGTGGTCAGCAATTCAGGGTCGCCAAGCGGTCAGCACGCCCTGATTGATCTGGTTAACAGGTACTCGGGAAGATGTGCCGCGAAATTTCTCACTTGCAGCTGCAGAAGCAAACGAGCAACGGCAACGGCATGCAGCAGCAGCAAGCAGAAGATTCCAACTCAGCCACGGTGCAAAGCGCGAGACGGAGGCGGTCAACAGAGAGAAGGGGAAAAAAAACAGGATGCTGAGAAGCGGTCGGCCGAGGACGAAGATAGCTGAGCTTCCCGTCTCCAACCAGTGCCAAAAGTGGAGTGGGACGGGAGGTCTTTGCGGCGCAGAACAGGGGTAAAGTGGACCCTGTTTTTACTGGAAACGAGGAACTTTGGTGGAGACCTGCGCGGGGTCGGATCAACTGACTGCCATTGGCCCGTGCAGGTGTCTCCGTCTGTTTGAGTCTAGCGTCAGTACATAGAACCTCAGTCCCTTAGGTCAGCAGCTTCCTTCCTTGCTAAGAATGAAAAGCTTCGCCAGGAACATCACACATCTTGGGACTTGAGCTTATCAATGCCTTCATTTCTTATCAGTCACACAGTGAGACTACCTAAGGTACTCTCCATACGAGATACACGTAGTGAGACATGACCCAAGATCTTATAGTCCACAGTGCCAAGTGAATGTCTCATATTCGCAAACGGCAGTCGATGCCAAGCTCATTACGGCATCAATTCCTCGGATTTACGTTACGTTTTCGTGGCATTGGCGATGGGCCCTTCTCTCACCAGGCCACACCCGGCTTCCAATCGTCCACTCGCGAGCCAGAGATATTTCGGAATAGGCAAGTAAGCTTTCAGACGTACCCACCCAAGAGGCTTGTCTTTGTTTTCGATCCACACATAGATCGTCATCTAGTATCTATCCAGACGCCGTATGCACGTATTGAGCTTCGCCGTATACCTGCTTCAGCCCTAGAGATGCTGCAGCTTCAACAGAGCCGCGTCACGATGGAGGATGAGCCCAGCCGCCAACTTGCGGAACGTTATCAGTCATAAGGCTGGCTGAGCTTGAGAACTTTGGCATTTACGCCCCGTTCAACCGGGACTTTGGTGCTTAACCGAGTTCAATGGGTGGCTGCCTAGCTGATCGAAGGATTCGAGGGGCTTTTTTCGTCCAGTGACGCGGCGCGGCGCTGTATTTGACGAGTAAAACCAATACCAAAGTCCCAGAGCTGAGCCTCATTCTGCATTTCGTGATGAATGTCTGCCATTTTGGAGAGCGAACGCTCTGTTGGGGGAATTGGATATAACACCCACGACTTCGGACGTGAGTTCGGACGGATTCAGACGACAAGCTTCCACACACAACTTATTGTAGACAAACCATGGCTACAGCAACATATACCAGTGCGTCTACCGCAAGCGTAACTTCGTCCGACTCGCTGCCATCATGCACAACGGCAGTTCCGGGCAAGTACGGACACGTACCGATCGACGCCTGCAACTCGTACTATGCCTTTGATCCCAGCTTTGGAGGAAACGTCGCGTTTGCCGTTCTCTTTGGCATGTCGTTTGTCGCGCACATTGCCCAAGCTATTCTCTACAGAAAGGTACGCAATGCCACTTGTCCTCCCGTCCAAGTAGCTTGAAACTAACGCCGAGATAGAGATTCTGCTGGGTTCTTTGCGTCGGCGCCTCGTGGGAACTGATAGCTTTCATTCTCCGGTCCCTCGGCGCCAGGGATCAACAGCAGATTGGTTACCAGATTGGCGGGCAGCTCTTGTTCCTGCTCGCTCCACTTTGTAAGTTTTCCTACATGGCTCGGTATCGCATCTGCGTGACGGCAAGCCAAAGTCCAAAGTCGAAAGCTGACGCCGTCCAGGGATCAATGCATTCGCCTACATGCTCTCCGCCAGACTCGTCTACTTCGTCCTGCCCGACCAGCGTGTGTTCCGCGTCAAAGCGACGGCCCTCACCAAGATCTTTGTCACCATGGACGTCGTCTGCTTCCTGGTGCAAGGGGCGGGCGGCGCGATGATGTCCAACACGGAGGTCGCATCGGACGACCCCATCCTGAGGACCGGCAAGCAGGTGTACATGATTGGGTGCGGGCTGCAGCTCGCTTTTATTGTCGTCTTTTGCGGGCTCATGGGTCGCTTCTACGTCAAGATGAGGCGGGCACAGAGATTCGACCTCGACTTGAAACGGATCGGGGCCATGGTGTTGGTGATGTTTGTGGTGTTGGTTCTCATCATTGTGAGTTGTTTTCTTTTCTTAGTTGTCTTTGCAACCTGCACCTCCTTATCCCCCCACCCCTGTATGACAGAACATGTTTGACAAGAAGACGGGATGAACGGACCGAGCTGACACTTATTCTTCGCGGAGATCCGGATCATCTTTCGGTTGGTCGAGTTCGGACCGGGGGCGAACATGGACAACCCGATTCTGACAAACGAGAACTACGCGTTCGGGCTCGACGCACTGCCGATGGTGCTCGCGCTCGTGTTGCTCAACGCTGTGCATCCGGGTATCGTGCTCAGGGGCGAGAACAGCGAGTTCCCTCGGCTGTCGAGGCAGGAGAAGAAGCAGGTGAAGCTGGAGAGGAAGGCTGCCAAGAGGGAGTCCAAGCTGGCCAAGAAGGCGGCGAGGGAGCAGAAGAAGAAGGAGAAGGCGGCGGGCTTGGAGGTGGATAGTGATGAGGGTGACTATGTCGCTATGGAGGAGAGGCCGTTGGCGGCGGATGAGTATGACAGCGATGACAGGACTGGCGCTAGGGGAAGCCATCATGTTTAGAGGGGGAACATGACTGCCACTGTTCCGAGCCAAGGTACTTACTCACCTTGTCCTGGATTGTGGCATCATGTGTAAAATCAGTGTAGCGTAGAATAGCTCGGGCGTTTTGGCAGTTTAGATGGACCTTTGATGTGTCCGAGTACAAGCTTCTTACCTCACCTCAGGTGCCTAGTTCGTGCTGACACCAATCGGACTCTTGGGAATGTCGTCATGAAACAACCTACACAGCGTTGCTTCTGACATGCATGCATGAATGGAATGGACTGCGTGTGCAGTATGTCGGCACATCTGTTCTCTGGTTTTTTGAGCGAATAATCGCAGGTGAAGACTTTGGGGGATTGTGATAAGTTCATCGCACTTCATGTTTGGATGATGATGATGATGCTGCGGCAAGTTCAAAGGTTCGAGTTGATGTTCCTCTCATGTCGTGGTGTGTGTACGTACCGTATGACCCTGATTAGGTAAGGTGGAACGTACCTGATTCGACGATTCGACAGCATCGCCACGGGGATCCACCCGGCGCGGGAATTAGCGCGTGTTATAAAAAGCACCATGACTGCCGCCAGTCTGCAATGGCCGGACACTGTGGCACTGTGTGTCCTCCACACATCTTACATGATGATATAGTGCGAATATTTGATGCAATGTCCGGAGGATCTGGCTTGGTGGAGGCAGCGCAAACAAGCGAAGACGAACGCGCCTCAATGGCCCCTGCTCTCTGGCCCAAACCCACTTCCTTCCAACGATCCAACGATCCAGCTCCATTTCCCCCGTTGGGTCCCCAACTCCTTCAATATCCCCCATCGAATGACTTCTTCCACCATTTATTCTCTGATCCCTGTTTACTTGGACCCGAACGGCCAAACCAACATGCAAGTTTGACAAGTTGGGCGACCCTCGAGAGAACAAAGGGCCATGGAAAGAAGACCAACGGCTGCCCCCAAGATCGTCCCAGACAATGGTGACGAGAAAGAGAGAGGGAGGGGCGGGCCAAGGTACAACTTCAAGGTTCCAACAGAGGAGAAACAATAGCTTTGGCATCTTGGGGGCCAGCCGCTGTCTTGTGTCTGTATGATCCTGTATCACCTCCTGCAGAGGCCACGGGAGCCATGCGCAGAAGTCTGCAGCCGGACACAGCGAGCGGCGAGCGAGCCCGACGGGACGATCACTCTATCACGAACCACAACCGGGCTTCACGTCAGGTCTTATTGTTCCCCCCCATCGAGCAATCAGGATCATACTCAGACCAGCTCAGGTCAGGCCAGTCGAAAAGCATGAGCGACTCGCTCGGCCGGTAGGTGGGCAGAAGCAAATTGCGAGTGAAAAAAAAGTTCCCAAAGCTTTCCGCCTGTTCCTGGCTTCCCTTCTTAGCTTCCGTCTGCCAATCCTTCTTTTCTTACGTAGCACCCGTAGCTCGAACTCACTAGCCTCACCTCGCACTCTCACCGGCACCGAGCCTCCTTCGCCTGTCTGCTGCCTGCGCGGTTCTCAGATCCGCACGGACTGGTCCCGGGCGCTTGTCTCTCATCGCCACGGTACACGGCAGAAACGTTCCCCTCCAAAGACCCCAATGTATGAATGATCCCAAGAGATCTTCAGACCCCCAGTAACGCCCCGAGCGGTGCGAATCTGCGGGCTGTGGTACGACGGTAAGGCATGCTTTCTTGTTGCATTTTGGGGCCCAGGAGGGGCCGGCAGCCCCTCCCCCTTCCCTTCTTTTCTCGAGTGAGAGAGTCGAATCTTGGTATGCTCACGATCGGAGGATCCTTGAAACACAGCTCCCCAATCAGCGTCAGCCTCGTTGGCGTCGCCCCCCGGGGGCCCGGAGGATGAACACCCCCCTCCTCCACCCTCCAGAGGTCCCTGTTCCGGTCTAAATTACACTCCGTCGCCCAATCCCTCGTCAGCATCGGTTTCTTCCTTCTCATTCTTTTCCTTTTTTGCCTATCCTAGTATCCTTTTACTCATCGTTCTAGATTCCACGTCTCCTTCTCCTAGTTTCCTTTGTTTCTTTGCTCTGTTATTAATTATATGGATACCATTGAGCAACATCTCTCGTCATAAATCATCCTAGTCTTCAGCGGAGGTCACTTTTTGGAACGGGAAAAAGGAAAGAAAGTCCCTGGAAGGGCCGAGCTAGGAGAAAAAGGTCCTCTCGCAGAGTTACATACAACACCAAAATGTTATTGAACGACTGCTTCGCGCGGCTACCGCCCACGGCCGCGGCGATACTGCTTCTCTCGAATATCTTCGCCCTGGCCGAAGCCGGCGCTCTCCCCCGCCAAACAGAGCATGCTCAAATTCACATCGCCTACCGCACACTGGACGTCCGTAGCTGGCCGCTGGCAACACCAGCGCCATGGCTGGGCATTATGAGGAGGCAGGATGACAGCACCAACACAGTCTGCGGGTATCTCGGCGGTGACCCAAACCTGCCGGCGACGTGCTCTGCTGGTTCCCACTGCGCCATGGACGCTTCCGTCTCGGCCATCGGCTGCTGCCCGAACGGCGCCGCCTGTACGACGGGTGTCTACACGAGCTGTGTCGACGAGAACAGCCCCACTCAAACAGCTTCGGATCCGTACATCTTCACTTGCCAGGGCTCCAATGTCTGCTACCGCAACAGTTTCGATGGGGGTGCTTACCAGTATGGATGTGGTACGACAAGTCAGGGTACGACTGTTGCTGCTACTGCTTCAGGACTCAGCACTACGGTGGCCATTACGCACATCTCAGGCCTTGTCACGAGACAGGAGACCGCTTCGTCGAGTAGTTCATCCTCCAGCAGCTCCAGCTCGTCGAGCAGTTCTTCTACGACTTCAAGCTCTTCGAGCTCAACAACCAGTTCCACGACTAGCTCATCTTCAAGCACCTCCACGACGGCATCAGAGTCATCAACCTCGTCTGCGCCAGCAGCCACTAGCAGCGCTCCTCCAGTAAACGCCGAGGCTGCCGCGGCAGGACTGAGACGCAACGGGGGCATTATCGGTGGTGTTATCGGCGGCTGCGCTGCATTCGTCGCCCTCGTCTCAGTAGCACTCTGGATGCGCAAGCGCAAGCGCGGCAACAAGCGTCTCGGTCCTGGCGCTGGTAAAGGCCCCACCTATGTGTCAGTATAAACCTATCCATGATTATAATCCCCAAGTCAACGAAACTAATTTTCTCGCAGCCCCCAAACCAACCAAAAGGACTTTGCACCCGTGCCCGGCGGCGAGATGATGTTCGACCAGGCAGGTTATGGTCACCCGTCCATGATGCCAGGCGCCCACGGCAACACCACCTCCATCAGCGGCGGCCGATCCGCCAACAGCCCGCCGTCGTCCGCCCCCCACGGAGGATATAACCCCGCCAGCGGCGCCTCTGCGTCCGGTGCGTCCCGGTCGACGGGGGACGATACCCCGCTCACGCACCAGGGCGAGATGGAGGAGTTTTCCCGAGGGTATAATGACGCTGTTGGGCGCGGGGGTGAAGGGGGACACAGAGCGACTAGTTCGGGTACGGACGGGAGCCCCTATGGCGCTGGCGCTGGGGCGACGAACGCAGGCCAGCGGGCTGATGGGTCTGAGGAGAGGCCGTTGTGGCAGCAGAACCGGAGGCAGAGCCGGAATTTGATGTGGATGTAAGATGGGATGAGTTTAGGAGGTTTGGGTGGGTTGGTTCGGTCAGGCTCTGGTGTCTTGGAGTTTTGGATATATGTTGACATCATCAAGGAGGGACAAAATTGGCCCTGGTAGACTCGGAGTTGCAACGCTCCTAATACGTAAATAATTCATATCACATCATTTGATGTTTCTCTATTGGAAATCTAACATGTTGTTAGCTCGGTCCTGTCTAGCCCATGGCTGCTAGCTTGAGCCCAGCTCTTAGAAACTCTCGACACTTACCATGCTTATGAAGCAGCTCAACAGCTATACAGAGATAGAGTCTACAGAGCCCAGATCCAAATTACCCTTGCTAGTCCAACCCATAGATAATCTTCTTCACATACCCCTGATCAACATTTCCCCCACAAAGCAAAATAACACTCGTCTGGCCCTCCCCCTCCCCCTTGACCTTCTCAAACCCCGCCAGCGCCAACGCAGCAGCCCCCTCGACAACCATATTCTCCTCCACAGCAATCCTCCTCATCGCGTCCGCAATCTCCTCTTCGCTACATCCAACAACCCGATCCACCACCTCCCTCGCAAGCGGCAACGTAATCGAGTCCTCGTCCATCCCGCCCGCCACCGCCTCAGCAAGCGTAGGCAAATGCTCCGTCTCCACAACCTTCCCGGCGCGGATAGACTCCGCCAGAGCCTGCGAATTCGTCGCCGCGACGCCGTAGATCTTCACGTGGGGCGCAAACGCCTTGAGAACGGACCCGATGCCGCTGATGAGTCCGCCGCCGCCCATGGCGATGAAGATGTTATCGAGGCGGGCGATACCCTGGGCGGCGCACTGTTCTAGGATTTCGAGGCCGATTGTACCCTGCCCTGCGACGACGAGGGGGTCGTTGTAGGGCGAGATGTAGGTGTATCCCTCCGAGGCGGCGAGGTGTTGGGCGTGCTGTTCCGCGAGACCTGTCTCTGCGCCGTGGAGGATGACGGTGGCGCTGAGGGCTTCGATTTTGGCGAGTTTGGCGGGGAAGACTGTCTCTGGGAGGACGACGGTGAGGGAGCGGTTTAGGGCGTTAGCTGCGTGGGCGGCGCCGATGCCGTGGTTTCCTGAGGATGCTGTGATGAGCTTTTGGTTGCTGTTGTGGGGGTCGGAGTCGGGGGCTTGGGATGCGGAAATTTTGGAGGTTGCGCCGCGGAGTTTGAAGGAGCCTGTGAGTTGGAAGTTTTCCGCTTTGAAGAGGACGCGGGCGTTGGCGTCGCGGCCTGTTGTGCGGGCTGGGAGGAGGGGGGTCGTGTAGATGTGGGAGGCGATGCGGGATCTGGCTTGGACTGCGCTGGCTGCTACTTCGTGGATTGAGAGGGACATGTTGGTGTATGGTGATAAACGTGTAATTTGGGTAGTGGGGTATGTTGAAAGCAAGGTAGTGTGACACTATGGGTTGAGCTAGAGATAAAGAATTAAGCTTGGTTATGTACGATGGATCTATGTAAGTACGGCACCTTACTATATAGATCACTTTGAGGATGTCTATGATGTACAAATCAGGGACATTGGAACTTTGGAAGGGATCTGTTACGCCCTGTTGATGACGGACGACCCACTCGAAAGGCTGCATTCCTGATTGGCTTGGGTGGCATTTACCTTTTAGCGATGCAAGGCGTTGGATCCTTCCGACTAAAGTCTCAGCACCGTCTGCAATGTAACGATGGCTCGGAACCGGGCCGGACTTGTCGTTGCTAGAGAGAGACTTGGGTCGGCAACAGCGGGCTCCACATTGCCGTTAGATGTATCCACCAAAGCCGTTCCGGGACCCGAGAACCCGGATGGACCCCGGATCGGATCCGGAGCAATCTGGGGTCATTGATAAGGCACCTTGAGATAAGGTTCCTTGGACCCTGAGCTCGTGCCATTTCTCGGCCGAAATCGGATTCAGCATTTACTATCGTGCAAAAAGTAAAATGCATATTTAAACGGCACAGCAACCGACAATGAGTCCTCATTTCGCTACCTTATGATTGAATCCCATCACCGCTCATTCTGACCTGGCTGGTTTCGCAAATTGACATTTTCTGATTGGCTCAACGTGGCCATCATCATTTCAAGACTCAACATGGATAGGTCCTGTTGAAGGTCCGGGCTATCTAAACCCACAACCCGGAAGGGTGAAATTGGATGGTTAGGTTCTACGGTCTACCGTTCTGTGCAACGCTGTGTGTGGCTGGCTATCAAAGTCTCAACCAAGATCTGGGGAATGTCGAGACCTTGGAGGATTGGACGGTCTAGAAAGGCCAGAAGAGCCACCCATACAGTATCCATATACGTAGTACCCCTCCGGCCTCCGGGCGGTGAAGACTTTTTTCGTGAAATCTTTCCTGACTTCTACGTAGTAAGTGACTTCGTGGCCTCAACTGACTTGGCGGTGCATTGCCCGCAGGGGTCCTTGGGATTGCCAGGGCCACTTCAGCCAGTTGTGTGCGACGCTGCCCTCTTTTATCAGCGCCCCTGCATAAAATTGCCCACAAAAGCGGACCCAGCGGCGTCCGAGAAACACACAATGCGGTTAGGCCAAGACAGAAACGCTGCTAGAAGCCAAGTAAACCACCCCGTTACCACCCCCCGTAGGCCCCCGTAGCCCCCCCCGAAAAGGGCCAAGGGCCCCCCCAATTTCTGTTGGTGGTCGCGACCCGCGTCGGAAACAGCTCCAGCTTTAAATCTGTCCACACCTTTTCCACAGGCGGTGTCTCCAACTACATCTCCAACCACGTTTCCTCCTTTGTATCCCGATACGCGGTTAGAAAACGAAGCTGCGCGTGCGACAAAGATCGAAACCGCGGAGCTTTCCTTTCTAACATAAGCACCATCAGCTTACATCGTCCATCATGGCCGACGAAAAGCGCAAGGACGGCGCACAGCTTGAGGGTGACATCACCTTCATCGCGACCCCTGCCGCGAAGCCCTCCACGTTCAGCACTGGCGAGGATTGCGGTGTCAAGACCACCAACGTAAGGACTTTCTACCAAAACCCCCTATCCCGCGGATTGACCTCAATCGACTGCGAATAATCACAAACAAGCTCAATTGTCTTTGTCTCCCTGCGTCCATGACCCAGAGCTGACCTTCTCCTGTCCAGTACCCCACCATCAACAACCCTCCTCTTCCTGCCGAGGGCCCTGGCAATGAATCCTTTTCCAACTGGATCCTCGGAGCTGTCCTCGCCGGTGTTCCCCTCTGGGTCACCCGCATCTTCGGCGGCGGTCTCAAGACCTTCATCTTCTTCTTCATCCTCTTCGTCGTCCCCCTCCTGATCGCCTTCTGGACCGTCTCCTCAAGGTTCTCTCCCCGCATCAACGACAAGGCCAAGCTCCCCGGCCGCCCCGTCGAGCACTACCTCACTTTCAAGAACGAGGAGGACCGCAAGCAGTACAGCGGCCGCAACAAGATCCCCATCCAGACTTTCGCTGAGCTCTACACCGAGGGCCTCGTCGACATCAACGGCGACCTCCTCGACGCCCTCGAGTACCGCCACGACTGGTCCAACTTCGCCTTCACCTACTCCCTGTTCCGCTTCATCTTCCTCGAGTTCGCTCCCGATGTCATCTTCCACTCCCGCCAGCAGGATGAGGACCAGATCAAGCCCACCTACGACAAGGGTAACGACCACTACTCCTACTTCCTCGGTCCCCGCATGGTCTACACCAGCGGTCTCTTCTCCGACCTCAGCCGCGAGGAGACCCTCGAGGAGATGCAGGACAACAAGATGGCCGTCGTCTGCGAGAAGCTCGGCCTGAAGGAGGGCGAGACCATGCTCGATATCGGCTGCGGATGGGGCACCCTCGCCAAGTTCGCCAGTGTCAACTACGGAGCCAAGGTCACCGGTGCCACCATCGCCAGCAACCAGGCCGCCTGGGGTAACGACGGCCTCCGCCGCGCCGGCATCCCCGAGAGCCAGAGCCAGATCCTCTGCATGGACTACCGCGACATCCCCACCAAGAAGTTCAACAAGATCTCCCAGCTCGAGATGGGCGAGCACGTCGGTATCCGCAGACTCACCACCTTCTTCCGCCAGTGCTACGACATGCTCGAGGACGACGGCGCCATGTACGTCCAGCTCTCCGGTCTCCGCAAGGCCTGGCAGTACGAGGACTTCATCTGGGGTCTCTACCTCAACAAGCACATCTTCCCCGGCGCCGACGCCTCCACCCCGCTCGCCAACTACGTCGGCTGCCTCGAGAGCGCCGGCTGGGAGATCAAGAGCATCGACACCGTCGGCGTCCACTACTCGGGCACCCTCTGGCGCTGGTACCGCAACTGGCTCGGCAACGCCGAGACCGTCCACGCAAAGTACGGCCAGAAGTGGTACCGCATCTGGGAGCTCTTCCTCGCTTGGTCCGTCATCGCCTCCCGCCAGGGCAGCGCCACCTGCTTCCAGATGGTCGTCGTCAAGAACCTCAACGCCACCCACCGCATCGACGGCTTCTCTTCCCAGTTTGGCCTGTCTGGCGCCCTCGCCGCCGCCAAGGCTGCTGGCAAGGCTGTCTTCCCCCGGTCGACTTAATTGCAGAAATCACGCGACGCACCCTCCGCTGTTTCATGTGTGAGAGTGTTAAGAGTGTGAGGAAAATGGCTGTATGTGTCCATGAATGGAAATGAATGATTTTCCTCCCCCTCCCCTTTCTGTCCTCCCGCGGCGACCCGACCAAAGTTTTTCTATCTTTTCTCTCATCTGGCTCCTGGGGCCGAGGGATGGCAAAACAAGAAGATGGGGCGGGGTGGAGGAGAACGGGCTTTTACGTTGTCATATTTTGGAGGTCGGGGCTTTATTATAAAAGTTTTTGATCCCATACACAGGCTAGAGAGAGAGAGAGAGAGAGAGAGAGAGAGAGACGCGTGGTGGGGATCCAACCCCCTTCCGTGCTCCAGTGCTAGAGTCCCGGTTTCGTTACTGGGTTCCTTAGATATAGGGGAGGAAAGATGTTCACGAATGTCGACATGTTGTTGATGTTAATGAGACAAAAGTTACAAGTTGATGTTGCTACCTATCTCGAGTTGCGCTGCCAGTGTTGATATGTATAAGGTCAGCTGTGGCACTTCCCATCAGAATATCCTAAACTCCACCTCTGCGGGCTCAGTTTCAAGGAATTCACCGAACATCATGCCGTCTAGGTATGCGTCCCCCCCGAAGTAGAAGTGCCCTTCAGACCGTTCCTTCAAGACAACGGGACAAGATGCCCCCCAAATCAGCGTCACGACATCGTCTACCTCGACTCCAACGTGCCCGAGACCAATCCTCCCTTTTGCAGTCTTGAAGAGCGTGCGGTTCCTGTTGATCGCGCCCAAATATCCTCGCACATCTCGCGCAAACCTGCTTAGATCCTCGTCAGTTACACTGATGTGTTCATGGGATCTCGGGAGGGTGCGGCTAGGAGTGTCTGCAATAATAAACTCCTTCTCTTCTGTGGTCAACGTCGCCGCATCTAAAGACTGGACTCGCATGATTCTCCGCCAAAGGTCGGTGACTTCCACAGTGATCGTGTAGCGACGATTATCCTTGATCTTCTGGTAATCGGCGCGCCTGAGTATACGCCAAATGTGGTCTTCTTCAGGGTCTGGCTCGGGTCCAAGACCGACGAATTCAATAATCGAAAAGAACCAGTCATCGGGCCTTTTCAACCGGAGCGCAGTGTAAACGTCAGCCTGTTCCCATTTGGGAGCTGCCATTACTTGTGTGACTTCATCGACGTAACATCCTTCCTGGAGTATGCTAGTTCTGCCGTCTTGGATCACCAGGCAGTCAGAAGCTTTCCGTCGCTGTTTCCTCTGTGCGGCTGCTTTAAATTCATGGCTGTAGTTGATCGGCCATGTGAACACGCCATATTGGCCAATTGCTTGCCAGTCTGGCACCCATGTTGGGAGCGTCCCATTTCGGTCTCCTGGCACCGTGGAATCGAGACGAAAGCGGGAGGGCCCGCCACCAGGAGAATCAAGTATAGTGGTTGTAATGTTGATAAAGACACCCTCCATGGAAAGCGAATAGTCTACTCGGGAGCTATGTTTCTCGCTTTCTTTGAGTATGCCAAGTAATCCGAAAAGAAGATCTCTCGGGTCCGTGGCAGAGTAATGAGGTCGCTCCGGTGCGACGGTCAGCTCCCATAAGATGTCCTCCAGCCTTACGCGAACACCCCGTCGACGTTGGTGTCGCACTTCCAGAGACTTCATTCCTCTGAGCTTTCCTGATATCGGTAAAGTAAACCTGGTCCAGGATTGATGGTCGAGATTGACTGCGCCCCGATGATCCCACAATATCTTGAGAGCAGCGTCGAAAGTATCCAACAAGACGCTTCTATCGCCAGCAATTACAACAGAGGTGCTCCGCGCAAGTACCACTTCTTGAATGATCCAGATGCGTTGCCAGTACTCTCGGTCAAGGAGATCACGAATCGCCTCGCTTGTTCGTAGTGAACGATGTCCGAAAAAGTCACACAAGACGTCGTATACGGCCATCTTAAACCTCATCAGGGGTTCTGTCTTATCGACCTCTGATTTCTCCTGTGGCGTGGAGTCTTCTGTCATTCTATAAGCTTCCTCTACGGTTGTCCTTGACTCGGAAGGACTGATTGCCTCGCCCTGGGGAGAGAAGCGCTCCTGGATGTATACTCTGACCTCTGGGTTATCCCTGAATCTCGACCTCAAGTCTACAGCGTCGTACTTCTGAAGCGTGGTTCCCGTCCGGGATATGAAGTCCATAGCTAAATCGCTCTTTTCGTTTCCGGGGCCCAACCACACGTAGACCATGTCGGCGCCGCTGAAGATTTTCCGCATGGTACTGATCTGCCAGCTCTTCTCCTCGAGGTTGGCCTGCTCAATGCAGAGCGCGTCTATCCAGAGCCAGGAGTCGACCGAGTCCATTTGCAGTTGCTGGAGCGCGGCATGAAGGTTCAAGGTGACGCTGAAAGAGGCACCCTCGATCTCAATCGGCGTCGTGTCGGTGGCGCTCCCCCACACGTACGAGAGTGCCGCGTATGACAGTCCTGGCTCGTCTAGCGAGGCGTGTTTGACTTCGAGTGCGACCGTGTTCTTGGCGCTGACTTGTTTGCCGCGCGGGGGGCAGATCCTGACGAGCCTGATTTCTCGGCGACTTTCGTTGAGGGGGGCGTGGGTGAACATGTTTGCGCTATAAGGCGGTGTAATGAAGACATCAACTCCTGTTTTTACTAGGCTCTTGCTTGAAACTGAACACTTTTGTACAATGGAACGGTTTGAGAGAGGATTAAAAGGCTCCCAGGAGCATGAGTGTGTTGAAGAAGAGGTGGTTCAGAGAGGCAGCCTGCATCATGCATGTTGGATCGCACTGGAGGGATTTTATTGGTTGTTCACTTCCAGCCAGTAATAGACGGGCTCTATCTGTCGCGAAAAGGATTTCAACACGCACTCGTCTATCAAGGGCAAGGCATCTGCTCGCACTGCTCTGGCATGTCAGACTGGGTATCCTAGCTTTCGAAGAACGGCATAGATTTCTTCAACAGTCGCTGCCGGAGTCTCAGTATCGCCTTGCTGTTCAGTCTCACCAGTCTCGACACCATGCTTCTTCTGCACTTCACGCCGCTGCCAGTACTGAGGTCTCGCCTTGCCGCGTCTCCCGTATACCCCACCCCCAAGCCTCTTGAAGAACATGGGATGGCCCTCGATTGTTGGATCTTCTGAGTATCCGAAGTCGATAGAAGGAATCCAGATTGGACGGGCCAATATGTTTCCCGCCTTATCCCAGCACAAGGGAACGCCCTGCCGTTGCGCCCCCATGCGTGATACGCAAGCATGACGCCAGCGTTGTCTGGCTGGCCATGGCAATGTATCACCGACGAATATCTCCTCGAGAAGCTGCCATATGCGGCGTCGGTTGTGTAGGCCAGCGGGTACATGGGCTAGATCGGTATGATAGCCGGTTCCAGCCATTGTTGGCTCGCCTTGAGGGCCAGCAACGCCGGGTGTGGCTCTGACAGTGTCGGGTACACCTGGGAGAACACCGAAGTCAACGCTCCGGCTGAGCTGCCGCGCCAACAGCTCCCAGTCCCATTCGAAAGACTCACCACCAGGACAGGGCTCAAAGTCTTTTGCGTCGACGCAAGCTGGATCAATATCCCACAGCCAGGGGAGAAGACCGCGGGACCCGGCCTTGAGTTGATCCTTCCATAATCTCTGGGGCAAGAGATGGGAAGACTCGGGAGGCATGCCGCGTCCCATGGCCGCGAAGATGTCATCAAGGATCTCGGTCGGCAGCTTGGAAAGATTGTTGGCAAGTTCGGTACCCTTCTTGGTTCGAGTGGCTTTGGATCGGCAGGCGCTTAAATTTTGGAGCAGACAGCTCGTTAATCCCTTGATATTCAAGGGGCTGCTAGTGAGAGTCTATGGATATCAATGACTAGAGAAGACGAAAGGAGCACAGCATGCACTTACGTAGTATAGATTTGATAGAGTAGAGGAATAAGGGCCAGGCCAATGCAGCCCAGAGAAATCTTCTTCCTCCCAGGTTGGCTCACCAGCCACGGTGGAATGAGGCACATAGTAGTTGTTGCGGCTGAGAGTGTAGTTTGCTTGAGGATGACAATCCCAGCAGCCTCCGCATTTGAAAGTGATGCTCTGCCTCCATCTAAGAGCTGTCCACAAACCACGCAGATCCCGCACATGCGTTAGCGTTGAGGATGCGAATACTCGTTCAGCGATGCCCAAGCATTCGGAGTGGACAGCAGCGTAGATCCGGTCATCAAACGAGTAACCCTCGCTCCCTTGAAAGCTGACATGCTGTCGGCTACCGTCAGGGTCAACTCTGAGGAGCTTGAGCCCTTCACTTGCTTCAGCAACATGAACCTCGATATCTGAAGCTTGGGATCTCGGCCGAATATCACTTGTGGTTGGTAGATCGTCATATCCTGGCAACTGGTGCATGAGATTTTCTGCGTAGTTTGGAAGAAGGTTCCCAAACTCGTCGTCAGAGTCGCAAAGCAGACGGGCTTCTGTGAGCCATCTAAACTTGTCCTCCAAGTCGCCGAAATTTTCCAATTCCGGAGGATTAACGAGCTCGCCAGTTTCGATGTCCTCTAACAATGGCCCTCCATATAAGGTCCTGTGAATGGACAGGCCGCATATTTGACAGATCCATCGATCTTTGTCCATGCCTTCCGAATCCACGGTCGAGAAGCTAGTCGGGGTACGATGATCGATTTGTCGGAACGCCCAGGCTGATGAGTAAGTTCTGTGTAAGAGTGAGGGGGAAAATGGGGGATGCGCCGAACCAAGTATACACAACTCAAGAGGTATTGATCTAGGAGTCGTAAAATCTTTTGGGAGAACTTAGGTCGAATCTTCAATATCCATGGCGAGGCGTTTTGTGCAGATGAACATTGAAGAGAGCAGGCACGAGCGGCCTCAGTTTCCCCAAATCTTGTTCTGATTGTGATTCGTGCGCAAAGTGAGAGGCACGTATCCTGCTGGCCAACATACTGTTGGAAACACGTAGGCGCCTTTCACCTTGCCATGTTTGTCTGGGGGCTACCGTCATTGTTGGAATGGGATAAGTGCCCTACACCAACCATAAGGCCTCTAACATCAGCCAGATCCAGCAATCAAGGCTATGTCTTAAGATCCATGGATTGCAACTAAAAATAACTCTGAAAAGCTGTCAGTGTCTTGCCTGAGAAGGTTTGCAAATGCTCCCTGCAATTACAACGCTGGCGGAAGTTTTTGGTGAGATACCAACTAAGTGGCTCGAACTTGGCCTCCACTCAGGATTGGCTGAGAGAGAGGACGCTCAGCAATGGAGAACTCAGTGGTATCATTTGTTCAAGCGTAAGCGAGAAACTTCCCTTTAGTACAAAGGAACCGTACTTAATGACTTTCTAAGAAAGTCGAACACAAATGACGCAGATTGACTTCCAGAAGAAACCCGAGGATGTCTTTGCTTGCATTGGGCTATTGAAGTGAGGAAGAATAAGGGGTGAGCGAGTCACTGTCGGAGAACCTTAGTTTGATGCAGGTTTCGTTTGAATGAGACGGAACTCTACGTTATTGTTGTATAATGGAGTTATTATACTACTTCATCCAATTATAATCACCTTTTTCGAAGTCCCGGAAGAAATCTCATTCGACGTATACCAAGCTTAGTCGCTATCTTCCGCATCGTCCCTATACGTCATTGTATGGTTTGGGGGTTGATCTTCTCATTATAATCTCAGAAGAATGGTATTGTTGCTCTCAGTTTTAATACACATTGCACTATTCCATGTTCAAGTGACATAATACTATCAGGTATATGGTACATATGACGGGAGGCAGGGAATCATGAAGTACACTGTCGCTTGAGATCACACCTGAATATGACTGCAAGTCATTGGTCTCCTTTGATCTGTTTGGAATTCAGCCATAATGCTAAAAGTTTGGATCACTGAATATTTTCTAGGCTTTAGTTGATGGCAACTGAGTGTATTTGTAACCTAACCCTTGAAAAATACCATGGCAAAGCCCTGGTGAGCCCCCTTAGCAACCCCCTTCAGCTCTTGATGTGCTGCGCAGCCGTTGTCATAGTAATCCATGTCTTCTTTTGATGAAAATGTAGAGATAGCCGCAATCGTGAACCCTTGGGCCCTTTGATCAGCAACAGCTAGGCCGGCCTTCACTGAGATGATGTACGGCTTGCCATCCTACAACTGGTAAGCTCAGAGCTCATGATACGGTATCGAAACAGTGCTAGCCAGATGGAGATTGACTCCGTAAACAACAGCCCAGGTGGTTATACTCACTTTCAAGGCCTTTTGGGGCATCTGCTGGTAGAGCGACAATACTTTATTTTGATTCTCCTCGTCTGGAATCTTGAAAAGAGTGATTCTCGTAATTTGTTCAGACATTTTCGTGAAGCTAATGACTTGGGTCTTCTAGAGTATCAAATATTACGGGGCAATTTGTTGTCGTTGTGTTGTAGTGATTGTCGTGTAATTCGATCAATAGCTGGCGTTAAGACTGAAACTTGGCAGACTCACCTTCCCTAGATCAACTTTCTTGTCGGCTGTTTTTACACTCGGACAAATAACACAGAAGCCGAGAAACTTCCATTGCCGAAGATCCCTGAACCGCCGGCAGCGGCAGATTCGTGCTTGAATGAGGGGGTTGTTTGCGTTCCGAGCCGTCGGAACCAAATTTCGGATTCTCGGAACCCACCATTAAGATGGCAGTCATGGTGATCATGGAAAGGTAAATAGAAGTATGTTAATACACGAAATCAAACAAACTCGAATTACTAAGGTATTGATTCAACAGAATTGCTGAGGACTTTCCACGTCTAATTACGCAAGATGAAGTCCTGGCTCCCCATCCCACCCCGGTCGCACTTTTCGCTGCTGAACATTCCTTTCGGGGTGATTTCGAGCAAAGATAAGCAATTACACAGACCCGCTATCGCCATCGGAGAACACATCCTCGACCTTGATGCTTTTGCTACAGGCGGAGGTTTCAGTAAAGCAGCAAATGTGTCCGCCGAACATGCAAAAGCGTTCTCACAGCCCACCTTGAACGCCTTTGCTGAGCTTGGCCGACCGGTGCATCGCGCCGTCCGTTCATACCTTCAGGACATAAGTCAAACCCCCCACTTCCCGGCACCCCCCTGTTTCTGGCACCCACAAAAACGCGAAAATCCACCACAACGCAATGCCCACCCCCAACCTCCTTTTATCACAACATTTTCAATTCGAGTCCAAATGGGCTCATTTTTTGCACATACCTTCTTCTATATCTAATGCCTCAATATACCGAAGATCAGCTTCGTCAGGCTCTCGAGACATCTCAAACGGCAAGAGTCAAAGAGCCTCATTGGGTATGGGATACCACGATCAACCCTCCAACTACGTCTCCAAGGTGGTCAGACTAGGAAAGTGGCTTTTGCTGACTGGCAGAGGCTGTCTCCTGACCAGGAGAGTAGCTGGCACAATGGGTTCGCATTCAGGCTTCGCTGGGCCTCGCACCAACGCACCAACAGGTGAAGGAATTCGCAGAGCGAGTTCTGGCTGCTGCTGGGGATACCAAACCATTAGGAAAAGGCTGGATCTATGCCTTCTCGTGAGAAGGAACCCTATCATTAAGGTTCAGAGAAGTCGTTCCATCGATTCTAGACGCGTTAATGGGGCATCTACTGAGGTCATTAGGAACTGGTTTAAGTTCCTTGCTATCCCTGAGATCAAGGACATCAAACCAGCCAACAGATATAATATGGATGAGACTGGCATCCTCGAGGTCAGGAGCTAATGGGTTAGTGCTGGGCATGGCTGAGACGACGTCTGTTCGCAAGAAACAACCTGGGTCGAGGGCATGGGTCTCTATCATTGAGTGTATCTCAGCCTTGGGTAGGGCACTTCGTCCTCTTATCATTTTCAAGGAAGACGGTCCAACAACAGTGGTTTCCATTACATCTGGTTCCATACGATGGGTGGGAGTTTACAGCAACAGATAATGGCTGGACTACAGACTTAACTGCCATTGAATGGTTAGAGAAGGTGTTTATCCACAGACTATGCCCGAGGCTGAGGCGAGGCTCGACTGTTGATTGTGGATGGGCATGGGAGTCATACGACGACAGACTTCATGTGGAATTGCTATATTAACAATATCCATTTACTGTTCTTACCACCACTCCTCTCATGTCCTCCAGCCACTTGACCAGTCTGTCTTCAGCCCTGTTAAGTCAGCCTATCGGAAGGAGCTCGGTTACTTGTCTCAATGGAACGACTCTACCATTATAGGTAAAGGAACTTCCTGGACTGTTACCAGAAGGCTCGACTTGCTGGTCTATCAGTCTCGAACATCAGAAGTGGTTGGAAGTGGACTGGTCTACACCCTGTAGCGATGGTTAAGCCCCTGATGAACCCTATGGTATTACCTGAGCCTTCTGCTAAGCCCACCACACCCAAACCAACCAGTCGGGGCAAAAAGCGATGCCATAATGGTCAACAAACTACCCCTGTTGAGCCATGGGATTCTGCTTCCTCTGCAGTGGTCTGGTCGACACCCAGGAAGCTGGCAGAGCTCAGCGGTCAACTGCACTTATACACCCAACTCGACAATGATACCAGCACTCAACGGCTGCTGTTCAGGAAGGTGAAAAAGGCTTCAGAGCAGGCCTGGCAACTGGCAGCTGCCCAGCAGCAGCTGGCTCACCTGAGGCTCAAGTTACCAACGCTGCAGTTAGG